AGGCCTCCTATCGTTACTATCCGCCGGGGTAGTTAGGCGGCTATTTATATATACTAAGGTTAATACTTAATTAGCCGCCTAAGCAACCTTCGACCTCTCTTAAACCGAGACGGCAACTCGAGTACGTAAACGACGAGAAGAGGCCTCTTTAAGGCCTATTGTTGCTAGCGGTCTATTATATGCTTCGAAGGCAAGGAAGGCTATTAAGAAGTAGAGGTTTGACGACGAACAAGTAGCACTTTAATAGGCTAGGGATAAGGCAAGGCGCTCGAGAACGTTATAGACTAACTATAAGAAGCGCTATCGCAAGGCTCTTAATATAAGCGTTAATAGTCGTCCTAATACGAAAGTCAAGGTCTAACTATTGCGTAAAACAGGCTATAATCTATAGTCTACTAGCGGTTAGTTAGTAAAGACATATAAGCTAACCGAGCTACTATTACTAGAAGCGCTTAAGGTCTTTCCTATTCTACGTATAATAGTTAAAATCGCCGGAGCTAAAAAGACTATAGTTTCCGTCTATAACGTACTTACCTGCGGTAGTAAGCCTAGTAGTAACATTAATCCGGATACTAAAGAAGAAGGTCTACTTAAGCCCTTATATAAGCTTATTATTTAGACTTATAAGAAAGAAGAGCGTAGATAGTAATAAGCTATAGTTGCTGCAAGGCAGGCGGCTAAGAAGCGCTTAATAAAGCAGTTTAGAAGAGACAATAGTATAATAGATAGCAGCGATTATAGTAGTAGACTAAGTAACGACGATAAGCTAATACCTGTCTAGCAGCATATATAGCCTACTATACTACTGCGTAGTCTATCTAGTAGGTACGACTTGCCTATTAGGTCGTTACTACTATTGCTAGTTTCCTCGCTATAGCCGGTTTCCCTAGCATTGCCTAAGAATAGTAAGCAAATACAGCAATATAGTAGACCTATAACACTACCTAATAGTCTATATTATATATAGAGGTCTTCATTATATTCTACAGGTCTTATTTGCTCGATTTGGTGCCAATCTACCTATATTATAATGTAACTTGTCGAAAAAGTGGAAATTATAAGGTGGCTTGCAACCACCTCGTAGAGGTGGCGGCAGGAACGGAAGCCACGGATAGTGCAGTAGTCGGCCTGGCGGTGGCACAAACACCAAAAACAGGCTGTGGTGCTCAGCAATGCCGCATGCAATTGGTCTTGGACATGGCTAGAGTTTGTTCCGTATTCTAGTGCGCGCTTTCTCTCTCGCCTTGTCAGTGGTCACCTTTCCTGATGAAGCTTTCAGCGTAACCATATCGGCCGTGCGAGGAGTGAGGCGATCATGGAAGCATGGAAGAGACCAGACTTCGTGCTTTCCCACATGCTGAGTTACAACACCTCCATAGACCCGCATGGTAGCTTTGGTATTGGACTCCTACCACCACCACCACCAATACATACACATTCTTTCTCCATACCATTGTTGGCGCATTGTTGATGGCTTTCCGGAAGGACTTCATTATTTAGGCTTTTGATGATGCATTGCCGAATTCGCTGGTAACAGGAGCTATCCGCCTCCCATCGCTCAACGGTCGTCCGCATACACTTCATTCTATCTCTTTGCGAGCGCAGTTGGGCGCACGTTGGTGTTGAACATGCCTGGACTGTTTGGAGCGCGAAGGCGCGGGAGCAGTGCGAGTAGAGTACGTCTAACACCCATGCCTATAGCCGCTACATGCAAACACCTATATGGACATCCCGTGCGTGGTCGGTATTGACTTATACCCTCTAGCCCACCACTCCCAGCACCAACTCCGCCGCCCTCGCCGCCGCCAGCGCAGTGTCGGGACAGCGACCTGCCTCCTCCCATGGCGGACTGTCGTCTGCTGCCGCTGCTGCGGCTCTGCGATCCGCGACAACGACACCGGAACTCGTCGGAAGCATACAGACTAAGCGCATGGTCAGACGTGGATCGCAGTCATCCATAGGAAGTGGGAGTATCTTGGGCCGGGGTGTGCAGGGGCGTGGAGGCCTACAGCGAAGAGATAGCCAAGGCTCAATGACCGAGCGGACCTTCAGATCGCCTTCGCCTGGTGGGAGAAACAACAGCATCACGAGTGGCACCGCATCTCCCACCTCATACGTGCCTCCTGTACCTGCGATACCCAGAAATCTTGCACAGTCCCAGCAGCAGCGGTCATCGAGCCTCGAACCTCCGCCGCAGCGCGTAGCTTCGCCAACTGGTCTTAATGGACGGACATTGAGCATGGACAGAGCCCGCCAACCGCCGCCCATATCCACGCGCCGAGGAAATCAATTGTCGAATGTCACTGAAGAACTCGAGCGTTCTGACAGCACGCGGAACGTGAACTTCTCACGTCCTATGGCATCACCACCACAAAGTCCTACGAGTCCTACAGCAGATAAGAGTCACTATACACACGGAACTGGAGCATGGTTCTCAGAGCCAGTGCCTGTGCCAGTGCGTGGAGGCTCCAGCTCGGAGCCTAAGGTTGATGCAGCTGCAGCTAAGATGGCTCGTATACAAGCCGCCGCAGGTCAAGCAGTCCATCGTGCCAATGCGGGATCGTCTGCGCAAGCTTCTCACCTGCGTAGCTCTTCTCAACCCGCATTGATAGGGTCTGCCATTTCTGCCAGCACAAGACCTGTTCCACAAGCAATGGAGACTGTAATGGTGTATGATTCAAACTCGAGAACATTCGTGCCTAGGCTCAGACCGAAGCCCAAGATCGAGCCTCCGCCCACACTGCCTCAGCAACCACAGCTCAAGCCAGGGCAGTACGATCCCAATACACGTACGATAGTACCTCTTGTAGCGCCCGCCGGCACTCAGACCCCACCAAGAACCGCCTCAAGAGAATCGACACGGGCTTTGAACACTGATCTCGAACCGCCTCCTCGCAATCCTGCACCTCTATCAGCCACAAACAGTCCACGATCATCGCAACTTCTACAAAAGCAGGTTGGTGAGGAACCAGAGGAATTCCGTGGCGCAGGCGCGGGAACTGCTGTAGGCGGATTTGCAAAGACCAACGGCACTGCACACCAGAGAGCATCTAGTCTCGACGTCCCGTCAAGAGGTACTGCGAGCGTCCGTGGTCGTAACATATCCACATCGCCTAGCCCGCAGAGATCTGCACGATTCTCGCCATCTCCCATCGTTGCAGTCACCAAGCACGATCCGCCGCCTCGTGATATCTCACCAGCAAAGCCTGCGTTGAAGCATTCACACTCTCCTGCATCATCCGTGCGTACGAATTCCCCACTTGCTAGCTTCGCTGGGCCGAGGTCGCCTCCAAGCGAGACCTCTGATACAGCTTCTCAAGACGGATTTTCAGGGAAAAAGAAGAAGTCGTTCAGGGTCAGCTTTGATGAGCAGCCGCATGAGATTGAGGCATCCACAGCAGCGACCAGCAGCCCCAAAATGCTGGCTCGAGATCGATCTCCAATGCTCGACGATCTGGACGATGAAGAACTCATGAAGCCAAGACCCGCTCTTCCGAGCTTTGGCAGCGTGCGCAAGAACCGCGTTCTTGCTGAGAAGGTCACAGAAATGGCTCCAGAAAGGCATGAAGCTAGCAATGACCATGCTATTGGCGGGATTCCGAAAAACGCCAATGGTGCTGCGAAGCCTGGATCGGAACCAGTACCACCTGAAGTGACGAGCAAGGAGTCGGCTGGCTACGTGAGTGACGAGAGTGATGATACAGCGGAGTCTGCTCCAGCAGTCAAGCCCACGCCCTTGTCTACGGACATTGTCCCCTCTATCGAGAAGGTTGAGTCAAGCCCGAAGAGCTCTACCAGCCCGACAAGTTCAACAGAGCCCATCATTCGCGATTTCGCCCAGCCGGACAGCGCTACGCTGGTCCCGCAGATCAACCTCAGTCCCCCGACTCCTGGCACGGAAGAATTCAAGAGTCTTGGAGAGCAAGACCAGTCTCAGAAGCCGAGAAGCTCAACAGAAATCGTTCTACCCGGTGGCTGGGATGGTGACAATGAGGCCGAAGTCGAATCTGCTGGCGCCGCTTCAGCAACAACAGCCGCCATTGAACAACAACCTGCACCAACCGTCGTTGAGCCTGTACTTACGCACAGTCCTGAAGAGCGTTCGCCAATGCTAGCAGCCATCGACGAAGATACAGACAGCGATGATTCTGCTGCATTCAGTGATGCTGCCGAAGACTTGTCTGATCTCGAAGGCGGCTTTGCTTCGATCGACGCAATAGCAGTGAGCCCGATGAACGCTACAGCTGCCCGGGATGATGAGTTGTCCTCCAGTGCGCCCTCTGTGCCGGACAGCCCAGTGGCGCCGCAAGCTGAGAGGAAAATGGAAAGAGTGCAGAAGGGCAACAACACCCAAGCAAATGGCGACTGGAGCGAAGCCACAGCTTATTGGTCAAATCTCACCAAGGTCCAGCGAGAGCAGATGGAGCGTGAACATCTCTCGTCAGACGATGAAGCGCGCCCGGCCCCTGCCGCGAGCAAGACCAAGACCAAGAAGTCTGCACTCAGACCCACGACTGGTTCATCGCCAGCTGCTGCAAATGCTCCTGTGCAGAAGTCAACGCCAGCTCATCGTGACGTCCAGCCAGCACAATCCGCCATGCTGAAAAAGACGATGCGTGCGCAACCCGGCCCTTCGCCAGCTCCTGCGACCACAACCGCTGATGGGCCAGTTCGCATGCGCAGGTCGATGCGAGATGGAATGGCAGCATCTTCTCTACGCGATCGGCCTTCATCCAGGCAGTCTTCAACGGCAGAGCCGAAAGGAGCTTTGCAGAAAAAGAGTTTGCGACCTGATTCTTCAGGTGGTCTTTCCTCGTCATCTGCCGGCGCTGCCATGACCCAATCCCGCATGTCCCGAGATACTGCGCCTCCACGCCCTCAGTCGAGAACTCAAGCTCAACCTGTAGTGAGTGCGAGATTGCAGAAGGAGTTGAGTCATGACTCCGATTCTGAGAGCAGCTTCAAGAAGAAGCGCAGAGGCTCTCAGTCGACTGTTGACTCGCAAGGTCGCTACGCCATGAAGCGGAGCATGCGGACAAACTCAGTCACAGGACCTCCACAGCGAGAGGAGCGACCAGTCTCGCCAACGCCTCCTCGAGCCAAAGGCAAGGACTCGTTCAGCATTCGATCACTTTCGCCTACTGGATCGTTCTTTGGGCGCAAGAAGCAGAAGGATATCAGACAGTCTTTGCGTGGAAATTCTGTCGATGCTGGAAGCAGTCGTATGACCACTTTGAGGAGTTCACAACCGCCTCCTAAAGCTGCGCGCCAGAAGCCTGCGCCAAGTCAGATACAGAGTCGATTCAAATCGCGATTTGTAGATTCGGATGACTCTGATGACGAAGCGCCTAGGCGACTTCCATTCAGAAGTCGTTTCGCTGACTCTGACGATGAAGACGATGAACCACTGGCTCCGGTGCGTGGCATACCTCGTCGACAAGGGCAGGAAGACGGCGATTCCACCGATTTAGAGGACTCGGACGACCAGAACGATACGAAGACAGCGTCTCGGAAACGCGAAAAGCAGGCCACACCCATGGTGCCAAGCTCAGCAGATATCGATAAAGCAATGGATGCTGCGAGGAAGAAGCTCGGCACGGAGCAGACTCCGGCCCCACCACAGACACCGCCTCAAGAAGATGGCAAGCAAGGTCAAATGCTGACACAGGGCAGTCTTCGGAAGCCGACAGGTGAAGAGACTCCCGAGCCCAAGTCCAGGCCTGATGAGATCGACTTCTCGTCTGACAAGAAGCGTCGAACGTTCATGGGCAGTATCCTGCGTCGCAATCGCAGCAGCCAGAAATCCGTGACCAAACACTCTTTCCATCAAAGTGAAGCACCACCGATGCCATCAAGTCCACTAGTCACACAGCGTCCGCCTACGGCTACGGCATCACCCATTACCCCAAATGCACGACCTCAGAGTCCCACAAGCCCCGGCAAGCTGACGCGACGGAGCTCCAACCAGCCACCGCGTATGAAGCGTGGTGACTCCACTTTCTCCACGGCAACAGCACCACCGATGATGGGTCAGACGTCTACAGGCGAGTGGCCTCTTCCAGCTGTTCCCAAAATCCCCGACAATGTCGAAGAGCTCAAAGGTGAGGCTCGTCCAGCCACATCTGATGGAACACCTGGGCAGCTGCAGAGGAGTGCGAGCGGCCACAACGTCAGATTCTCCGAACCGCCGGAATCCAATTCTAAAGTCGTGTACAGTGCACGCACGGGCAAGAAGAAAAAGTTTGGCATGTTGAGACGTGCTTTCGGTCTTAATGACTAGAGAGCGTCACCGCTGAAGAGCTACTAGTGTGCAGCCAGCAGGCACAGTTCCCTTTTATCATAATGTGTAATATCTATTGCCCAATTTGAGTGCTACTTCAGCGGCGCTTGAGGCACGACATCACCAAGTAAGAAGACGAGGAGATTGAGTGGGATACCATAGCTGTTCTCAACAGCATTCCGAAGAATTTGTCATCTGTCATGTTAGTATACCCAGCCGGCCTGATGGCTTCGCGCATTCATTCTTTGTGAAATTTAGAGTCAAGGACGGTGATTCTCTCAACAATTATTTCATGCGATTGCCTTTTTTTAGTTTTCCTTGCGGTCTCTGTCTCTCGTGGCCTGTCGCGTTATCTGTACACTATGCTTCATTGACTTGATACAGGAACGCCGCGGCTGAATTCCCGCCATCACAGCCTAGCAATCTTCAGCTCGTCACATCGTACATCTGCCTGCCTGTGCACGCCCTTCGTAACGTCGAAGTCCCTAGAGCAAAACCGCGAGAGCACCAACTCCTGCCACCGCCGCAGCCGCAGCATAAACATTCCGATTCGCCGCCCCACTACTCGTCGCCGCCGCCGCAGCCTCCGTCGCCGTTGAACCCTCCCCAGAAGTCGTAGCACTGGCACTAGCACTAGCACCAGTACTGGTAGCCTGCCCCGGCCCCGTCAAATTCCCCGCACTCACCACCCCCTCACACCCCAGAATACACCCCTTCATCCTCTCATAGGCCTCCACTTCCTCGAGATCCTCGGGATAAAACTCCATGGCGCATTTCCTGGCGCAAGGATAGGCTTCGCAAGGCAGATTTTCCGGGTCCCAGAAGGGTGAGGAGTGCAGGTTGTTTTCGTAGGCGGTGTAGGTTCCGTTGGCGGATGTCAGGTTGAAGGGGTTGCTGAAGGTTGCGGATTGCTGGGTGGTGAGGTCGGAGATGCCGATTGTGTAGTAGGTTGCGGAGGGGCCGATGCTGGGGGGGATGGTGAGGGTGAGGGGGACGGTGGTGTTGAGGGTGGTGGTGTTGAGGAGGTAGCAGGTTGGTCCGTTGGAGCCGGAGAGGGAGGCGGCGAGGTCTGGGAGGTGATCAGAGTTGGAATGGTTTTGGGGTGTGCATGGAGGGCTGGGACTTACAGACGCGGTAGGTGTCGGGGTTTGCGTTTTGGAAGGTTATGTTGAAGGCTGTGCCGGCTTTGATGGTGGATGGTGCTACGATGCCGTCGAGAGCGAGGGCGGCACCGGCGAGGGGGGCGAGGAGGGTTAGGTATCTCGTGGCGAGAGCGTACATGGTGGAATCAACTCCGATTTTTCATGCAGCGTCGTCGGTGGTGGAAGTTGATCGCTGGTCGAGGTGCTGGTTTCGTGTTTGTGTGCTGCGCTGAAGTCGAAGCTCAAACGAGTGACTGCGGTGAGGTGAGGAAAATTCAGCGCAACGCGAAACGGTTTTGCAGCAGTGAAGAGTGAAAGAGGAAAGACCTTGAACAGTCACTTTTTACGGCATCAACAAGTGGAGTTGTCTCGTATCTCTCTCCCTTGTGAGGCTAGACAACACCTCTTTACGGGTTTGTGGAAAATCGTGCACGTAGATACCCGCCCATGCAGCATTGGACAGGCATTAAGCCGCTTGTGGCGGCGACGTTATGCTGAAGGCGGTCGTCTGCGAAGGTGAGACTCAGTCACATAGGGTCTGGATGAGACGTGTGGAAGCTTCACGCGATACACCGCAGCCTTCTTGAATGATCGCGTGTCAAAGTTTCGCGTAGCACGGCCTGCCGTCTCGGTCCGCGTAATCCCTGCTTGTCGCGTCCTGGAACGGAACGCGCTAGACTTGCCCTCGGCTGAGGCTCTGCTCTGCTACCGAGATTGGACGCCATCGTCACTCCCGTGTCGTGTTCAGTCAGGGCACTTTGAACCAACACTCCACCATTTTCAGTGAAATGGTTTGTCGCGAGAACCCTCGCTGTATATGTGTGCGGAAGAGTCACAGCAAGCAGTGATGGCCTCCGGGAGAGCAGCAACGACCTAGCTCTGGACGGGTTGTACTCGGCTGAGAGCTCTGTCATGCATCCACAACAAAAGCTCCTTCCGACCTCGGTGCAGCGTCATGTCTTGCAACTCTAAGAGAACGATGAGCCTGAACGCTTCCCATCCTGGGAACGTCTCTTGATTGATGTATATTTGATGCTAAGTTTTAATCATTGCTCAAGGATTGATTATCTAACATCGACGATACCATGTCACACGCGAAGCACCTTGAACCCCTGACACTCCCGGCTGGAGTGTCTGAAGACTACGTCGATTGCACAGCTTCTTGCGCACTGAACTGGCACATTCTCAAGGCTGGAGATCCAGGAAGGCCACTCGTATTGTTCTGTCATGGCTACCCAGAACTAGCCTATTCATGGCGACGAATCCTGCCAGACGTTGCCCAAGCTGGGTATTATGCTGTTGCTATGGACCAACGTGGCTACGGCAGAACGACTGGATGGGAAGACAAGCCATATGATCAAGTCGATCTAACACAGTATGTCTTCACAAATCTGGTGCGCGACTTGGTCTGCCTTGTCTATAAGCTTGGATATATAGAAGCCGCTGCCATTATCGGTCACGATTTTGGTGCTGTGTCATCGGCGATGGCAGCTCTAATGCGACCAGATGTCTTCAAAGCAACTATTCAGATGAGCCATCCTCACCATCCGCCGCCTGCACCACAGCTTGGAGATCAATCTCAGAAGCAACCGATAGACATTCAAGCTGAGCTGGCCAAGCTCAACCCTCCCCGCAAGCACTATAAGTGGTACAACTCATCGCCTGGTGCAGCGAATGACTGGAATAATCCTCCTCAAGGTCTACAGAAGTATCTACGGGGCTATTTTCATCTTAAGTCTGCAGACTGGGACAAGAACGATCCACATCCGCTCAAGGAGTGGAGTGCCAAAGAGATCGAAGTCATGCCGGAGTACTATATCATGGCGAAGGACGACACATTTCCACAGTCTATAGCGAAAAATATGGAAGGCGAAGACTATCAAAAGACAGAATCATGGCTGCCACCCGAGGACTTGGACGTATACGTAAAGGAGTGGAGCCGCGTGGGCTTTCAAGGTGCATTGAATTGGTATCGTGCTCAGACGGCGTCGACGCCTCAGTCCAAAAGAGACATGCTGTTGTATGCTGGCCGCAGGATCGAAGTTCCTTGCGCATTCATCAGTGGCAAGCAAGATTGGGGCAATTTTCAGCAACCTGGTGCTTTCGAGGCCTACGAAGATCCCAAAGCTGTCAAGCCAGGCTGCTTCAGAGGAACCACGTTGATTGATCACGCTGGACATTGGGTGCAGCAAGAACAGTCTGAGAAGGTCACTCAATGCGTGCTGGGCTTTTTGAGATCGCTATGATGATATAGTGGAGCTAGAGTTTCGTCTCCAACATCTGGAATTCGTATGAGATCAGAATTGTGCTCTGAATCACGTTCAATTTACTTGATATCAGTGCTCTTCACCACAGTCGCAAAGAAATCTGCAAGCTCGTGCATGACCATCTTCGTCACCTCAGCTCCACTGGCTCCTGGAATATCACGGTCGCCAACACAGTCCTCGGCGATCAGCACATCGTATCCAAGTCTCGCACCGTCGCGGGCTGTTGTCGATACGCAGACGTGTGCCTAGCACAAGTTAGAATTATCAACCCACTCCCCTCCACTCTTTCTCACCATGTATCCAGCAAGCACAATCTTCTGCCCACCACTGCCTCTCAGGTAGTCATGAAGGACCGTATCCGCAAAAGCAGACGGATGAATCTTCTGTACAACCTTCTCGCCATCCTTCGGCTTCAACTCATCAAACTCTTCCGCAAGCCTCGTCCCCGGCGTAAAGACCGGCGTGCCTTCGGGGACTGAATGTGTGACGTGCACGACTCTTCCCTTTGCTGCACGATACCTTTCCAACAATCCCGCAGTCGCCTCTCTCGTCTCCGCAGCATTCGTGACCTTTAATGCTCCCTCGGCATATTCGTTCTGCGCATCGACGATGATCAAGGTGGAATCGCTGGTCGTCGCGGTCGAAGGCTTCTGCCCGGTGAGTTCTCGGAATGCTTTTCCTGATTGTGACATTTTTGATATGAAGATCTCGATGCCCGCGAGAAAGGAGAAGCTTGAATGGATTCTTGAACATATGTGTACTTGCCGTTGTCGAGCTTGACCTCTACCTACCCCGCTGCTGCTGCTGTAGGTTAATGACGATGATGATGATGATGAAGAGCGCTCATTCCATGTCTCCATCATCACCAATGCGTTCGCACCCCTCTGTCCAGTCTCGACTTCACATCCGAACCTTCGACTGTAGGTCATGTCATCGGTCATCCTTATCTTGCACAGCCCAGCCTCCTTCTCCGAACGCCGTAATAGGCAGGCACACGCAGGGTCACCAACCTGACCACGAGAGTGACAGGCATGTTTCGATAGAATACCCGCGATTTGGCCACGCGAGACGGCGCGGTACGCGAGAATGAGATCGATTCCTTGGGGTAATAAGACCGTAATTGTTGCAACAGAAACACGATGAGAAGAAGAAGAAGAAAGCTCACGATGATTACTGTAGAATATTGCCCGCGTTGAAAGCCATGAAAAAAAGAACACCACTCCCTATCAACAACCCGGTCTCCAAAACACCCAAACCCTCCCCCTTCTTGCCGCACTCCATCTTCTCCAGCTCCGGCCACCGCAGATTCTCCGTTCCATGCCTCTTATTAGCATGTAAACCAAGCTTCTAGCCCATCTAGAGTCTTGGCTGCGATAAGAGCCTCGAAACGCTCTCCAGTCAGCTCCACGAACCCTTGTCACCTACGCATAGATTCAGGACATAGACCCGAGAGGGTGCTTCTTCGCGGTCTTGGCTTGGATCACAAGCATCCGCAGGCAGGTAGGTCATGGCACCACAGGGGAATTGGTATAACTAAGAGATATATAGCAGTAGTGGAGGTAAGTCGTTTTCATTCTTTCCCTTAGATTTTCGTTGTTGTTTTTTTGGGCTTGGTCATTCTACCATGTCCGGCCACGAAGTCGAAAAAGGCCCCATTTCCATCTCCGACCACCATCTAGGCTATACGAAATCCTCCAATGAAGATGGCGCTGTCCGGCGGCGGAGTAGCGTTATCAATCCGGAAGTCCTGACGGGGGAGATTTTTGATGATCGGTATGAGTCTACGCAAAGAGGTCTCAAGAGCAGACATGCGCAGATGATTGCTTTGGGGGGCACGATCGGGACAGGATTATTCGTAGGCTCAGGTCAGACTCTGGCTCGTGGGGGACCAGCGTTCATTCTCGGAACGTATGCGCTCATGTCGTTTTTGGTCTGGTGTATTGTTACGGGAATGGTGGAGTTGTCGGCGTGGCTTCCGACGAAGGGTTGTTCGATGAATATGTTTGGGTGGAGGTATGTTAGTAGGAGTCTTGGTAAGATTTTTGCAACCCCGTTTTTTTTCTTGAACGATGGGTTTTGCTGACGAGGCTTGAGGGTTCGCTATGGGATGGCTATATTTCTACTCCCTCGGGATCTTGGTTCCGTACGAGATTACAGCTGCGGGACTGGTTATTGACTACTGGAGTCCGCCGGTCAATATCGCCGTGTGGATCAGTATCATGATTGTGGTCATTGTTGGTCTGAACGCTTTACCTGTAAAATTCTACGGCGAGACGGAATTCTGGTTTGCGGGTTTGAAGATCATTATGATGATTGGTCTTCTCATTCTGTCTGTTATACTCTTCTTCGGCGGAGGTCCGAGTAAAGATCGCCTGGGTTTCAGATACTGGAAGGATCCAGGCGCTGCGAACACATACCTGGCAGAGGGTGATACCGGTCGCTTCTTGGCTGTGCTTTCAACCCTGGTTCTGTCTGCTTTCCCCTTCGCTTTCGCACCTGAGCTTCTCATCGCTACTGGAGGCGAGATGGAGAGTCCGAGACGCAACCTTCCGACTGCTGCGAAGCGGTACATCTATCGTCTGGTGATTTTCTACGTTGGTTCTGTCCTTGCCATTGGCGTGATTGTGCCGTCCAACGAGAAGCGTCTCACGAACGGTGGTGCTGGTGCTGGATCTTCGCCTTTCGTCGTGGCGATGAAGAATGCTGGAATCACTGGTCTCGACTCGGTCGTCAACGCGGGTATCATAATCTCAGCTTGGTCCTCTGGAAACTCATTCCTGTTCCTATCAAGTCGATCACTGTACGCTCTAGCACTGAGCGGCAACGCACCAAGAATGTTCAAAGCCTGCACAAAGAACGGAGTACCCTACAACGCCGTGATCGCCAGCTCTCTCTTCTGCGCTCTGGCATACCTCAACGTCGCAAATTCCGGGTAAGCAAATCAATCCTCAAAAACTTTCCACAACTTACCACTAACTGACCATCCCTCCAGCTCCGTCGTCTTCAACTGGTTCGTAAACCTAACCAACACCTCGGGCTTCATTTCCTGGATCTGCTGCGGAATCGTCTACTTACGCTTCCGCAAAGCCTGCATCGCTCAAGGAATCACCTACAAAGATCTCCCCTACCACTCCAGCTTTCAACCCTGGGGCAGCTACGTCGCCATCGTCGCTTTCATCTTCCTTACGCTTGTCAATGGTTTCAACGTCTTCTGGCCGCAGAATTGGAGCGCCTCGAGCTTTTTGACCGCGTATGTTGGGATCCCACTGTTTTTGGTGATTTATGCGGGTCATAGGGTTTATGCTTGGAGTGATCCTTGGGCTCATGCGCCTGAGCTGGTGGATTTGAGAACGGGGATGCAGGAGGTGCTTGCGGAGGAGACGGAGGGGAAGGAGTTTAAGGGGTGGCAGAAGATTAGGCATATTTGGGAGTGAGGCGGATATCGCTGTTCGAACAAATTTTCTTATCTTGAAGCATATTTCGTGGTGTGTGGCCGTCGTACATGCCTATCTATATTGTAGAAGCAGCAGACCGAGCACGGATTTTTTAGGTGATGTGAGGCGTGAGTTCACCTTGTTTCTGCTTGTTCAATCAAAAATTGTCCAGACTTGTTATTCGACGTGTATGATCATCATCTGAGACCATGGCGGAAGCAGCCAACGAGAGTGTAATATATTAAGAGGTGAGGAGTGGAGAGTCAACTCACGCCAAATCATTGCATTCATTTCAATTCATGGTATAATCGCATTCAATAATCGTCAAGTCATCCAGTATCATGGCCCATCCCATCAGACGGAGCTTGACCAGGAGCCTCCCTCCTTATTCTCCATCCTGAATCTCAGGTGGATGGTCATTAATGTCATCAATCCATATTCGTTTCCAACACGCCAGCTCATGTAAGCTTACTGAGCTCTACCATACTTCATGTTTTTTGTCCACCCTGTGTGGAACACCAAGAGGACCATAGCGGCTCGGTGGCATGGCATTAGCGAGCTCTTCAGCTGTTGGCGTGGTCGAAGCAGGCTTGCTAGAAGCAGCCATCTGTGAGGATCGAGCCACTTGTTCACCTCCGGCCAGAGTCCTGGTTGATTGAGTCAACAAACCACGTTCAAGTTGAGTATCTGGCCTAGCAGCATTTGAGGAGCCTGAATTGACAGTAGAAGGCTGACTTGAAGCAGTGTTTACCTGCGAAGACCGCTCATGACGCGGACGGATGCTGGTGTTGACCGTCGAAGGGACAATGCTCGGAGCAACGTCGTCATCGGTGAGATCGACAACAGCGTTAGAAGGGGTTGACGTCTTCGCCTGTGTAGCGAACTCGCGGTTCGTTTGAGTGTTTGCAGTCACGTTGCCGGGCGGAGCAAGCGATGGCAGAACAGAGGCGCTGTTGACTGAAGCGAATGGAGCCGGAGAATTTGATGTGTCCACCTGTGTAGAGAACTCGCGGTTCGGATGAGTGTTTACGTTGGCGGGCGGAGCAACGTCGTCATGGGTGAGATCGATGACAGCGTTAGGATCGATTGACGTGTTCGCCTGTATAGAGAACTCGCGATTTGTATGAGTGTGTACCTTGCCGAGCGGAGCAAGGAATGGCGGAACTGAAGCGAACGGAACGGGAGAACTTGACATATTGATGGAACGACCATGCGACTCGCGATTTGGGCCATTACCGAAATTGCTCGAAGCAGGTGTCAATGACGCAGCAGGGCTCTTGCTGACGAAGCTATTGAAAGACATGTGGGTGGCGTCTTGGCCGATCAATGAAGAGAGTAATGGGCCTGGCGGTGGCAGTCCGAGCCAAGTAGGACGCGCTGGAGAAGCAGAAAGGTTGAGAGAGTTGGGCATCTGCGTTGTCGAGAATTGCGATGGCATAGATGCGCCGGGAGTCGCGACCCTTGCTAGAGGTAGACGTGAAGGGCTCGAGGCCGACTGCTCTGGAACTCGAGTCGGAATCCCAGCCCGACGGCGCTTGATAGGGCGCTGCTGCTCTTCGAACACTGGCGGCGATGGTGCAGGAAGAGTTCTCGGTGGCGCAGACATTGCCGGAAAGGCTGGTCGCATCACCTCGTTCGCTTCCCCCTCTTCTCTATCCTCCTGAATCTCCGTGAGCGAGAATGGATAGGTCAAGCTGGCTGGCTTGCGGCCGAGACACTTTTGCATCACAGCCTGATAGCTGCGATTGTTGCATTTGAAGCCTTCTCCGAACACAGCCTTGCCCTGATCGCAGCCCCTCAGGTGCTGTCTAATGAAGTCTCCGAGATCGCAATGTCGATAACGGCCGCAAGCACATTTATAGATGGCCATGTTTCTGCTCGAGTACAAGCAATGTGCAGCGGCCTCGTCCTTCTCCTCCCAGGTGCCGTTGCATGCTGGGCAGCCGTAGATGGTCATGGTGTGTAATCGAGTCGGTCTTGGTGTGTATACTTTTGGTGTCCTTGGTCGAGGCTGGCGCACGCCGTGCTATAAATCCCTCGAGTGCTGCTAAGCCCTCAATGTCTGTGTACTGCAAGGCGCGAGGAGAATAACGGTAAGCTGCGAAGGTACTGGCGTGCTTCTTGTGCAAATTTTGGTAAAGGTCTCGCGTAGGTAAAAAGCGGCTTCAGCGTCTGCTTTTGCATGTGCCGAGATGGCGCTTTGACCGCGTTTGCATTTGAACGCGTTTGCTGTGCGACCTGCCATGTGAGCTTGGACTTCACGCGAGGTTTCGTGAAGTCTGAAGATGGATCTCCATTCACAATACTCAATTCACTCTGCGGAACCATATTCTTTTGTGCATGAATGCTCTTGGATACAGAAAGCAGCGTGCAGCGTGTTGCGTGCTATCTTCATGTGACAGCCGGCAAGTGAATGAACTTCGAAGTGCACTCAAAGCCACTTCAGGACCGTTGCTTGTTTTACCATTTCCAACCCATCTCCGAGTCTTGCGCAACCCGATGATTGCCATCAACTCTCGTGTGTTGAGGAGCGCTCTAGACCTAAAGTACCTTCTGGTGTAAGTGCATGTATCGAGGGTCCTCTTGGGTTTCCTGCTTCGTTAGATGCCCTGGAACAAGGTAGGCATCGTGCGCACCTTCCAACATCATATTTCGATTTGACACGTCCTCTCGCAGACTCATTCAATTGACATGCTGAACAGTTTTAGCACCATGCAAGAAGTACAGGCGCGGGAAAGTGCGCAGAGAAGTCGCGTCATTACATTTCGAGTAGGCAGGAATATTCTGCTGCTTCCCAGTTGCTTGAGACGAGAGGCGGTAATGCCATGCTGGTGTCGTAACTGTTGGCCTTGCTTGATGGAAACAATTGCATCAAAGGCATGAAGATTCTGAGATCGGTATCGGAATACGAGTTCGAGGTAGGTCGATGTGCAGATTGGAATGCGAAGCGAGTTGAGGTGGAACATCATGCAACAAGGACATCATCTTCCTGCTGCGGGAGAGCAGCCGCAGTCTTGAAAGCTTTCATTTCAAAGTGGTATCAAATCTGAACAGCCCATTCCCTCCCTGCAGACAGTGTTCCTTGTCATGCTTTTTTGAAGCGCCGTACGCCACATACTTCGTTCACATGCAAAGACGTCAAACAAGAAATCAAGTCATTCAAATCTTGATCTCACGCTCGGCACGCTCCTTCTTCTTTCGGTCGTGAGCCTGAGCCTTGGCACCCATGATACCACCACCCCAGTGACGCTTGGCCTCCTCGTTCTTCTCCATGTAGCCAGTCTTGATGGCCTCGACGAGCTTGGAGAGCTCATTCTTGTCCTCTTGGCGGACCTCGGTGAGAGCGAGAGCGGCGGCGGTCTGGGGAATATCAGTACTGGCTGCGAAGTTTAAATGGTGAGACGAATTACCTTCTTGTGGACGACAGTTCCGAGACGAGCTTTGCCCTTAACAATAGCGTATGGGACACCCATCTTACGGCAGAGAGCTGGGAGGTAGATGACGAGCTCGATTGGGTCGACATCGTTGGGGATGAGGACGAGAGCAGTCTTCTTGGCCTCAATCAGAGCAACGATGTGGTTGAGACCGTACTTGACGGCGTATGGCTTCTTGCTGACATCCTCCTTCTTCTTGCCCTCAGCAACGGCGGTGGCCTCCTTGTGCAGACGCTCCTTCTTCTCGGCCTTGGTCTCTGGTCGGTACTTGGTGAGCAACTTGAAAGCCTGGGCGGCAGTGTTGCGGTCGAGGGTGTTGGAGAACTGAGCAATAGCCGGTGGAACCTTGAGGCGCATATTCAAGATCTTGCGCTGGCGTTGAAGACGGACATACTCCGGCCACTTTACCATGCGCGAGAGGTTGCGCTTTGGCTGGATGTCCTGGCCGATACCGAAGTTGCGCGGGCGGCGCTCGATGAGGGGGTTCTTCTGAACGTCAGCAGGAAGCGGAAATAGTCAGTAGGATCGTACGTACCTTCGCCTGCTTCTTGCTCACACCAGCCTTGCTTGCTGGGAATGGAGCCGGAGCGGCCTTCTTACCACCGGTCTTTGGAGGCTGTCATTGAGAAGAACAGTCAGCTACTGCTGTGTCTTCTCTAGAGAGAATGTGCGATGTCTCGTCACATCTCAAGCCATTGTCACACGCATCGCTCCGCAGAGGATGGTGGAATTGGGATCATTGCTGTCGCATGCCCGCTGAATCGAAAAATTTGCGTAATTTGATCAGCGAGCAGAGGCGGACAGCTAGAGTATCAGGTGTCTGATGCCATGCTTACCATGATGACGGTCGGGTGTTCTAACGAAGAATAGAATTGGGTGTCGTTAGATGTGGTGGCTTCAACGAGCGTGCGGAAGAAAGTCGTGCTGAAGTCGAGAATCTGGAGAGTGTGTGAGCGGGCTTGGCGGCTTGGCGGTTTGGCGTTGGTGCCTGAGGATGACGTGGCCGGAGCTCTCGGTGGGTCGATCAGAGGCAGCTCGTGACATGCTGCAGTGAGAGTTTCGAAAAGGCTTCATCATCTCCAAGAACTTTGACGCGACGACACTTCCTCAAACACAGCAGGCACCGACATTCGCCACTTGCTCGTCGACAATTGTGCTGCTCCATATCGCTGCCCTACCACGCATCCGCCCTCACCCCGGCGAGGCTCATTTGCGCACCTGGTCGAGTGATACGTCATCCCGCCATCTTCATCTCGAGCGAGCACAGCTGCAAACTCAACGCCGACATTGCAGTTACTCGACTTGGCTTTGACGAAATTTCACGGCCGCCTACTGAAGAACACTGATCTCCCCGCAGCCACTGGACTGCGCGACGACCGTTGCCGCCTACAGCCGCCAAGATGTCCGGTGTACTACGAAGCGTGAAGAATGTTACCAAAGGATACTCCTCCGTGCAGGTGAAGGTGCGAAATGGTAGGCCGAAGCATATACCAGGCGTCGTGAATGCACAGGCAGCTGATTGAGGAGTACAGCCACCAGTAACGATCCATGGGGGCCTACCGGCACAGATATGGCAGACATTGCCCGAATCACATACAACAGGTAAATCTGTCCTTTCACTATGCTCCTCGTGTGCCTGCCGATACCCTTCTGCTTGGCGGCGGCCTTCCATCTATCTCTACTTGCTCGAGCATGGGCTAATCGGCGCTATGTGCGACACAGCTCGACCGACTTCTACGAGGTAATGGACATGCTCGACAAACGACTCAATGACAAAGGAAAGAACTGGAGGCATGTGTTGAAGAGTTTGAAAGTGCTGGATTACTGTCTTCATGAAGGCTCGGAATTGGTCGTGACATGGGCGCGGAAGAATATCTACATCATCAAGACACTGCGCGAGTTCATCCACATTGACGAAGACGGCCGGGATGTCGGAGCGAGCAGTAGGTCTTGGCGGGAGAAAGTATGAATATGATAAAAGCTGACATGAGACAGTCCGCGCATCCGCCAAAGAGCTGACTTCTCTAATCCTGGACGAAGAGCGACTGCGTTCTGAAAGACAAAATCGCGGTTCCTGGAAGTCGCGTGTTACGGGATTGGAAGACTTTGGACTTGGCGGAGAACCAACACCGCACCAGCGAAGGCAGCAGCGTCAACGACCGCCGAATGACGATGACGATCTCGAATATAAACTTGCGCTTGAGGCCTCGAAGCACCAAGCGGAGGAAGATGCTGCGAGAAGAGGAAAGGGCCAGCCAGTGGATACTGATGATGATTTGGCAAAGGCATTGAAGCTGAGCAAAGAAGAGGAAGAATTGAGGCAGCGTCAATTGGCGGATGCGCAGCAAGAAGATCTGCTGTTTGACGATACTCCAGGCCAAGCGCCACAGCCAACCGGTTTCAACCAAGGCTACCAGCAACAGGCTGCTGTGGACTGGTTTGGTAACCCCATCCAGCAACCTCAGCAGACTGGATATTTGAACAATGCTTACAGTCAGCCGACCGGAATGCAGCCACAGCAGACCGCTTTTCAGAATGGATTTGGCTATCAACAACCACAGCAGACTGGTTGGGAACAGATGCAGCAACCACAACAGCAATTCATTCAGCCACAAACCACATACAATCCATGGGCGAACCAGATGAATGGCTTTGGCCAACAACAACAGCAGCAGCCGGTGCAAGAGCAACCCACTGCTCAGCCTGGATCGAACAACCCATGGGCATCGAACAATGCGACTCAGTCGCCCATCGGTGTTCAGCCAACAGGATCGAACAACCCATTTGCGTCCCAAGCCCCGCAACGTCAAACATCCTCGCCTTTTAGACAACCGACTCTTGACACGCTACGCGAACAGCAAGCGACGCAGCAATTTCAGTCACGACCGAACCCGATCCAAAACTTCACAGCGCCACAGCCTACCGCCTCCCCGATCCAGCCACAACAAACGCAACGACCACCCCAAGACCCGTACCAGGCCAAGCTTAACTCGCTGCTGGCTACTGGCGATGGGCAGGACACATTCGGAAATGTTGGCGATCTGCGTATTCCTTCCCAGCACACTGCACCTGGCACTTTCGTAAACAGCGCTGGTGCAGGATCAATGGGCAGACTGGAGGCTGCGAAGACCGGCAACAACCCATTCTTCAGCCAGGCGCCACAACAGCAATTCCCAGCACAGACTGGTCCTGCGGGTGGCTTTGGCGGCAATAACCCATTTGGAGCGAGACCGCCGCAGCAGAACCCGAACCAAGGCAGTTTGATCGATTTTTAAGTGATGGATGGACATAGGAGGCTTTTTGAAGCATGGCGCATACAGGACTGGCGAAAGTTTCGGAATCCATGCGTCCTTCCCTTTTTCGGCATTTTATCGTTCGTGATACCCGCTGCTAGTCTTTGCCCACTGGAGCGGTTGCTTTGTAGATGAGACGGGAACTTCCCTATGGATGTGGGTTGGGAGGCTTGGTCAATCAGGACAGCGATGAAAATGAAATGGTGGTTCCTGTTAGTCGCCTTCGGCAATCGTCATCTTGATATTTGTTCGTTATGTGCGACTTCGTTTGAGCTGTTTCTGCTTCAAGGTCAGTGTCCTGGGTGAAGAGGCGCCAAGCCATTTTGCATACGGAATGAGGCCAAGTTCAGCGGTTGACGTTCGATGCAAGCCATTGATCCGCGCTGACGGCGATGCTCCAGGAATATAGAGATTTCTCCCATGACAAGTGTAGCCGCTGCCAGTGCTGTTGCGAGGGTGCCGAAGATGACTGTTAATAGGTCTCAGAGTGGAAACGTTGTCAGATATCTGCTGATGGTGCTGGGATAGCTGACGAAGAAGGTTGGATTGCATAGTGATCAGGGTCAAGGGAGAGCGGACAGATGCTGCTAGTCTGAAAGGTGATGTTCATCTTGCAATCTTTTGCGACAGCTATACTGACGACTTCAGAGCCTTCAGTGACGGAGGCACTGCAAAGCATCTGGGCGGCGCCTGCTCATGGCTGACCAGTGCAATCGGATTCCATTGGCTCGGATCAGCTCTTCTTGAAAATCGTGCGACTACAGTGCGACATTCTAGACAAGAATCGAGTTGTTCCGATTGAACAAGCATGCGAAAGGCAACTGCAAACAGCTGCACCCATCATCCATCACCAACCAGCCAAACCACCTGCCTTGGCCCCGATGAAGGCCACACGGCCAAAACCAAATCACGGAAGACCCAGATAAATCGCGCAGTCTGTGCATGACGAAAGGCAGGAGGCAATCCCATGGGGCACTCTGCTAGACCTGCACGTTTGCTGCAGGCACCAATCTTGGCAATCTTTTCGTTCTTTTCTCCTTTGACATTTCAAGACTGCCATACCTTACACAAGGAAGCTATCTACCCTACCTTACTATCCTGGCCCTGATCAGAGCGAGTACTCGACGGAAACCCGGGGCACGTGCGGCGGCAACTCATCTGACTCAACTTCTTGCTCCAAGCTGTCAGCTCCGCGAGGAGATAAGGTGCATGTACATTGGCTCTCATACACATTCAAGAACATTAGCAAGGAGAGGTAACGATACTTTTGATGAATTACAAATGTTTCTGGAGGTTGTTCGAGGAGATTTCCTGAAGCTGGGAAGGGTACTTGTCTCTCTTCATCTGAAGGCAACGCTCTGTGGCAGGTATCCCCCGGGGTCCTGACCTCCTTATCCCCCGGACCTTGAAAGGATTGGACGACATTCAGACAGTACTACATGTAATGCCTACCGGCGTCGCCTAATGGTCGACAAAGCAGGGTACCGAACGGCCGAACGGCTGAGCTGTTCTGAAAGGCCAGCGCTCTTGTTTCAGTCGATGGCATGCAAGAGGATCCGTGATCGTGCGTCCTGAAGGAGACTGTAAGGTTCTGGAGGAACCGAGCCAGAGGCCTGCAATGAATAGAACTGTACTCGCTAGATGCTGCAGGTACCACGCATGCGTGTCACCAGACAAGAGGGCGTTGCACAATCGCTCGTCGAAAATTGATGCCTCAGGCACTCAGCCTTGCGCTACAAACCGGACATCAATCCAGGCGCCCAGATTGATGTATTTTGCTTTTTCTTGATGTAATTACCATACCTACGTAGCAGCTGTTCGTGAAACTATCGGAAATAACACAGTGAGGCCCGAGAAACAATGTTCGAGATTGTCAAATTGATGACCCGCCTTGAGGCCAGGGAGTATCACATTTTTTTCAGTCCTTCGATGATTCTGCGCGCTCTGTAATCTCCGTGTTGAATGTGGTATCCACTCATTGCAAGTAGGCAAGGTATCTTCAGCACTTTAAGGTCCTTTCCAGCCATGGAGCGTGCCAGGGCATAGAGGTCGAAGCCTTGCATGTGCGAAGCCAGTATTATTTACTAACGACATGCTGGTTGCGCGAGCCGCTGGGATATGGATCGATTCACGATTTCGTTTGCACTTCCAGAAATGACGACATGGTAGTGTAGTGATGGGCCTGCAATGAAAGCCTTTGATTTCGTGTGCTATCTATTTTGATTCCATCGCACTCCTCGTCCTGGCCATTCGAGGCAATCGGAAATCAAGACCCTATTCATCAACGCAGTCTTCCATCCCTCGCGTTGGCCTCCGCCTCATCGAGAACCCAGACCACACCCATGCCAGCATCTGCAGATATCTCTTGACCGTCCTTGCCAACCAGCACAGCAAGTGGCTCTCCATCCTCATTAATGTTCAAAGTATTCTTGAGATGACCAATCGTACGGAAGGGGATTGAAGTAGTTCCGAGCCATTTCACTGTGAAAGTCGCAGAAGTTGCCCAGTTCAGCTTAGCAGCCCAGGCTGGCTCTGGAAGATCAGGATCCGGCAGCGAGGTCATAAGAGCGTAGCCTTGAAATGCCATCGACTTGTTTACGGAGAAAAGGAGGATTACATGTCGAGATGTTTTGAAGGCTTCAGTTAGTAGTTGTTCATTCTTCTCTTGGGTTGCCCAGACACCTTCACGCTGGGCGGCGTTCACATTTTCGTGGGTCCAAGATTTGATCATGAAGTATCGTACACCTGAGAGTAATGTACAAGTTAGACCATGGCCAAGGAAGCAGAAATCGATGTAATGCAAGACTCAATCAATTTCCTTCTGCAGACAACAATCCTTCCTGCCAAGCAGACTGGCCAAAACGCAGCAAATTCAAGGATGCATCAAGCATACGCCATAGCAGGTTCAGAGGTACTAACCGCCTTTTCTGAGTTCGAGCGCTGCGCTGCCTCGATATTTTTGACCAGAATGGCGTGATGCGATTGGCGTTGCACTGTATGCGGTGCGTGATGGAGGGTCTCTCGGAACGTAGTGATCGTAGCGTGGTGGCTCGCCATCGCGACGGTAGTAAGACTGCCTACGCTCCAAGGATGGATCTCTGGAACGCTCAGAGCGCTCGTCGATGGAGCGACGGCGAGTGTCGGGGTAGGCGGTGCGACGATCGAGAGTGGGTGGACTGCGACGATCGAAAGTGGGTGGACTGCGGCTGAGACGACGGGATTGGCGATTGTCAGTAGCTTCAGTGGCGCCACGAATGCGGAAGCCACCATTGTCCTGAGAATAGTCAGTCTGGTGAACTCATGAAGGCCATGTGACCGATGACTAGGATGGGTGAGCTACAATCACTCAATTTCACATACCTCACGACGTCTGGCGTTCTTCGCGGTGGGCGTTGCTTCTGGTGAGCGTGCACGCTTGACGCCGTTAGTGGCAGGAGGCATAGCAGATGGCAGAGGGGGCGGCGCCATCTTGGGTGTCGGCATGGGCGTGCTCAGCCTTATCTGCTGCATCTCTTGTTGCTCAATTTGCCTCAGCTTCTCCAAACGCTCAGCGATTCTCGCAGCCTCCTCTTCAAGAGTGCGGCGCTCCTTGTAGGTGCGGAGCTTATTGTTGCGGAATTCGACATCGTGGTAGCCTGTGAGTTCCAGCCAGGCTGGAAGATCAGCATAGTATGAGTCTGAGAGGTTAGTTGAACGTTGCTGCTCGATTGGTCGAGATGGTTCTGGGTTTGGCGGTTGCTCTGTCTTGATCGCCCCTTGAGCAGTAATTGCGCTCGTCTTGGTGCCATTGACCTGCTGGTCCGCCTTTTTGCTCTTTGTAGTATTGACGTCCGGAGAAGCTGGCTTCGCAGCAAGCGCGGCAGTCTTTGCATCCGCGTAGGCTTTGCCTTCTGCAATCAACATCTCCAGGGTGGAAACAGCGGTCGATTGGTCGGCGGCTTTCCTGCTCTTGTCTTCTGGCGGCGCTGGCGGATCGCTCGACATGTTGACAGACGAGCTGTGATGCTTCGCAGGAGGTGCAGGTGTTTTGGAAGGAGTGTTTTGGCGGGATGGATTTGTTTGTTTGGCGGGAGTGTTTTGACGGCGAGCGATCAATTTGGCTCGCAGAAGCTCTGCCTGCCGCTGGTTCTCAGCTTTCTTCTCTTCGGCAAGCTTCTGGGCCTGTGCGTCTACTGTTTGGTGGTTTGCTGCCTGTCAAGTTCTTCGAGTCAGTCTACTCACATGCAAATCAGCGAGAGCACATACACCGGCTTGAGCATCACCATTGGGTGCACTATGTTCGTTGTAAAAGTCGTCGTCATTGTCATCTACCTCATCTTCAGCATTCGCCTGCTGCGCAGTATTGAGGCCAAATAAAGCCATCAGGTCATAGCCCTCCATATGAGAGCCGGCCTCTGGATGGCCGTGCTGACCGTGTTGGAGCAAAGAAGTCAAGTTGAGCGCAAGACGCAAGGCGTCGCGAAGATTTCCAGTGTACCTTAGCGCGTGGGAGATGCTACGGCCCACCCGGCGATCCAAGCTCTGCGGAAGCGGAACCAAGCTATCACGCAAAGCGCAGTTGATTAGTTACGTCATACTGCATTGTCGGACAGTGTGAAAATTCTTCATATGCCAAGAAGTCATGTAGCAGTCATGTGACTGAGCTGATACAAGCGAGTGATATATCCTGATTCGGAATTTCCCCCACTAGCACCCCTGCCTTCGGCCCTTCGAACAATCTTCGGGTCAAGTACCGACATTGGCTGCAGTGGCATTACCCAGTAGATATTCTGCTTGACGCGTGGACACTGCACTTTTGTAGGACAGCACGGCAAAACCGAGCCTGAGGTATGGTAGGGGAAGAGCAGGAAGCGACTCTTTGCGCTGCATCAGCGCCAACAAACCATCCCGCCCAGCATGCATTGAATGCTGCATGTTTCCTTATGGATCTTGCCATCAGCTTAGCTACGGATCACATGCACTCAAAAGCTCACCGGAACAACAATGGCCGTTATATGCGTGCTGGCATGCCTATCTGCATCGGTCCTGTGGAAAGTCAATGCTCAGCTCCAGTGGCAGGCACAGCAGAGCTTGCAGAACTACAGATCCCCAGTAAGGCTGCGATCCTCTCACGTCCTACTACGTACGGTACTGATCAGAATAGTGCGACCTGCTTTCGGCGACATTCCCTGCACAAGTTTCTGCTTCTCACGACAAGTCTTATGCTGATAGCCAGGCAGCCTACTGGACGGCTCAGCAAGCAGAATTGACCCCAGAATGCCGCTTCTATCCTCGCAATGCCAGAGATATTGCAGAAGCCCTCGCAGACATCATCATCCCTCAGAATGTCAGCATAGCCGTGGCCTCAGGAGGACATTCTTCCAACACTGGAGCTTCTAACATCGACCACGGAATCACTATTGATCTGGCACGGCTGAATCAGGTCAGCCTTGCAGATAAGAACAGCGCTGTCTATCTTGGTCCTGGAGCCCGTTGGGAAGACGTCTATGCTGTTCTCGAACCGCACAATTTGACTGTCTCGGGCGGTCGGGTTGCTCATGTCGGAGTTGGTGGTTACGTTCTTGGAGGCGGACTCTCCTGGTTCACTAACGAGCACGGCTGGACCTGTGATAGCGTGCTTGATCTTCAGGTGGTAACACCACGAGGACAAATATTGTGGGCCACGGAGCATTATAACGATGACATCTTCTATGCTTTGAAGGGATCTTTAGGCGCGTTTGGAATTGTTACTCAGATCAAGATGCCAACGATCTCGAACTCAGCTGTGTACGCCGGTGAAGTAGCGTACAGCCCTGGTAAGTCGTAACAGGTCTTAAAGGAATGTGATATTACTCCTCTGCAGACCATTGCATCGATGAGTGTCGGCATGGGAACTATCGCTGTCTTACGTCGAGCACGCTTCGGTTAGCCCGCGACTTGACTAAATCTGTGTCCTAATCCTGAAGCTAAAGCTGACCACATCATATTCAACAGGCAGCGACGAAACCGCCAAACTATTCGATGCACTAGACGACCTCGGAAACCGCGCCAAGACTGAACCAGAGCAGTCCGGCTATCTCTCCTTCGCCTGGTCCGAGGCACGAAAGCAATTTGAGTACACAGCTTACCTATTGAACACCGAAGGCGACTCCGATCTCATACAACCCTTCACAGCAATCCCGCACAAAGCAAGCAGCTTGCGAAGGACAACCATCGGATCCAGCGCAAAAGAAATCAGCAAAACCAATCCTCCGGGCCAACGGCGAACCAAGTTCACGTTGACCTCAAAATCCTCCACCAAAGCCATGTCCGCCATCCACGACACCATCACCTCCTTCACCTCCACCCTCAAATTCGACCAATCCGGCACCCTCACCGTAACCTTCCAACCATTAACACTCCCCCACCTCCCATCCCAACCCAACATCTTCAACCTCAACCCTCATCATGGCCCACTCCTCCTCCTCCTCATTCTCGAAATCTCTTGGACCAATTCAAGTCAAGACTCCTATTTCGAAACCTCATCCAAAAACCTCCGCATCGCGTTAGAAAAAAATCTAAGAGATCTTTCCGCCTTACACCCATTCATATACCCAAATTTCGCCGCAAGAGATCAAAATCCATTCGCAAACCTCACCCCTTCGCAAAGAGGAATGTTAAAAGCTATTCAAAAGAAATATGATCCGGGAGATGTTTGGAGGAGGTTGGTGCCGGGAATTTGGCATGTTTGAACAAGACGCAGACGCAGAAGAAGATGATGAGGATTGCCAAGAAGCTGTGTGTACACCCTGATTCAGCGAGATGGCGGACGGGGGTAATCCCCGTAAACGGCAGCTAGCTTGAAAACGTTAGACGTGAAATTTTTAAAGGTGTGGATAATTCCTTTAGATAGTACGCTAGCTTTGATCAGTTAGATCCCGTTTTTAGGGACTACCCCCGTCCGCTATCTCGCTTAATTAGGGTATACTTGTATGCTTTTATACTTGCTTGCTTACTTGCTTGCTTGCATTTTAACGGAACTGTCCTAAACCCGAAACCCCGGATCGACCGACCTATATATACACTTTTCTATTATTACAAGCACTATTATTATTATTATTAGACAGAAAGTCGCATTAGTCGTCTTCTGAAGGTAGATAATAGGAGAACTAGAACTAGAACTATAGGACATTATTAATAATTGCTATTATTCTACTATAGTAAAGAAGCATCTAGATCCTAAGCGGCAAATACTCGCGTTCCCGGACGAGATAGAAATTCAAATCGCTAATTATTATTATAACAAGCTTGTTATAAGGCTTATATTATAATTCTAGTTAGTAAGAGGAGTATACTAAGCACGTAAGAATCGGAAGCGCGCGAGAGGGCGAATTTGTAATAAATTAATTTCTAGGTATAATCGATCTCTTAGCGGGCGGATAGATAAGATTTAAGAAATAAGAGCCTATCCTCTTCGTAATCTAATATGCAATATCGTAGCGGTTATTAGTATATAACTTAATAGCCTAGCGGCCGCTACTATAAGTAAATAGAATTATAAGGTATATATTCTCGTACGGTTATCCTATCGTCGCAATCTCGGTATTAGCGTTCTTAGCTAGTCTCGTAACCTCCGTAGACTTTAGATAGTAGCTTTAGGTAGTAGCTTTAGGTAGTAGAAAGTAGAAGGAGGCGATTATAATAATAATATAGCAACGGCTACTCGCTATTCGATATAAGAGACCGCTACTAGTCTAGTCGCTCGTAGATTATCGGTTGCCTAGCAAATTTGTTAGCAAAGAATAGAATCTTAAGCAATTAACTAGTCTTAGTACTCTTAGCTAGAACTACCGCCTAACTACTCGCAATTACCGGATATATAGGACTTAGAGACACTCGACGAGCTGTTAGCGGCACTTAATCTAGCGCTAGTAGAAGTAGAAGGCAACTAGCGGTTTAATAATGCCGAGACATAGTGCCTTATAACTAGTGCTATCGATAGGTGTAAGAACTATAGCGAGAGGGCCGATTCTAGCTTTAAGAAGGGGCTGTTTGTAGCAGTAGCAATAGTAGTAAACCTTATTATTATATAGGCGTAGCGGAAGGCTCGTATTATAGCCGCTTCTATAAAGAACAAGCTTACTACGCTTAAAGCGGACTAGAAGATATAGCATAAGATATTAGCTTAATCTAGCTTCGGCATTAATCTAAACAGTAGTTGTCTAACCGCTCCGGACGACGTAGTAAAGGCCTATATTGCTATCTATTTAAGGGCGAAGAAATTCCTAAAGAAGCCGCTTCTGTTCTTAGTCGAGCTAGATTAGCTATTTAGCGACACTACTGCTACCGGAGAGCATGTTTTATCTATAGAAGCGATGCTTAATAGTCTAATTCCTTCTCTAGTGTCTAATCTAGCTCCTATAATAACCGAGAGTAAGGCGGACACTCTAAAGGACGATATTTATACTCGAAAGCGGGTAATCTATAACGCTAACGTAGAAGCTAAACGTCGCCGCTTAGAGGCTTAGAACCGGACATAGCAGACAGTCGATAATATCGTAACGGCGATATATCGTACGGCAGAGATAATAGTAATACTGTTGCCGCTAGGGCGCGCGTTGTCTCGACTAGTTTTCTCGCCGGAATTCGTCGCTAGATATAAGGAGCTTTAGGACCTAACTTTGAGGCAAAAGCGTCTGTTATGTCGTAAGATAACGACGGCGGACGACGGCGATATAGTTAATATCTTCCTCGGCGTACCGCTAGACGCGCAGCAGGCTATATCGATAGCGTTAGTTAATAAGTATTTAGAGGAGTTTAAATCGTTGTCCTAAGCCGAAATACTAATAGGTTAGATTAGTTAGCTATTCTCGAATATAGCTTTTTTTTAATATCTTTATATCGATAGATTTTAGTATAGTTTTAGCACTATCTGAGATTCTAATATAAAACTATATTTCTCGGCTAGAAGTTATATTATATAGATTTTCTAAGAATAGTAGGAAGTCGAGCATTGCACTATAGATACGAGAAACCCTATACAAAACAGCTGCATCTAAGTAACGACTAAGATTCTTAATATTTCTATCGAATATAACGAACGTCCGCCTGTTCTATAACTTCTTTGCGCGGTTAATCTGCCTCGTCTACCTTATTACCTATCTTATTACCTCGCTCCGCTAAGTATATCTAATATTGTCGCTACATTTCTAGCGTAATAGCATCTCTTAGCCTATCTATCGGTCCTTTAATACTATTGTCTTCTTTAGTAGCGGCGGCGGCATCGTCGAATAGCCTATCGTTAGTCTCGTTAGCCTCTAGTTTAAAGTTGTCTATCGCCTTTATACCTATATCTTAGAGGATATTATAGAGGGTAGTAGCAGCGTATACTATAGCTATTTGCGAGCGAATATTATACTACGGCGCACTCTCGAAGATGCGAAAGCGTCGCTTTATTATACCGAACGTACGCTCTACTACGTTACGAAGAGAACTATAGCGTAGGTTAAATAGCTCCTTATAATCCGCTAGCTTTATCGACGATAGGAATTGCTTACGCAAATAATACCTTATACCCCTATATAGCACTATATATAGCGCGTTGTTTAGATAGCTAGCATCCGCGAGATAATATCGTCCTTCTAGCGTACTAAAGCTATAATAAGACCGAGCATTATTAAGTATACGGCCGTCGTAAGCTAACCCCTCCTATCTAGTAAGAATAAAGGTAAACCTTATATTATAGTCTACTACCGCTAATACATTCTGTAATAGTGTGCCCTTACGGTTACGGAAGGCCGCTTGTTAGTTAACTAGTACGTATACTAGTATATAAGAGCCGTCTAGCGTACTAACTGCGTCCTTAAAGAAAGGCTAGTATTTCCGACCCTTCGCCTTAATCGCTAGACTATCGTCTATACTAGCTCGAGTAACGACTGCTAGATACACCTCTATTATAGCGGCTATAACCTCCTATATTACGCGTCTATAATTATTAACCGAGTAGTAGAAGGCTTCGGCTAGGTCTCGAGTATAGCTATTAGTTACAAAGGCGTATAAGAATATTACTACTTTCTATTCTTTGCTAATATGCTAACCGCGCTTTAGGTACGGTTTAATAAGCTAAAACAGGTACGTAAACGCATCTAAATAGAAGCGTATATACCTATATAACCGTCGCGAGGCATCTTCGGTTAATAACGATGCGGTAAAGGCTTCGCCTTTATCGTAGTCTAGGTATAAAGTGCGTACTCTAGGTAGCTAAGAAACGGCTATTTAATATAGCAGTATCGCTAGTATTCCGAAGGTAAAGATAACGTTACGCTTAACGATCTACTAGCGGTCGATAGTATCTATTATTGCTAACAATTATAGTAAGAAGCTCGATTTCTATATACCTCCGAGAAACCTATATCGTACGAAGCCCTCCGACTAATACGCCTGCCCCTTACTCTACGCGTCGACTTGCGCTATTCTCGTTCTATATACTACCCTTAACCTCGATTGCAACGTACGGTCGTTAATCCTATCGAAGAGCCCTTCGGAGGCTATATTTAGTGCTAAAAGCGCTACCCCGGAAGCCGCGGAGGTCTATATTCGATTAAGAAGATTGCACTTAGAAAGGGGCTATTAAATAGCCGTTGTCTATAGCACACGCACCGCAATCCTATCGACAATATTCAATAATATTGAATATTGTTAAATATCGCTTAGATTACGTGCAGATTGGATTACGAAGAGGACAGGCTCTAAGTAGTTAAATGCATCGTGCGGATCTGGGAAACAGAGCAAAGGGTGGGAATGGAATTTTTCATGGCTTCAGCACAGACACTTTCTGCATTCTGCATTCTGCATTCTGTGCACCGCTACGCCTGGTAGTCGCACTATGTGCAGTACAGGTCTTGATAGTCCGCAAGCAGACTACACTTACTACACGCGCACACACTCTGTGAATTGGCTCTCTGGCTTTTCTGACATTAGGTAGTAATACATTAATGCGAAGCGTAGTTGCATTAAGCCTTTGATACGCCGCAAAAAAGTTTCCTCCATTTGCTTTTCTTCGGCTTTTGCGTACTCTTAGGTATCGTAGGTTGTGCATGATGAAGATGTTGAAGCCGATGTACAGCGCTATTCATCGTCTCGTCCGTCGTCGTGGACGCCCTATGTCCCATCTTCTCAGGCGGTGTGACCGATCTTGAAAGTCTTTTGGTCGGTGTCGCTGCACCATCTGCGGTCTTCGTGACGGCTACGGTGCCCTCTACCGTCGGTGTGCTATCCGGGATTTCTACGTTGGCAAGAGGTGACTGTTGTAGCTGTGGCGGCTGTTTCTTCGCTTCCGAGGTGCCGTTAAACTCCCGCGCCAGATCTTCTCTGGAAGTCTCGTGCAGATCGTTGCCGAGGACCAGATCTGGTCGGAAGCTGCTTGGTTCATTCTTCTTGCGCCTGTTGCTTGCCGCACGATGAACTAGCACTGTACTGGAAGAGTCTGCACGTGCGCGACCGACCCTACCGGCATTCACACTGGCGCTCCGACTAGGTGTAGGCGAGTTCGGCTCGGCTTCTGGCATTGAAGCGATGCTGCTGCGATTGCTGCGATTGCTTCGACTGAGCACGCTCGCTCTTCGCATAATACCAGATCCCATACTTTTGAGGCTGCCACGCTTGTCGATGGGCATGTTTGCGGGGGATCCTGGAGGCGTAGCGACTGGGCTGGCGAAAGATTTTCGGGGCGACTCTGCAGTCACTTCGAGATGGTCCTTCTGTTTACCGTCGAATCTGAAGCTTGGTGACCAGCCCTCCTTGAACGTAACCCAGATGGCAGTCACCGAAATGATTTCGCGCAGCGTATCGTCAGTCTCAAGTTCCTTGCCTCCAGCATCATCGTCCATGGCGTTCTCCAGGATCGTCGTCTCGAGTTTGGGCGTACTGAGCGGGGTGGCGGCTGCCGCGTCGGGCAGCTTGTAGGTGTCGTTCACGTCTAATCCCGATTTCGACAAGGTCGCAATCACAGGGTGACGTCGACTGTTTGGTGATATTGTGCTGAAGTTGAATCGTCTGAAGCCGTGCTTATCGGTCTTGCTGCCATCCTTGTTCTTCTTCGGAACCCAGCGTACTTTCGTCTCCAAACCGTGCTCGTCCACTGTACAACACTCATAGCCACCAATGGCAGTCGCATATGCCTCCCATATTCTACCTGACGCCATGTGAATAAACATTTTGCCCGCATTGGCCTTTTCCTCATCCTTGCGACCTTTGCATATCAGCCCCACAACATCTCGAGCTTCTTGCTCCTCGTCGGCCTCCTCTGTACTGTACTTCTCCGCCTTGAGGACAACCAGATCGTTCGGGCACATTGCATGTCTCGCCTTGATCACTTTCGTGATGGCTCGAGTCAGGCGAATGCTAAAGTTCGCTGAAGGGATCACCTCCAATGCCGGTAAAGGTCGCTTTGCTGCTTGTAGTCTGTGCAATTGCAAAAGCGCCCTCGGTCGTCGGTGCAGCTTCTGCTTCATTCTCGATTCGGGAGGTGGATGGCATATGCTGAACATGGTCTTGGGGCGACTGCTCTTCTTCAATCTTCGCGTGACACCATCGACACTACCCTCACGCGAGTCATCACTGGTACTGCGCGTATCTGGCTCCGCAAACATGACTGATCCGTTGCTCCTCGTCGGCGACGGCGGGCCGGCGTCGAATTGGACGGCGGAAAGGATGGGTCGCTTCAGAGCAACATCTGTCTCGGGTTCGACTTCTTTGGATGTATGTTTCGGATCGGTGTTGCTGTTCCCGGCAAATGGGTTCAGCATGTCTAGGACGCTGATGGGGAGCGAGGGCGTCCATCGTGACCAGGTCTGCTGGGGATGCGCTGCATGCGCTGGAGTCGTCGTCGTCTCGGCCGTGGCTGCCATGCTATTACATGGCAGGCTGGGTGGAAATGGCAGTAGTCACCCGGGAGCTGAGGCATGGGGTGGGTGCGGGTGTGGGTGTGCAGTGGAAGGAATTAGGGGCGCGCTTCAGGCGGACAGGATGAATAGAAGCGAACAGCAGCAGTCTGACGTGTGGAAGGGCTCGCTTTGGTGGACAGTGGACAGGAGGAGTCGTCGTATACGGCGCACGATGTGCCGCGTTCCTCCCGCCCTGGTCAGCCTCTACCTCTACGGATCCTTGACGTGGCTCAAGAGTTGATCGGCGCGGCGGGCATGGCGCAGCACAGCGATCCGATCTCTCCGTCTCGCAGCGAAAGTAGTAACGAGTGTAGCAGTGATGCGGGTCACCAATGGAGCGCAGAAACAGAAAGCTACTGTTTGCAATCAGGCCACTCTTTGTTTCGTGTAGCACAATAATGCGGCGCCCGGGTCAGCATCAACATCCGCCGCCCGAGTACAAAGCGCACCACGAGTGGTTAGGATATCCCTCCACCGTCACACATTCCCGGAACGGCCGCGTGCTTTTATCCGGATGCCCATTTCTGAGCTGCACCTCACCCAGTCCACACCAAGACGGCGATTCCTGGTCCCTCCGCCGCCGATAGACCGATGTTACTACTACTGCGCTCTCCTTTCCACGCAGGCCGACACCGATCCATCCTTGAAGACGCCGGAGACGAAATTTCTCATCTGACAGCACTGCAAGGCCATGCCATGCCATGCCATGCCATGCGACCCGGCACGCCGTAAAGCTGTCGAAGTCGCACCACGCACAGTGTAGCGAGCCGGCGCCGAATTGCCTTCTGCTTGAGACGAACTCGTGGCGTGTATGGTTCGCGAGTGGCTGTCGTTCGAAACGCGGCTCGCCCCGCCCCGCCCCGGCGTCCGTCTGAGGTCTGGTGAGACCGTCCAACAGCTCTCTGCACATCGTGGCTACAGCTACATGCACACACAGCGCGCGCGCGACTCTACATGTGGCTATCATGCATGCAGGCACAAAGCCAGCAAACAAGCCACGAGGCTCCAGGAACAAGCATACCGCCGAAACACGCATTCGGCGACTTGGAGCCTTCTTCTGTTTGTGGAAGTCTCTACTCCTACTGATCGCCCTTCTGAGTCCGGGTCCTGGCTACGACACCTCTACCCACATCCTTCTCCAGCAATACCAAGCACTCTCGCGCTCTTGCTTCGAGAAGCTTGTTTCGAAGCTAACCAGATGGGATGCAATCTACTTTGCCAGTTCGTCGGCACGAGGTCATTTGTTTGAGCAGGAATGGGCTTTCAGTCGCTTCTCCGCCAGAATCACCTCCCAGATCGCAAGAGGTGTGTCCTCCATCAAACACACGGCTCAGCAGGACCAAAGCTAAGTACAGTTCCAGTCTTTCCTTTCACTCATATCCATTGTGCCCTCTTAAGGCACGCAACTGCCGGAATTGCTCTCTCGCATATTTCGCACTTCCTGGCTGTCGTTATCCTCTATCAGCTGACCTACGACTTAATTCCTGCCAGCCATGAGAGGAAGCGACGTGTTGCCTTTACCACAGCCTGCCTCCATGTTGTATCTCCTGGCGGTCTATTTCTGTCAGCGAGTTATGGCGAAAGCTTCTTTGCTTTGACGAACTTCGCAGGATCATTTTGCTATTTGGCGAGCTGGAGATGGGTGTCCAGACAGGATCCATCATCAGGTCTTCACGCTGCCGCCTGGGCTATCGCTAGCGGCGTCCTCTTCGGGACGGCTACTATGGTGCGCGGCAATGGCCTCTTGAGTGGAATCATGTTCGCCTGGGATGCCGTCCTCTACCTCCCAGAATTACCAAGAGTACTGCGAGAGAGAACACCAACGGACATGCTCCGACTTTTTGGCGTGCTGACGGGTGGTGCCTCAGTCGCAATCGGCTATGCCATCCCTCAGTTCGAAGCATATCTGGAGTACTGCACAGGCGGCAATAGCAGACCATGGTGCACGAAAATCCCACCAAGCATCTACACATTTGTCCAGGCACACTACTGGAATGTTGGGTTCCTGCGATACTGGACATTGTCCAATATCCCCTTATTTGCTCTAGCCACGCCAATGCTGCTCGTGCTTCTCAGTACAGGATGGGTTGCCATGAATAAGGCACAGATGGACAAGCTCGCTGATGGCCTCAACACCGTAGACGATGCAACCCGTGCGCCGCCCGTCATCACTGCCCAAGAGAAGCAAACATTTTCACACCACATGGCAAGATTTGCGCTGCCTCAAGTGCTCTTGGCAGCTTTGGCTTTGACGAGCTTTCACGTCCAGATCATCAATCGCATATCATCGGGATATCCGGTATGGTATATTCTGCTCGCGTGCGCCATGCATGCTCCTGCACCTTCCGCTCAAAATCCTAGCGCTGCCATGCGCTTCTTCGCCGGGAACGCTCAATGGCTGGTCAGAGCTTCGGTTATGTACGCCATGATTCAAGGGGGACTGTATGCTTCATTCATGCCGCCAGCTTGAACTGACCTTCGCATGCACATGAAGAGAAGAAAAAAAGACAGAGCGAAAGATGCATCGAACGGGTATGCAAAATTATATAAAAATTCCTCGGCTGAATCTCAAACTTTCATCATAACGCTCATGTCTCTTCCCACACTCCCCCTCATCGCCTACAAATTCCCACTATCCTGCATCGTCAACTGATAAGCACCTCATGGCGTAGTCGTGCACTCAAATGGCAACCTTGGCGGGCTTGGTGGCGCGAGTCGAGATATCGGATCGGATCGGATCGGGAGATGGCCAGGGCGTGTGCTCAACTCTAAAAACTCCTGCGTCGTCATTGCCTGGTCTGGTCTGCGATACACGGGGTGAACACAATAATGGCTTCACACGATCGGTTGGACAGTCTCCGCCAATGGTTCACCAACCACGGAGGATATCTGAATCCAGGCGTGAGGATTGAGTACAATGCCGAGCGAGGGGTGCACTGTCGCGCGGCTTCGGATCTCGCGCCAGACTCGCGCATATGCACCGTTCCACACTCGCTCGCGCTCTCAAGTCTCAATGCGCTTGTCGACGACAGCTTCGCGGTCTTCAGAAGTCGCGGACTGTCGCCTCAGGCCATGGGCTACTTCTACCTCATGCATCACTTCCTTCACAGCGAGGAGTCATTCTGGAGACCGTACTTGGACACCCTGCCGCCTCCGACCAGCGAGCATGGAACACCCTTCTGGTTCGATGCGGATGACTTGGCCTGGCTAGAAGACACCGATGTCTTCTTCACCTACAAAGCCCGCCTTGCGATGCACCAAGGAAACTATTCTACCGGCACAGCCATGATCAGTAAAGCCGGAATAGACGTCACGCCGTACAGCTGGTGAGTGGCTTGCAGCTAAGGTAGGTGAGACATCCTTTTGATTCTTCTTTCAGGCAACTCTACAAATGGGCTGTCACAATCTTCACCTCCAGGAGTTTCTCGTCACGAGCATTACACCCACACGACAGCAAGTATTGGGCTGCATACAAATCAGGCCCCGACGGCAGAAGGCAGACGGTCTTGCTCGACCTGTCTCGCGCTTCTTCCGAGCATCTGGACTTCCCAGTCTTGTTTCCCGTGCTCGACATTCCCAATCACAGCCACGATGCGAAAGTCGATTGGACCTTTGACCCTGGCCTTTTCACAATGGCAACGACTGATGGCGCCGAGACTGGCTCCGAAATTCTCAACAACTATGGCCCAAAGGGTAACGACGAGCTACTACTAGGCTATGGCTTCTGCTTACGAGATAATCCGAACGACAAAGTCCTCATGACGCTCAAGCCGCCATCCGACCGCCTGCAGCACGACATTCGCCATGTTCAGCCTGGCTACTTTGATACACAGGGTCAATGGAGCAGCGAGAGAGCAACCTTCGGCCTCAAGCGCATAAGTGCCCATGAGCCATCTCCAGCCGACGTCTTCCAGCAATTGCCAGCACCTCTGTTAGAGCTCCTGGCGTACATGATCCGCTTCGAGCGGCGACTACCTTTTGACTTCATTGATCATCCACGGCAGTCTCTCATTGACGACACCAGCACTAGCAGACACTATCTGCCTCACATCACCCGCATGATAGTAACGTCGATGGCGCCAAAGCTGCAAAAGCTGCAATCGAGCACACCGGATCGTCCACCCTTGAATGCTAGACAGCAGCAAGCACAGATCTATCGTAATTCACAAATTGAGATATTGGAGTCCGTAATCGGCGGCCTTCGAGACTATCTACGCTCACTGCTCCTCACTGAATTTCCTCATCCACAGCCTCTACCCACCGGACCATTTATCACGACATTGGACGGGCTACTGCAGTTGCTCGGGCGACACAGTGTCGAGGCTGCCCGGGCCTTCGTTGATGGCATCGTGGCCAATGCTGGTACACCAGATCTTAGTCAGTTGCGGGAAGCTGGATGGGAGGAAGACATGTTCGTGTTGCTCATCTGCTATTGTCAAATTGCCTTTGGCTTTGAACTACCAGAGTATTGCCAGGGCACCAAGGTCAACGTCGAAGCGGAGCTATTGGCGCAGGAACTGGAACAAGCACGGGATCTTCTCAGTCTTGTTGCGACAGCGAGACAAGCGGTCCCTGCACCTGACAGTATATGGTCCAGCGATCAGTGGACTGAACAGTTTGTCGCTCAAGTCGGTGGCAGGATGTTGATTCATGAAAGCTTCATGATGATGGTACCAGTTGAAGGTCAAGAGGTGGCGAGACCGGTGCTTTATGTGTTGGGCAGTCGAGCGCAAGCCCATGATCAGCACACATAAGAAGAGCCGTCTATGACAACCGTTCTCAGATGAAAGGGTTCCACGGACAGGGATCGCCCTTTGTAGGCTGGCCTGGGTTGCGGTTTCTCCAGCATGGAAGATGCCACAGAAGGCCTGCATGTGACCACGGACTCGGTCGCACGCACCATGTGCTTTGTTGAAAGCCAAATCCGTTTGCTAAGTGCTCATGTGTATAATAGTGACATCTCTTGAGGGCCTCATTCACTACGAAGCTTCACAGCCGCCATGTGATGGCTAGATTCGAGTCCGTGCCCTTGCACACATGCAAACAGGGAGGGAGCTCAGACCGCGTCCTCCGCGCTAAACAGTCGCCGTCCTTCTGTATATAAACACTCGACTCTGCATTACACATCCGAGACGCGACATCCGCACCAACCACCTCGTGTGCATATCCACTCGCCTAGCATGCCGTCCCGAAAGCACACCAAGAAAGCCGCAGCAATGCGCACGGAGAGTACCCATAAGGACAAGAAGAAGGACACACCACCTCACCCGATGAATGTCTGCGACGGAGTCTGGTCCAGCATCGTCGTTCGCAAGGATGAACAAGGTACCGACTCTGTTCGGCGCCATGAATGGAACAAGACCTCGCTTCGCCCATACGCCCACTTCAAGAAGCTCTATGGGGAGCGCAAGTTTTCAAAGCCACACGTAAGCAGTCTTAGTAGCTTCTTGTTAGACAACATCTGACGATTTCCTAGTCTTCTCAGCCGATGCATCGGTCGTTTCTCGATCTACCCCCGGAGCTCCGCAACCGAGTCTACAGACTGGCGCTTATCCATGACCCTACCTACATTGAGCTGTCCGCCAAGACAAACCGAGCCCGCGAGAGCAACGGCCATGCGCAGATCTTCCACGTCAAGCGATACCGCCACAAGATCGCCCCGACACTTCGACTGCTCCGTACCTGCAAGCAGATCCAGCAGGAAGCTGCATCCATCTTCTATGGCGAGCATGAGTTTCGGTTCACTAGCGTTCGAGGCTTGTATATCCTGGAGCGCTTCCTCTTCACGATGGGCACATATAATGTGTCCTGTCTTCGTAAGATTGCCATGCATATCACTATTAGCGGCAACACGGAAGACAACTTCAAGGAGAACCTCGGAGAGTCAAAAGGCACTCTGGCATACATGACTCGCGTAGTCCACAACTGGGGTCTGCGTCGCCCTCACTACAATTGGGGAGGAGATCTCTGCGAGGAGCGCGTCAAGTCGACGTTGGAAGAGCACGGAAAAAACCTTGCCGAGTTCACTCTGATCATGCCAGACACCTTTACGCCGGCTCAGCCCATTGACGATCCATTTCCGTACTTGGATTACGACTTCCTCCTCGATCCAGCTGCATTCCAGAATCTCAAGGTTCGCCTAGTCCGACTCCACGGTGGCTTTGCCTACTACCTTCCTAACGGCGACTCTAACGTCGACCTCTCGAACAGCTATCGAGACTTTGTGCTGCCATATCATCTCGACACCCGCAAGTGGGCCCGACGTATGGGATATGAGGTTTTCGATGTGGCGTACGATAAGTTGGGTCGTTGGCCAGTTGAGTTGAAGAATGGGGAAGAGATCCGCGAGATTGAGGGAGATGACGAAGAGGCTGACTGGTTGGCGAGTCCTTATTGAGATTCTGGGTTTCTTTGCAGAATTCTCAGGACGAGAGTTGCAGACATGAAGTGGAACTACGCGAAGAAAAGCAGAACCGCTTCGCGTATCTACAGCTGCTGACAGCAGAGCGATTGAGACGCTGCGCTTCAGGTAGCAATTCTTGCATTTCGGTTTGATGTATTTTCTCGAGAGCTTTGCGACTTGGTAGTCTTCGCAAGAGGCCATCACGAGTCGATAAGCGGCAAACCTCTGTCGTAGACCACGTAATCATGACTAATAACTATCCCTCATCCTCTCTACTACATTCAAAACCAAGGCTATTCAGGTGCGTTATTGCTTGCTACGAGCACAATATGTTTGCTATGTTTGCTGTACACTTACGTGTATAATAGTGTCGTGTCTTCTGAACTACGTTTCACGCGCGCCAAGTCGTCACAAGATCAAGGCCCGTGCTAGCACATGCAAATGGCGGGAGCTCGGACCAAGCTACTAGCGCAATCAACCTTCGTCTCACTTCCTATATAATCACTCAACCTTGCGCTACCTACACCTTGCAATAGCAAGATTTACATCAACTACCTTAACTACAATCACAGTCGCAAGCATACCAATAGATCGACAACAATGTCCAAACAGGCCAGAAAAGCTCTGCAGGACTCGAATGCGCCACAGCCTCCGATGAATGTCTGCAACGGAACCTGGACTAGCATTGTAAGGAGTGTCGACCCCGTTGGCGCGGTGTCGGTCAAGCGCTACGAGTGGGATCGCACTTCCCTCCAACCCTATTCCAAGTCCCGCAAGCTATATGGCGAGCGGAAGTTCTCCAAGCCGCACGTAAGTCATTGCTCGCATGTCGGAAACAATCAAACACTGACATACTAGTACTACAGCCTGCAAAGCCACCAGCTATATCCTTCCTCGACCTGTCACCAGAATTGCGCAATAAGATTTATGAGCTTGCGCTCGTCCTCGATCCAGCTTACGTCGAGCTCTCTGCTAAGACCACCGTCTTCTGGGAAGGCAATGAAAAAGCTCGCGAACATCATCTGAAGCGGTATAAGTATGACATCCAGCGCCGTCTCCGCTTTCTCCGAGTCTGCAAGCAGGTCTACGAGGAAGCATCACCCATTTTCTACGGCCAGAACGAGTTCCGCTTCACCAGCGTCAAGGGATGGTATGCACTTGCCACCTGGCTTGACCAGATTCGCCCACGCAACCAACGTCTAATCCGCAAAATCGCCATCCATGTTCCGTGGTCCGGCAAAGTCCACGACTTCAAATCCAACGACGAACCCGAGTCTTGGATATGCAGCTCACCATCCTCACTGAGATGGGACTCAAACCACGAAAAGGCTGGAAGCAATTCAACCAGCTCGCGAGCGTCAAGCGCGTCAAACAGATTCTCGAGAATCATGCTACGCTCAAATCCTTCAATCTAGTGATCCCAGATAGTTTCCACCCAGTCTACGAAACACACGTCTACAACTACGACGGCGGTTTCTCTGATTCTGGCTTTGTTTTGGACAAGAGAAAATTCGAGGGCCTCCAAATCAAGCTTATCACACTTCAAGGCAAGCTTCGTTGTGCAGTGGGAAGGTCAGATCGATCCGGTCTTCGAGCGAGCTTCAGTCTTGGCTACACATCCTCCAATCCGCCGTATGGCTAGGCAGGAAGGGATCGAGGTCGAGGATGTGCTTTATGACAAGCTTGGATATTATCCAACTCCAAGTAGTGAGGATCGAGAGGTTCTGCAGGTTGCTGAGGATGATGATCAGTCCTAGAGACGATATCGGATGCAGGGCTTTTATCCATCGCGCTTACCAAAGGTTGGACCACGATTGCTGTGAATTCATATTTCGCACTGCAAGAAGTCATCATCCTGAGCGTTTCCGCTTGGTGCGAGATTAGGAGCCAAGGTCGGTCGCATCGAAGCTGATAGTTCTACCTGCGGAAGGGACTTTGCCACAGGCGTTCGAATCGAAGTATTATATTCTAGTCGCATCTTCTATAAAGCATCCATGACACTACGTTTCACCAACTTCCACAATTCCACTTCATGCCTGTTGTTTTCGTTTTTTTTTTTCGTTCCGCAAACCTCTCAACACCACCAATATCTCCCTCAACTCCTCCACTGCATTCCATAGTTTCTGTCCTCATCTGCACACCGCTCGCCCCATCCATGTGCCGATACCAAAAACAAACACAGTCCCTCCTCGCCAAGTCATCCGTCTACTGGACGTTCCGAAATGGTCAACGTCGTACAAAAGATTTCTTCTTTTAAATAGCACACACATGCCCCAGCCACACAAGCCAGCTACGGAAGAATAGCACAGAATTCTTAACCACGTTTGGAATATGCGAATGACCCGCGCTCCAGTAGTGAACAAAAAAAAATTACTCTCCAGCTCGCACAGTACTCGTCACACACATCTCGTACTCCCGGCCCGACCGATGCCGTGAGCGCCCTTCACTCATGCCAAGATAAAAAATTTTTGTTTTCTATAAACAAAAGGCGTTGGTTGTGTAAAGTTCGCGATGCAGCTCGGAATTTCGGAGACAAGAAGAAGAATCGACGTTGTTTTACAAATGTTGTGATTTAGAAAGACATTTCTGAAACTCTTACCACACACACACACACACACCAACCCTTGTTAGGCACGAACGAACGTTCATCACGTCACATTTATTTTAAAAAAAAAACCACAGCCGCTGCTTGACGACAGAACCGCAAGCTCGCAAGAAAAAAAAATGGGTACAAGATCACCAACCGCAGAAAGAATATCTCACCTCTCCCACCAACGCGGAACACTGTGCCAAAAACTCGCAGCGACAGATATCAAGTACCTCGACCTCGGACTGGAATACCATGCGCTACCCTTACAACTCCGATCGAACATCTCTTCAACCGAGCAGAAAGATTGTCTGAAAGCTTTTACGATTTCTTCAGAGCACGACCATGATCCGGACCTGATAGGATATCTTGTCGACATGCGAAATTTGTGTCGAGTGGCGGAAAATAATCTCGAGAATTTCGATATCGAAGATGCGGAAGTGGCGTTGCAGACGATGGGGGAAGTGTTAGAGGCTTTGGCTGATCAGCTTGTTGCTTTGAAGAAGTGTGTGGATGTGATGCATCGACGGTTTAGTGAAGCGTTGGATGCTGGGGCGCAGTTTGAGGATGGTGGGGAGTATAAATTGGCATTGCGGCCTGAAGATGGCGCGGAGAAGTTTCGATTGTTGAGGGACTGGTTGCTCGAGCTGCCGCAAGTGCAAGGATGGCTCAGAAGTGGCGCTGTGATGAGTGAAGATGAGGCGGTGATGATGGCAGTGAGCGCTGGCAGAGACGGTAGTGAGGTGGCAAGTCAAATGAGCTTAGACTGGAGTGAAGACGAGAGAGTGCCGGCGCGCAGGCGAAAGAGCTGGCGGCGAGGTTCGGAGCGCGAGGTGGGAATGATCGAGCGGCGGTGATGCGCGGTGTCCGCGTGCTTGCAGCTCGTCTGCAAAATGGTCAGTTCGGCGGCGGATGCCGGCAGGATAGCTTGACTTGGAAGAAGTAAGACTTACCATCTGGTCATCGCCCGCCGGTTACCATATTCGTGCTCTCAAAGTCCTTTGTCGTGCTCCGATATTCCATTGGAAGACTGCGTACATGCGGATTTGGCTGTCACATGCAGGTGTCAACTTCACTCCACGCCAGCTGAGTGGTCGGTCGGCTGCGCGTTCATCCACGCGTGTCTGTTGTTGTCACGCTGTCTCAGTCTGCCGCACGAAACAGTCGACAGTCGACTCACCTGCAAACACTGCTTGCTTTCAACGGCTATTTAAGCATCGTAGGCACCAGCATTTGAAAGTTGTTCTTTAGTCCTTCAACAACACAACAACTTCTCGAAGCGCCCACAGCCTGCGAGGCCTTTGAAGCGACACAAAGGCAATAGATAGCAAAACCAGCCAAATCCATTCAGCTAGGTATCAGCCAGGATGGGCGCCACGGCCATTTCCAACCAAGACTACTTCTTCGACTCAGACTCCTTCGTGACAGAGCAGCTGTGTGAGCAGGACCTGGGCGCCTACACCGTTGCTGCCGATGAATTCGCCAATGAGTACAAAGCCCTGGGCGAGGCCTACCACAAGCTTCCGCAGTTCATTCGCAGCCACCAGCGAGTGCGTCCAGAGTGGCGAGAGTACTGCGAGATAGCCTTCACGGTGGAGGAGACACGTGAACTTCCCGACATGCTTCAGATTCTTGGGATGCTGGATGAGGAGTTCAAGCGAGTTCGTGCTGCGATGAATTGCGAGGATTTCGGGCTTGCTCGTTTCCGATTGCATATCATCTACTTTCTGCTGCGCGAGGCCGATCACCACGTCAGTGGTCTAGAGTTCGCTCTGAGGATATTCGCTCTGGTGCTGCAGTACACAATGGTGTGGGAAGAGAAGTATCCGGTTTGGGCCTCATCGAGGAGACATATCTGGAACGAGAACAGTGCGCTGTTGAATGGGCTCGCGGCCAAGTGGTGGAAGGCGCTTCCGGAGCACCTACGGAGTGAGTGGCACTGCGATGCGGTCTTCTGACCTAGTACTGACCATGATGTAGAAAGCGGGACCGGCAGTCCCAGTATTCAGTCGACGCTGTTTCAGTCAACACCAGTGCAGACGGCATCGGTCCAGTCGCCAGCCATATCGTCGTCCGAGGCTGCGAAGAAGGAGTTGCCACCACCTAACTGCTCGCCATCTATTCAGTCGCAGTCGATCCAATCTCCAAGAATCAGCATTGCCGACTCTGGTGTGGTATTAGAAGATGAGAAATGATGCTTTCCCATCATTCGGGATAGGACGCAGTTGCGTATCGACGAAGTGACAATGTCACGGCCATTGACATGAAGTATGCAGAGTTCGAGAAAGAAGCGATACTTCCCTCATGCCTTCAATGTGACTGCTCCCACGTTTTGATAATTCGTGATGCTGTACGTGCTTGCCATTGCCATTGCTTGCCGTTCGTGCTTGTTGGTAGTCACTGATCGTGCTCTAGTCCACGTCGGCACACCTTTCTGACAGATCATATTTGCGTGCTGTTCGCCCTTCCACTGTCATCATTAATTTAGTGCGTGGCCAAGGTGATGGTAAGGAGGAGACTACCGACAAGTGTATGTATGGACGTCCAGGAAATGAGACCTCCGCCCTCGGCCACTCCCGCAACGACGACTCGAACACTTGGAGGTTCGACTCTCACATCAATCATCCCGGTTCTTTCGACCAGAACGCACGCCGCATCACTAAAACACTTGGTGGGTACAATCCTTGGTCTCCCGGTGTATGGGAGAAATTGGGTGGCATCATCAAGGTGGCATTGCAGGACTGACGGGGATTACAGCGCTTTTCAGATCCTTCGAGTGTGCTCGTGTGTGGCAGAAGAGCCGGTTTGGCAGCAAGCATTTGGGACAAGATTGGAGTCTGAGGGGAGGCTCGAGCTGAAAGATGGCTACAGCAACTGGTAAGTCTCTTCTGGTGACAGTGAAAGATGGCGGCAACGGCAGCAGCGCGCAGATCTGGTGCGGGCATGAGTGAAGCGGGAGTATGAGACATCTCCACGGTGGCGAGCATTCATCTCGCAGAGAGAACCACGCAGCATCGCTGGTATCTGGCATGGAAGATTGGTCGGCGATGCTTAAGGGGCAAGAATATGGATAATGGGTTGTCTCGGAGTCATACTCTCGATGGCCTGCTGGCGTCGACTTGCCGGCCGGCATGATATGGCTTCATCAGCCGAGACTCGGCATGGACATGTGGATATGCTGACCAGACAAGCAGAATACGCTGGCACAGCCTTTTCACGCTCGTCCCCTCTCTCTGCGGCTCGATCGCCCGACACCGCATCGCCTATCTTCCCAGAGCGAGCTATTCGCCCACTCCCTAAGAGCAGGCTAAAGTCCAAGCTGTCGCCCGAGCAGGTATCGACTCTGGTCTTTCCTCCCGATCCACCGCCCATCTCGCCTGCCCTGAGCTTCAACATACAAGACACCGGGGCGTCGGCGCAACAGCCGCGCCTGACAAATGGCGACTACCACCACCAGCAGGAGCATAGACATCACCATGCAGTTCATCATGATCATTGCACATGTGGCGAGAGTGGGGACAGTGGAGATGACGAGGTAGAATTCGACCACCCAGACTACAGATACGCAACCGCACCGACGCCAAACGGAACTGCATTGAAGCCGGATTCTCTACAGCGGAGATTGCTTGAAGCTTCGCGCGGCTCTCAAAAGCCTCCACCTCCGGGTTCGGCCGCATCTTCAGCAGATGGGTACGAAAGCTTTGAAAATACGAGCAACAAGAAGAAGCGAAAGATTCCTTTATCTGGAGCTTCGAGCATGCACCAGAGCCAATTAAGTGCTGAAATGGCGAACATGGGCATTAGCAGTCCGCAAGAAGACGAAGAGGGGGAGCATGGAACCAACTGTGTGTCTAGTCCTACGGTGCAGTACAGTCCGCATTCTGCGCCTCCTTCTGCTGGCTCTGGTACTGGGATCAGTGGAGCAGGTCGAGGCCGATATGGCAGACAGGATGGCAAGCATCGAAGACCGCTGGGTAGCAACACGATGAACACAGTCAATGGCTATTCACGTGCTCCTGCCCGCGGCGGTGATGCAAAGAATGACTCTGGTAAATTCCAAACCCGAACTGCTGGGTTCAATGAGACTGAGTCGGCTGACGTAATATCAAACACAGATCCCGGCATCGAAAACACCGGCGGAATCATCTCCCAAGCCATCAAGACTGCTGCCGAACAAGGCCCGCTGACACCTTCAGGCAAGGGCAAGGATAACGTGAGCTTGCTGCAGTCTGCAGCCAGTCCTGCGAATTCTGCAACGCCCAAAACCCAATTCACTTTCACATGCGAATCCGACTCTGCTACGAAAATGGTCGACCAGCACACTCACTATCCAGCTGGACCACCCACACCTGCACGAATTGCGCATCCCGGGACAAAACCTGCGCATGGCACGCAGACCTCACCGCCTCTACGACAACAGCCAAACAATGTCGCACGACCACCACCTCCACCTGCGAACACTGCACCACCGCCGGGACAAGCTCAGCAGCAGGCTGCTCCACCTCCCAGACCGAAGCCGAGACGAAACCCTACCAAAGAGTATGCATATCAAGCTTCACAGCGGAAGAAGAATCAGCAATATCAGAATTATCATCATCGTCCCAAGCCTGATGATATGTGGATATGCGAGTTCTGTGAATATGAGGACATATACGGAGCGCCGCCATATGCCATGATTCGCCGCTATGAGATCAAAGATCGCCAGGAGCGTAAGAAGGCTGCTGAAAAGAAGAGGTTGCTGGAGAAAGCCAAGATGAAAGGACGGAAGAACAAGAAGGGAGCAGGAAAGGGCAAGAACAATAATGCCAACAACGCACCTCCTGCTGCGCCAGCCCACCCGCAAAACTACGATCCGAATCTCCCTCCACCTGGAGACGATGAGTACTACGACGACGAGGATTACGCCGAAGATCATTACGAGCCCATTGGTCCTGACGATCAATACCCGCAAGACTATTACCCGCCGCCGGTTCCTACGGGCACTCCTGCACCATCAACCCCAGCAGGTGGTGGAGGCGGAGCACGGGCACACGCATAGCTCTCTGCGGGCATAGTGGCACTCGTGCTGGTCATTTGTCTTCGAATGCTCCTTCCAGGCGCAATCCATCTTGTCAATGGCGTACCAATCCTCTTCGGAATGATTCTTGTCTTCTCGTACGGATGAGTCTTGAATATCGGCTTCAAAGACATGCACGAAAGAGTAGGGAATGGTAGTCATCTGGATAAATTCAATCTTGTACAGCCAACACGCCGTCAGTGCCCGCGGAAAGACTTTGTACATACTCACGCGGTGAAACCTCAACTTTCCCCTTGGGCTTGATGTTGGAGTTGGTTGGAGTTTTAGTTCTTGTACTTTCGGTTTTGCATCCCTGCGTTCCGTATTTGGCATTGCGATTCACATGAATCTCGCATCTCCCTGGCGTTCTATACCTCCACTCTTATCATGGCAACAAGAAGAAACAGCGAAAAAATGAAATAAAGATACTGGAGGAAGTCGAGGCGAGGTGGATGGTGCGTGTGGGTGGAAGGGGTCTGTAGATAAGTGGTTGAAGAAAGCTAGCAATTCACATTGCTATCAATGGCAGTCCCGTTCTGTGCGGACAACATCTCTTTCCTGGATCACTGTGAGCTCCCAGCGCAAGACGAGCAACCGGGATATGTGACTGGGCCACCAAGCCGACTTCTCAAATGAGAGTTGAATGAATCAGGAACGAGAAACTCGGGAAATACCTCTCACGCTGCAAGGCACAACACCAGCAGGGCCTTTGCAAAGCTGGCAGCATAAGCCTGAACGATGGGAGCTTGTTAAGAGATTAAATTTCGAACTTCCTTCCATACGACTCTATGACACTCCTTTCTGAATGTTAAGCCATCGTGGCTTCGCAAAGTTTTCGGTGTCCTGTAAAGGGCGTTTAGATGTTGCCGTTGACAAAGACTCACAATTTTAGGTCGTTGTTGACTTAGACAGTCCGACTGCTAGAGAATTAGGACTTATTAGTATAGTATACTAACGACTGAAATTCTCTTGGTCGATGCCAAGTATCAGCTCCAGAAATTTTAGCACCCGGAATATTATATATGTTATAGCTAAAATATGATTGAAAGGTGTACTTGCTAATATCGTTCATTTCTGCTTCTGTTCTTTCTATTAGTATCGGCGCATCTCGAGCACTTCAGGTCCGGTTTCATGCTTTCTTCCAGATTATGTGATGGGCTAAGAAAAAAAGACGTTAGAAATATTTTTCTCAGCATAGTGTCGGACGTGTCTGTATGAGTTGTTGTTGTTGAACGAAGCGGGGCCAAGAAAGAGCACAGACCACTTCCTTCCCGCAACCCAGCTTCACAAGTGAAGTATGTAAACACCACCACCACCACCACCAACACCCTTCTCTCTCCCAAATGTCCCTCCTCCGCCTCCCACCCTCTCTCCGACACCTCTCCCTCTCAACCCTCCGAACCCTCACAACAACCGCCCAAAATGCGCCCCCGCCACCGCCACCGCCGTCCACCTTAACCCTCACCCCCTCAACCCTCAACACCTACGCAATCACAAACCCTCCCACCCCGCGCAACCTCCGCGTCGCAGCGACCTTCTTCCAGCGCACCGCGCCCGAAATCCTCTTCACAACGCCGCACTTCCGCTCCCTCCCGCCGTCCCCCTTCCCGGAAGTAACATTCCTGGGCCGCTCCAACGTCGGGAAATCCTCCCTCCTCAACGCACTCTTCGGTCGTCCGAATCAGAAAATCGCATACGTGTCGAAACGGCCGGGGAAGACGGTGACGATGAACGCGTACGGGGTGGGAGGGAAGGGGATGGTCGGGGCGGCGGCGGGGGGGAAGGGAAAAGAGGCGAGGTGGAAACGTTGGGATGCGAAGAAGAGTTTGTTGGTGGTGGATATGCCGGGGTATGGAAATGGGAGTCGAGAGGAATGGGGACGGGAGGTGTCGAAGTATTTGATGGGGAGGAAACAGTTGCGGAAGAGTTATGTGTTGGTGGATGCGGAACATGGGTTGAAGCAGACGGATCGGTTTCTTTTGCGGAAATTGAGGTGGGAGGGCGTGCCGTTTCAGATTGTTTTGAGTAAGGTTGATAAGATTTTGTTTCCTCGGGCGAAGATGCCGAGTGCGGAGAGTTTGGGACGGAGGTTAGGGGTTTTGAGGGAGGTGAAGGAAGGGATTCGGAGGGAGTTGGAAGAGGAGTTGGAAGGGGGGGTTTGGGTGGGGGATTTTTTGTGTTGTAGTTCGGCGAAGAGTTTGGATGTTAGGAATAAGGGACGCAGGATTGGGGTTGATGAGTTGAGGTGGAGTGTGCTGGAGGCTTGTGGGTTGCAGGATCAGGAGGGGGTGAGGAAGGGGATGAATGAGGATTTTAAGGTGCAGGAGGATGGGGATGGGGAAGGAGATGCTGTCGCTTTCGATCCCTTACACGGTGATGAGGATGCGGAAGAGTATGGAGCGGACGTGCGTTGATGGCTCAGGACTGGGCGTGAAGGTTAGGAATTGTCAACTCAACTCTTGCCAGAACTCGGGAATGAGGAGGTAGTAGGACTTCTACAATCACATCTGTCCAACGATAGCCACTCACACTTTTCGAGGCGGAGACGATATGGCGAAAATCTTCAACGGAAGGTTCGAGGCGGAGACAATATGACAAAAAATGTTCAATGGAACGAGCAATAAGATTCATCCAGAAAGAGCTTTTGCACTGTGCTATCTGGGTCTTTTCTAATTCGGTCATTTCCAACGCCGGGTTTTCCCAAGTCCATTCTGATGTCCTCCGCAAGATTCAAGAAAGCAGATCATGAACAAATGAAATCTTCATCGAAAGAAGGAGTGTCTGTGGGAATCATTTTTGGGGTAGTCTGAAGCATAGAATGTGAAGTGTCGTGGGCCGAGTGATTCGAGAGAAGGTGACTCTGGTGAGGTCATAGCTCGCCTGAATCGCGTCCATTGCGTTGATGGTTGAAGTGATGGTTGGTGTTGAAGCAAATCATGGATATGGAAGAAGCCACGTCTGATCGTGATGATGGTTTTTTTTCCCTGGTGATCGATGGGGCCATGCGTGTCAGGCATCTTGATTAGATGTACCACGTGCTCTCAGCGAGGCGTGGGTGCACATCACGAGACCACTCTTGTCCGGCGTTGAAGACTGAAGAATCACTGCCATGACTCTCAGCTAGGACGCTGAACAAATAGGCACGGCCACGCTCGCAAAGAAGGTCTGCGTAGTACGCTGGTGGGCAGATAGACACAGCCTTTGTCGCACGGCTGAAGAGGTAGCAGAGGTAGTGTGTGAATTGCTGAAGTTCATCCGCCTCAAACTTGATTTCGTCCTTGATGACTACGTAGTGAGCGGGTCGTGCTGTGCCTTGAAGTCCTGAATGTGCCTGTAACCAGAACTCGTATAGGATCTTGTCGGCAATACCACGGTCGACGACTGTGCCCGGGAGTGGGTTCCAAGAACCCTTCTGGCGCTGTGGATTGTAATCTGCGTCCTGCTCACGAGTCGGGTAGAATCGAGTGTGATGACGCTTGCCAACGATGATGATGGTCATCTTCGGCCACTTCTCCTTGCTACCGTAGAGCTTCGTAAAGGCCTTTTCGAAAGACGGCAGTTCCATCTGTAGGACCTGTCTATACTGGCCTTCCGAGACGCCATCTCGGTAAATGATAACTTTGTTGGGCAGAAAGTTGTTCTTCTTACGCCACAAGTTTAGACGCTCAATCACCATTTCTTCGAGCCCATCAACCATTTCTTGGCGGCTATCCTGTGTGCGGATCGAGCCTGGCCATTGGAACAGATGCTCATCGACGCTGGCAACAAGGGCAGCTATTGATGGCGCACCCTTCGAGGAGCCTGGCGACGGGTGGGTAACATCGATGCCGAACAGCATTGTCTTGTTGTCGAGTGGTTTGCTGAAGGTATTTGGCACATGGTGCGCTACGCCACCACCCTTCAAGTTGAACTTGAGTGCCAGATTACCAATGTACATGCCCTGTCCATTAGGCTTCTGAAGCTTCGATCCTACAGAGCAGACAGTGTGTATACCGAATTCAACGTCACCAAAGTATTTGATGCGAGCGTACAACCACTTGTCGGCTTCCGGAATGATGATGAAGAGGAACCTAATGCCTATGCTCTCCGCCTTCGCGAAGATGTTACGTAGCTGGCGGTTGTTGAAGTCGCGATTCTGCATGACAAGGGTCTCTAGTAGGATTTCCTGCGTAGGCTTGACACGTTGGCCCATGTTGATGCCGTATGACTTCATGGACTGTTCCACTTCGTTGATCAACTTTTCAGGAGCGAGCATGTCTCCGGTTGGGTTCCCCAACAGCGCATTGCCTCGATTGCCCTTGCGGTTGATGATCAGAACCGACCACTTGTCAAATCTTCCAGGTCTGGTGAACCTAACGCTCTGCAAGTTCCAGGAGCCCTTCTGCGGCGTAACAGGTTTCGAATTCGAACCATAGCTTACGCGAGGAGTATCCAGGATGCGGCCGGGCACTGTGATCATGCTAGTACCTACCGAGAAGCCAAATGGCTTTACGGAAGTTGACTGAGGATCACCGGTGGGATCGGCAAGACGGAAGAGTCGCAGACCATTCCCAAGTCCAGCACCGGGAGTTCCGGTAATAGACATAGCATTGAGATTTGGAAATCTGGCTGCGAATTTGAGCATCTCAGAAGTCTGGTCGCCGCTAAGCAGGCGTCGATAAGGCTGGCCAGGACGGACTGTACACAGCTCGGCAGGTAAGTATTGGGGATCAGCGCGCGTACCGACGTTGAGCACCGGACGATCTGGGTGTCTAAGGGTAATTCCGTGGTATTGACGGAAGTAATCATTCACAGTGATCTGTCGCGCTGTAGCATTCGGGATGCTGGAGTCGACAAAGCGGAATCTGACCTGGTTGGCATTGCCAAAACGCTGAACCTGGATCTTGTCGGTGGCCTTCGCGAAGCCGATGATGGTCTTGATCTTGACTCTGAACGGCTTTTGTTGGCCATCTTTTATGTAGGCTGCATCGACCTTCAACATACGGAAGAAAGCTTCAAGCTGGTCGAGATTGCCGTGAATGCGTGCTTCGTCCCAAAGCTGAAGTAGAGGTCCAGGCTGGTAGAAGGCACCAGCGGTGACGTTTAAATTGACCAGGAGACGGTTCACTGCTGGGCGAATGGAGGAGTAGTAGCCTCGTAGTGCTTGCAGACCTCCGCCCAGATCGTAAAGCTCCTTCCCGGGATGGCCATGGTATGGATAGAACTTTTGGCCCACATTGCGAACGGCATTGGCTCCGTTTGGTGCCTTCGTCAAGACGATGTTCATAAGCTGCACCACATCTGTGCGACCAGCGTACGCAGCACCTGCCGACGTAGAGCGGAGATATTCAATAAGGTGACGTGGCGAGAATGAATCCTGGTAAGTGATTTTGAAGTCGTAGGTGTTGCGTGCTTGAGCATTGCGAACGAAATCAGGGACGGGACCAGAGGCTTGCGGTTGCTGAGCAGCATTTTCGCCGGGAAGCGTACGCTTATCTTCCAAGGTCCCATTATCCAAGTCCAGCTTCTTTGTGGTTACGACCGTGCGAGCGTAGTCAGTGGCCCAATGGACGCCATTGAACTTCGGGTGTTGTTGAACGATTTGATCGAGCAGAGCCCGACGCTTTGGACGACTGATCTCCTGACGCACATCGACATCGTAGCGGAACAAGGTCTGCTCTTGGTCTGCCATGTTGAGCTCGTATGCAGTTGTCAGTTTGAGGTAGTTGGTTCGCAAGGTAATTGGCGTGCCCTTGGTAGCATAGCCTCGACGCCCTGGAAAGCCGGTGAATCCCGGGGATTCATCGAACATTCTGTCCCTGGTATGAGGAACAAGGGCGTTTTCTGCGGCCGTAATGCTTGCATCAGGCTGTGGCACATCGGATCCAGAGCTACAAATCAAGTCAGCTTCCAACACTTCGCAGCGGTAGGCGCTTGAGACGTACAGATAGATACCACCTGATCCACCACCGCCGCCACCGCCGCCACCTCCACGACCGCCTCTGAAGGACATTTGAGTGCTCTGGCCTCGTCCGGGTGGGCCACCTCCACCGCGATCGCCGCGAAAGCCGCCACGGCCGCCTCCGCCTTGATAGTCTCCACGACCGCGAGAAGGGGCGGAGTCTCCACGGCCACGAGCTCCGCCACGGCCTTGGCCGCGTCCGCGTGGTTGGTTGCTCATTGCTGCTGAAGTAGCGAACTAGTTAGAGTCAGTAGTGATTCCCCATAGCATGTGGGATACAGCGTACGCTCAGAGCTGAATGGCTCAGTCAAACTCGGTGTAGCTGTATGGGTGGCAGTCAGTTGTCGGGACTTGTTGATGGTTTGCTGATAGCCATTGGGTGATTGGGTTGTGGTGGGTGCAACGTTTGTTGCAGGTCAAACGCGAAGTGTGTGTTTCTTAATATAGGCGTTTGCAGAGCTCGGGAAATGTGATGGATGAGGTAAGAAGTGATCGACTCACGGGTGAGATGTGAAGTGATCTAGACGGCTCTTCTCAAAGACATGAGCTGACAGTGGGTAGAGGTAGCAGCGAGTCAGTGAGTGATGAATCTGATAGTGTAACGTGACGAGGCGGCAATCGATGCAAACGACGCGAGCTAAACCAAAGCAATGCTTCGGGAATCCGCTGTGCCAACGCGGCAGCAGCGGCCAATCATCCAAGAGATATGGAATCGATGTGCGTTTGCTGCCAGAGGGAATGACCGCCCGCTTTAGCGCGCCACGAGGTCGGGCGGTGACGTCGAGAGCAGGGAAAGGGGGTGAATTCGTGGTGACGCGTTGAAGGATGTTTCGTGTGCAGTTGATACCAATAATGAGGCCAACGAAAAATCAATGACAGTGTGGGAAGAAGAAGAAGAGGAGGAGGAGGAGGAGGATGGGGAAGGAGAGGAGCGGTGGGCGTGAAGGTTATTCTAATGTGAATGTGAAAGTTCGATGGCGAGCATTCCGCGCCCGCCGCCCCGACCCAGACCCAGACCGCCTTCCGCGTCGTTCTCTGCTGTTCTCAGACAGCAGTCACACTGCTAATAACAGAAAGTGCGATGTGCAGCGCTGTTCGCGATGCGTCCTGCGTCGTGGGCACACGCAGCTTAAACAGGCAAATGCTAATTGTCAATTGCTCAGCGGCTATTTAGCAATTGCTTTTTAGATTACCTCCGGTTTAGGTTATAAGCGCGCACGGACGTATTTAGCTATACAAATCAGCCAAATTGCTTAGACAAGGAACCACCCGTATATAGTAACGATTATAGTTAAGAAGGAGGCATTTTTAGGAGCCCTTAACGCGTATAGATATATAAGACTGCTAGAACTAGTTGCTATAGCCGGCATACTAATAACTACGAGGGTATAGCACTAGCTACTACTACTATAGACCTTACTAACCTCCGCGGAGCGGAGCTATAGATAGTAGTAGAGCTATAGAACCTAGCATATACTATTGCTAAGTAAACACCTATTAGTTTAATAGTAGCGGAGCTATAGAACCTAGTATATACTATTGCTAAGTAAACACCTGTTAGTTTAATAGTAGCGGAGCGGCACTAAACATAGTAGATTAAGTCGCTACTAGTAGACCTCGAGCCTACGGTAGTATAGGTTAACTGCTATAGAACTAGACAAACTATCGCTCCGAGTAAGGCACTACTAGCGGTAGTGCTAGCGCTATTAGACGTTGTCGATTAAGTGCTATAGCGGCTCTTTAAATACTAGCTAGATCGTTGCTAACAAAGCCGTAGCACTTAGCAGGCGTATAGACTAGCGGAGCTAAAGGTCGTAGTTGTTATATTACTATACGAGTACGAGGTTGTATAGATGCCCTCGTACGCCTTCTACGGCCTCTTTAAGAAGCTAGGTTTAACTAATCTACGTATTCGAAGCTAGAAGCCTCTCGTTAATTAGTACGGACGTATCTTCTAGGTACCGCTCTATCTCTTCTACCTCTTCTACGGCGGTTGTTTAGCAATACTAATAGCTCTTAAACCGTCCGTTCTAGCTTAATAATAGCCCTTACTAGCGCAGCGGCTTTGTCGAGATGCTAGTGCCTATCGAAGTATATATAGGGGTCGAATTCGAAGGATCTAACTAACTCAATCGTATCGATAATAGTATACTTATAGACAATACCCTAAGCAACTCGAAAGCAGCCTAAGTACTAAGAGCGTTGTTTGCTAGGCTCCTTAGCAAGCTTAGCTATCTCGTCGTACGCTAATCTAAGCTAATTAAGGCCCTTCTATAAGGCCTTCCTATAGATCTTCTTATTAGCCTTAGCAAACTCGGGGCGGCGGAGTGCTATAGGCACTGCTATACGTTCTTATACTATCCGGTACTTAATCTCTAAGGCTCGAATAGACTACTAAGGGCAGAGTTTAAGGAACAGTGTAAGAATGTTATATCTCTTGCTAGCGAGCTACCTCTTTATAGTTAAGTAAGCGCCTTTAGCTCTAGAAGTAACTAATTGCCCGTAGAAGGGGAACTTCTTCTACTAGAAACAGTATACCAATTTGTCCTTATAAGCCTAGTATTTACGGTAAATATACTCTCGAAGGGCTATATAGTAAGGGTTCTCGTAGTTTGCTATCTACTAGTCCTTAGTGTTGTATTCTTTAATAGTCTTAGCGTAGATACAGGCACGGAAGTTGTTAATAAACGTAGCACAATCCGGGTCGTCTTGCTACTCGTTCTTACTAGTCTCTTCGTTAAGAACCTGCTTCTATAGCATTAACTTCCGTACCTAAGCCTAGACATTCTTAAAGACATACTAGGCGTAGATAAGAGCTGGTATTCGAGGGTATATCTTATTAAGGGTATTTATATAACTACGGTCTCGATCTGTAACCTATAGGCCTAGCGGAGGCAGGTTATATACCTTATAAAGCGACTTGAAGTTCTTAGTAAACTAGGTAAACGCAGCTTCGTCCTTATTGCCTATAATACAGTATCTAAAGGGAATGGTATTACCTGCTCTAGTGCCTACTATAATATTCAAAAGTAGACGGTTGTATTTATTTGTCTTATAGGTATTGTCGATAATAAGGTACTTAGGATACTACTTATATAACTCGGCTATTTAAGGGTTAAGAACGAGGAGTTTATCGAGTTTACTAGTCGAATCTACCTCCTTCTTCTAGTAGAAACCTATCTAGTCTAATAGCCGGAATAGGGCTTCTAATGCGGTTAGATTACCTTACGCGGCCTTCCGTATAGCCTAACGGACATTAAGAAGGTCCTTAACGACTTATATACCTATATAGAAGGTATTGTTGTTAGCAAAGTATAGAAGAAAGCAAGAAGTCCGAATATTAAGTAGAATTTAGCTTCGGCCGAGTTTCGGTCGAGTGCCTTACAATTATAACTTCTAGTACTTATAGTCCTTCTTGTCTAACAACCTACTAAGCGTAGTATATATACTAGCATTCGCATTTAGATTATCGACAATAGTCTTCCGTATAGTCTTATTACGCTAGCGGCGGCGATGCGGCGCAAATTAAGCGCTATAGATAGCCTTATAATTATAGACTCTATTAACCTTTCTAACCTCCTATCGACCGAGCGGGTCCTTCGAATTGTAGGCGCGCAACGATAGCGATACTAGACAACTAATCCGTATAGAAGAGGCTCCTTTCCGAATAAAATTCTCTCTTACTAGCGTATTACTAGCCTAGGTATAGACAAGATAACGAGATACCTAGAGACCGGCGGTTTAAGCGCGTTTAGACCTGTTTCTAGCCTATATCCGCTAGCAGTATCCGGCCTTAAATGCATAGTCTTAAATAGTAAGAACAGCCTTATCTATTAAGCGGTACGTATCCTATAGCGGCGCTAACAATAGACTAGGTTCTTCCTTTTTCTCTTCCTCTTCCGCTTTATTAAGAGCCTATATCGCTAACTGCTCGAGATCCGGTCTATTAACAACCTCCGGTTTACGCTCTTTATCTTCCTTCCGTGCCTGCCTCTCGAGCTCGTATTCGCGGCGCTCCTTATTATTTAACTCGTCTAAATTAACCTCTTCCGGCTCCTTACTAAGACTACTATCTACCGGAGATTCTATACTATCTTCTATACTATTAGGTACGTTAATATCTTAGAAGAAATCGCCTAGAATAGAAGACTCGTAGAATACTTAAGAAGATATACTACGGTAACGATAACAACACCTCGAAGTTAATAAAAACAGCTATACTAATAAATTTTTATAGACATACTATCTAGGTACGCGTTTAGGTAACGCGACGCACTAATTCCTAAAGAAGAGCGCGATTTACGTACAAAACAAGGCATTCCGCTAGGAACAGGCGCTTAACCTATCCCGGGTTGGTATTTCAAAAGCAATTGCCAAATAGCCGCTAAGCAATTGACAATTAGCATTTGCCCTTGCCCGGTCTCGACGGTCTTGATCCAATTGGCCACAATGGCGGTGCCTCGCAGGATGCCTGGACGAGATTCACGAGAAGTTTGAAAACACGACAGGTCGACTTTCTCACAGTCACCGTACCGTCCTGGGGCGCGTCAATTAATCTGCCTCGCACATCCTGCATCCGAGCCTTCCGAAGTTCCGACCTGCTCTTCGCCGTCTGTCCTTCGTCGTGGCCCACGGCCCACGGCCCACGTCTCTCCGGGGCGACGCGACGTGCAGGAGGAAAAGAAAAAAAAAAGCTGCTGTGCTTTCGCGTTTTCACGCGTTCGACATGGCCAGGATGGCCTGTACACCTCGGCAAGTACCGCCAGGCGTTTCCGTGTTTCCTGCAAGTCATCTGTCACACTGACACCACAGCACCACCCTCGGCCCTTCCTCCCCCCAAGCCGGTTATGCATATAAGGAGGACAGACCGGATCCACTCTCCCCTTATCAGTGTGTTAGTCATCCTAAGTAAAGCTGAATTTCTCTAAGTCCTTCGAGTTGGATTTTTGAGACAACGCGATACATAGATATAGCGATTTTAGTAAAGAAATAGAGGCAACAGAATGCCCTCTTTCGGACTAGAATATCTACTCTATAATAAAGGGCGTAGGTAGATGAAGAAATGCCCTCAGAATTCAAGATGTCCCTACTAGAGTTTGTTAGGGATCAAATGTACGCAGGCGTACCCGGATAAGTTCTGTCCTCCTTATATGCAAAACCCCCAAGCCTGTGCAACCTCCTGAGCAGCCTCTGCAACATTCTCGAACGATGGGAAGGAGCGATCCAGCAGAGACAAACATGCGAAGCCCTTGGCGTCGCGACGCCAGGCCAAATGTCATCCGTGGCCCACAGCACTGTTTCGCATCGTTCATGCTCTTCTATGCTTCCGCGTGAAGATCGCGAATTGGAATTCTGAAGCCTTCAATCGTCGCATGACCGCCGAGCATTTGCTACAGTGCATGTTCTCTGCCGCTGTCACTATGCCGCTGCATGAAAAGTGCCATGGCGTTGCTTTTGCTTCACCATCGCGCATCTTTGTGCATGCACAGTCCTTTGCTTGCGCGGAACATCAAAGCGAGCCATGGGACAACCAACGTTTCGGCCTTGACAACAACGCCACGAGCCTTCTTCTACCACCGCAATCGACGCTACTCAGGCACCTCCACACGCGTACCTGCAGCGACCGAACCTACGTTTCACCGTTCACCACCCCACCTCCACATGCATTCCAGTGCCTACGCCTTCACATTCTTCACCACTGCTGACCTCCCCTTCGTTACCTGGGAGAACCTGATCCTTCCCTTCGCACACCCTTCTCGCCCGTCGCGCACGTCAGACGACAACGAAACGCTCCGAGCATCTATGCCATTGTTACACTCGTCGTCTTCGAGACAAGGCATTCCTGCCTGGCCTGACTCTTGGCTCCGCTCAAGTGCACCCTTGAGCCAGAATCCATCTTTGTGCCCTCTCACAATATCTTGTGCCAAAGCAGAATTCGTCTCCTCATCGCCCTAACCCCACCGGCTTTCCATCTCGAATGACCTGCGCTACCTTGCCTACTTCGTTTGAGAGTGATCACATTGAAGCAAGTGCACGAACGCCTGTTCGCTGTTGGCGCAATCATCAAAGACTCCAAGATACATGTGGGAGGTGCAACGAGTGTCACCAAGAACAAGACAGAGAGCGAGTGGGAAAGTCAAATTGACAAGATCCCCTTCCTTTTCCCCCATTCTTCTCATACCAACTTCTTCCTGTGCACTGACCTTCACATCATCGCCTTGCTCATGGCGGCACTTTGGTCTTGCAGCCGCATAAGGCCAGTGCTCTCGCTGATTGCACTTCTGCAGGTACCACTATCTTCCGCACATCCATACTACCTAGGTACGTATGGTATAATGGGTAAATTTGTCAACATGAGTTGATATCTGCCAGATCCACCTCGCCATGGCCGGCCTCTACCGGCTGGCGTGTACACGATAACCTCCACCTCGTGCGAGGATACAGTCCCTGCTTCACAAGGTCCGAACGTGATATATCAGATTGAGGACGGACAGTAAGTTGGGCACAATAAGACGAGTGGGCATGTCGGACTAAACAAAATCTAGAATTCAAGCTCCTCACTGGGAACATACCGAGCAGGCTCCGTTGACGACAGAAACCAGCACTGCATCTACAACCACCTCGACTTCGAGACTAACTGCTCGAGATGCAACGACTTCGGTTCGCCCTGGCGGCAGGCCTTCGCCCTACAACAATGCCGCGTCCTCATTCTCCACAAGCGTGCCGGACAACTCTCTTACATCGCTCACGACGTCTGAGGTTCAGAGCGCTTCATCGACAGAACTTGCCCCCACGAGCACGTCCGGAAGTGTGGGTAGCTCTCTGGAAACTTCTGGCCAGCCCTCATCCCAACCTTTTGCCACCTCCACCCTGACGAATGCCACCGTCAGTCTGTCTCTTGTCGATACTTCGACTCTGCCAAGTGTCCACCCAACTGCGACATCGCCTGTGAGCACCTTATCTGCGAGTGAAGTATTCCAACCAATTGCCAGCGATGCTCCAGAGTCGTTGTTCAATACCACCTCTGAACATCCAGTGCCAAGGACTGGCATCCAACCGCAGGCACGGAAACTCCAGACGAACAAGTTCTACTCTGGCCTTTATCTGGACGAGCAGACTTCTCCAGCGTACACTTTGCCATATGCTGTCTCTTGGTCGAAGGGGAAAGGTCAAATGGGAAGCTGGGGCTTGTCGATCTCGCACACGGAAAGATACCAATGGGCAAACGCACCCGCAACTCCAGGCAAAGACGCTGGCCAGTGGGCGTTCTTTGGCGCTCCAGTGGGCATCCAGCATGTCGTACTATCCGCTCTCCAGCTAGGCGTGGATCCCAACACCGGCGACACACCAGGCCTTACGACAGACTCGATGCAATGGGGATCGGTCAAGGCCAATTTGTTTCCTCCAGGCTGGTTGACTCCCGTTGTTAGTTTCCCGCTTCTGCAAGGGACGCCGTTCATTACCGCCGAGTACCACTGGGCGCAGCCTTACATTGAGTCGAGCGTAGGGTTTTTGACCTTGACATTTGTTGGCGCAGTGGTCACGAATTCCACCTACAAGTATCGGACCACTTTGAGGGACAACACGGTATGGGTGATTTATGTCACTCCTGATGATCCAGATTATAAAGTGAACAAGTTTGACTTGCATCCTTCCGGCGCGAACATTACTGGAACCTCTCTATTCAACGGCGTCATCCAAGTCGCCAAGATCCCGACGCCTGGCTCTGTACCGAACACGTATGAGAATCAGACGGTACCGGAGGCAATCTACGATGCATCTGCCGGTACTTATCCCGTCGGCATCAACATTACCGGATCAGTCAACAACAAGGAGGGCAGCTACACCCTATCATGGACAAAGAAGGGCGTTGAGAGTCAGCCTCTGCTCATGTATGCTCTGCCACATCATGTTGCATCCATGAGCTATGAATCTCAGACAGGTTTGACTGCTCTGCAACTCCGAACAACGACCAAAGGTGTTGCCACGGCCGTCACCGGCGATTCCTGGACACTGAAGGAGGATAACCTTCCCATCGACATGGGCTTTGCGCCTTGGACACCAAGTCAGGGGAACATCAAGACCTTATCGAACGTCGCTGTGCAAGCCATCAATCATGCCGGCGCAGCAGAGCTCAAACAGAACATCACCGCCCAGGCCGATTCAGGCAGCGCATACTACGACGGCAAAGCCTTGGCCAAATTCGCCGCCCTGATCTACACCCTCCACGAAATCAGCGGAAACAAAACCTTAGCCCTGACCGGCCTCCAACAACTCCTCCAACCCGAATTCGCCCGCCACATAAACGGCCAACAAATCTGGCCCTTCTGGTACGAAAGCGCCTGGGGCGGAATCGTCTCCTCCGCCTCCTACCGCACCGGCCAACCCCTCGAAGATTTCGGCAACACCTACTACAACGACCACCACTTCCACTACGGCTACTTCGTCTACGCCGCCGCCGTCATCGCCTACCTCGACCCCACCTGGCTCGCAAACTCCACCAACACCGCTTGGGTCAACATGCTCATCCGCGACTACGCCAACTCCGACCTCCACGACCCCTCCTTCCCTTTCTCTCGAAATTTCGACTTCTACCACGGCCACTCCTGGGCCGCCGGCCTTTTTGATTCGGGAGACGGAAAAAACCAAGAATCCTCCTCCGAAGATACGATGGCATCCTACGCCCTCAAAATGTGGGGGCACGTCACCAACGACGTCGCAATGGAGGCGCGAGGCAACCTCATGCTCGCCATCCAAGCCCGAAGTTTGAATTCTTATTTTTTGTATTCTGAAGAAAACGAAATCTTACCCAAGGAGTTCATCGGAAACAAAGCGGCGGGGATACTGTTTGAGAATAAAATCGACCATACGACGTATTTCGGCGCCAACGTCGAGTTCATCCAAGGGATTCATATGATCCCTATCATGCCTTTTAGTTCGTACATTCGCACTCCAGAATTCGTGGGGGAGGAGTGGGGGGCTTATTTTTCTAAGGATGCGTATATTGAGAACGTGCAAGGGGGTTGGAAGGGGTTGTTGATGGCGAATTTTGCAACGTGGAATTCTAGGGCCGCGAGGGAGGCGTATGGGTTTTTTGGGGATGAGGGGTTTGATATGGGGTACTTGGATGGTGGGGCCAGTAGGACTTGGTATCTTGCTTGGGCTGCGGCGATGGCGGGGGGGATGGTTTATGACTAGTGAGTGAGTGAGTTGGGAGGTGAGGTAGGTAGGTATTTGTGGGGGTGGTTTTTTTTTGGCGTTAGGGGATGGATGGGTTTGGATTATAGATAGATACTTGGGTACAGAGGTACATTTTCGAAGGGATAGCTTTGTTTGTGGGCATGTGGACGGGAGGGTTGGAAGGTATATATATATTTATATTTATGAGGGTATGGTCTTGAAAGCTATGGCTCTACCTTAAGACGAATGAATCCTTGAGCTTCAGCGATGATGGCTTATTCGGGTCCTGGTTCACAAATCGTGCCACGGAAGCATTGGAAGTTCTTGATGAGAAATTCTTTCTGTGACTGGTGGTATTTTGTCCCCAAGCTCTTCTTCTTTGCTCTTACAATCGTGTTTGACGACGAGCAAGGGACCTGAGTTCTTCTAAGGCCATGGACCATAGGTGTCACTCGGAACTCAAAAGGCGGATCGTTCCTGCTCTGAGTTTGACCAGCGTCGATTGCTCTGGCTGCATGCTCCATATGACGGAAACAAGTGAAAGCGTTTCCAGTGTGAAACCAAACTTGGCGAAACCGATAAAAGGGCGTCTCCTCGACATGTCCGCAGGATTTCCAAGCTTTGTGAAGCCTGAAGCATAGTCTCCTGCATCCAAAGAAGAGACCCATTTTTTTTTTCATGGAAGATGGCTAAGGAGAAGTCTGCGTTGATGGACTTCAGTCTACTGCTCGACTGCTATACCGAATCTTGGTCTGCGGCACCATACTGCAGTCCCAGAAGCGCGAAGTCGTGACTCGGTGGGCCAAGTTGAGAGAGATATAAGGAAGCCTTCTTAAACCACAACCACCATCATCACGATTTCTTGCATGATCCTGGCCCGAGTGGGTTATCATTGATGTTGCGGTGAAAGAGTTTGGAATGCCTTCCCTGGATGCAGCCCTCAACAAGTTCAACGAAATTTTGTGACTGACCAGGACGGTAAGTGGAAATCGTAATGCTCATCATGGTAGGCCTTCGCTGCTCAAACCTGTGCGTCGTCTATCGAGGAACATTTCTTTTTGGCCCAGTCAACATCCTCATCATCGAGCTCCATCAACGGCTGATATAGAGCGTGAACGTGCTATGGTCCTCCAGCGGATCCATGGTCGAAGTGACCCGTCTCACCCTGCGAGCGAGTCGCTCACGACAGGCAATAGCGTGCAAGTGAAGTCATCGTTCTGGCTGGGGAGCAAAGCATGTAATGTTGTGGAATTGTCGACTCGCGAAGAGATCAATACTATTGGCCTCAAAATTCTTGCAGAAGCGTCGAAATCTCGCGAAATCTTCAATGTATGTAGCAATCTCCTGAGAAGTTCCGGAGGTAATCGTAGCATCTTGTCAAGGTTGTTTGAGCGACGCCTGGATGCTCTGGCTTTTGCTTGATAGCATGAAGATGTGCTTTACTTGTGGTGAAGAGCACAGAATTCTCAGAAACGCATATGGAGAAAGCAGAGCGAAAAGAAGGACTTGGGTGCCGAGGACGTGGAATCGCGATCACGGCATGGTGGAAAGGTAACGAATGAAGAATCTTAGAACCAGGAGCTTGACTGTGATATTGTTGTTAAGACGAGATGGAGTTGTTCATGCATCTCAATGTTTCAATGCCGTGTCGTCCAATTGAAAGAGGATGACACGGCGCACGGGCATCCCGGGATCAACCGCTGGGAAAGAACCTCCGGCAAGAACATTCATCGTCAACCACAGTCTCGCCTCTAGCACTCGCTACATTAGCCATTGGCTCACAATATCGACCGTCCCATCACACCGGCAAGATGGGCATCTTCGACTATGTCTCCGACCTCTATGCGGCCATGACCGTGCAGGAGGCCTACGCCGAGGAGCCGCAAAAAGACGAAGGTAAGGGAGCGTACAAGCATTGCAGTCGCATTGGCTATCGGAGTTATCGAAAGCGGCACAAAATGCGATGCGGAAACGCAGGTGCTAACTGTGTTATCTGCCAGACTCCGAAAGCGGCGAGGAGAAGGAGGAAAGCAGTGAAGCTGAAGGCGAGGAGTCCTCCGAAGGTGGTGATGAAGAGGGCGGCGATGAGGGCGGAGATGACGAGGAGGAAGAGGAAGAAGAAGAGGAAGAGGAGGAGGAGGAGCCAGAGGATATCAAGCCAAAGCTTGAGGAGGGTGAGTATGATCCCAATCACAAAGCTTCAACCATACTCGCAAGCTGTGATCAACGGTCTACGGCTTCGCTAGTGCTATGTGTAGTCGGATCAGATCCTTATCCTGGTCTTCAGAGCCCTGCGCTGACTGAACATTGCAGAATGCCTGAAGACTGCGCAGTGCGCGCCATTGAAGCATCACTACGATGAGTGCGCTGAGCGCGTAAAGCACCAGGAGGAGCAATACGGCAAGCCTTCGGAGGACTGCGTTGAAGAGTGTAAGTCATCGATCGGGCCGCCAATCTGTGATCTGTTCGCAGCTCCGGTCTGAAGATACTGACCGTAGTACAGTCTTCCATATGATGCACTGTGCGACTCAGTGTGCTGCGCCGAAGCTCTTCAAGCAGCTCCGATAGAATTGCTTATACCAGCTTCACCTCGATCTGCCTGTCTTACTCGATGTTTAGAGCTGAGGGAGGCACGGCTCAGTCAAGCCAATTCGCGTGGAGATAGACCGCATGCGACCGAATTAGACCAGACCAGACTCGCCTGTATAGCAATCTCAAGATACATTGTACCATGCCGCATAGATTGGAATACGTGCTTGCTTCCGTGTCATCGTGAGCTTTTCTGTACAGTAGCTCTCCGGGCCTTGCGAACGATCGAACCACCGACTCTGCGCTCAGTGCCTTGGCCTGAGCTCGTGATCTGGAGCTATAAAGCCTGAAGATGTCAATGTTGTGCTGTGCAATCTTAGTCATTTGACTGTTCTCCGTCTACCTATACATGTACATTCCATCGACATCGCTACTACGAAGAAAATGCGTGATTCTCAGGTCTCTCTCGGCAATTTCGGCAGCCAAGCCGCAGGCCAGAGCTACGTCAAGCTCACAAAGCTCTCGACAACGGGCTTTCGCTTTTAACTCCTCGCAATGATGAGCAATTGAGTTGCAACAACAAAACATTGATAGCATCGACTCGTCAATATCGTCGCGATGGCCACCGCACTCTTCAGACAGACAGCCCGCTCTGCACTGCGAGCATCAGCTCCACGAGCCGCTATTGCAAACACAACCTTCACTCGCGGCAAAGCGACGCTTCCAGACCTCGCATGTACGTTTGGGCTGCCTTATTCCCACCATTTCTTGGAAGCGTTTCCGTGCTGACAGCTGCCTTGCAGACGACTATGGCGCCCTCGAACCTGCCATTTCTGGCCAAATTATGGAGCTCCATCACTCTAAGCACCACAATACCTACGTAACTTCCTACAACACTCAGATGGAGAAATTGCAAGAGGCGCAGCAAAAGGGCGATATCCAAGCACAAATCGCAATCCTGCCACTCATCAACTTCCACGGCGGAGGCCACACAAATCATACCCTTTTCTGGGAGAACCTCGCCCCAAAGTCGCAAGGTGGTGGAGAGCCACCGAGCGGTGCTCTTGCCAAGTCGATCGATTCTCACTTTGGCTCACTTGATACCCTCAAGTCGCAAGTGAACACGGCACTTGCTGGTATTCAGGGGTCTGGTTGGGCTTGGCTGGTGCAGGATGTCAATACTGGAGCGCTTCAAGTCAAGACATACGCGAACCAGGACCCTGTGGTTGGTCAATTTAGGCCATTGCTCGGTATTGATGCGTGGGAGCACGCATACTACCTTCAGTAAGTTTCATCTATCCTTCCATGCTGAGAAGAGTGCCGTGCGCACCAGCTCGTTTGCTGTAGCTCAGCAACCACCATTTGATGCGAAGCGACTGCTAATTAACCTCATCGCAGGTACCAAAACCGCAAGGCTGAGTACTTCTCAGCAATTTGGGATGTAATCAACTGGAAGGCTGCCGAAAAGCGCTTCAAGTAGAGGAGACCATGAAATGCCGAGCAGCTACTGCGGTATTGTGTATAAGACATGTATCAAAACTGAATTGCAGCTCCGATGCACCTCAATAGACAGCCGTGCTGTCCATATCGCCGACCAGCTTCGACTGATGGGATCAGGTCAACGGAGCGATGCCGCGCTGACATATTCTACGCTTTGACCAGTAGAATACTAGTAAGAAATGGTGCTATGGAAGACAGCCCTTCCCTGTCATAGGTTTGATAACCCAACAGAGCTCGGGACACCGACAAAGCCCGACGACGTTCTCATAACAACTCCTTTCGACGCACTTCCTACTAACCCTCAACTCGAACGTCGCACACCTCCACCAGAGATCCGAAATGGAAGACACCGGCCCATCAATGGAATCAATCCATGTCCATGAATACGGCTTTGCTGCCCCCAGATTCTTCCGATGTCCCTCCGTCATTCCACGATACCTGTACCGCGTTCAAACTCCCGAATCGCAAGCCAGATTCGATTTTGGCGACTCGCTCGTGACCGGATTTGCCTGGGAGGGAGCATATAAAGGAGAATGTCTCAGAGAGATATTGAAAGGTCATCTAGCATGGTTCCGTTGCCAGGAATGGAGTCCATTCATTTCAACGCTGGACGACAGAGAGCATGCGGAGAATTGGGCGAGGATGAGATTGCATAAAAACCGGAATGGGAACAATGTTCAGTTGTATCGGATTGATACGACCAAGCTGGATCCGAGGTCGGTTTGTAATGCGCGTTGGCTTCTCTTGGCGCTGGGTACGAGTTTGGACGATGACTCTGTTACATGGCCTACGAGCGATGAGTACTTGATTGCTCAGAGAGTGCCGGCCCAGGCAATTGAGTTGGTGCATGATTTTAGGAATGGCGATGTTGAGGGTACGTGGTTGCTTTGCTCGAGCCTTTTGCGCGCTATGCTGATTTTTGAGACAGAGCCTGTGCAAATGCAATATATCAATGTCATGACTCTTTGGCGTACTACTGCCGATCAAGCTGTGCCAGCGCAAGGTCACTGAACATCACGGCGGCCGGTGGAAATACTGTTCGCATTTCAGTTAGCTTGAAACAAGTCCATGTGAGAGTGAGTAGTCATATCGTGTCAAAAAGCCGAAAAATGCATTATTCAATCCACCGCACCGACCGATCCCATATGACGCTCGCGAGAGCTTCCTGTGATACAGATCCTGAGACGCCATCAGGCGCCGAGCTATGCTAGAACAATACATCGAAAGACAGCTTTCGACCAAAAAGCGCAGGGCCGAAACACCAGAAATCTTGGAGGGCGGATAGTCACGCTTCCAACCAGCAGACTATGATGGGGGCAGCGAGGCCGCGTCCATGACCTCTTCTACCTCCTTGGTCTCTGCTGCTTCAGCTCCGTCAAGTGGAGATCTTGGGAGTGCCATCAGACCTGCATCTATAATTAGCATATCGTGGTCAGGAAAAGCAATGATTCGGCTTCAGCTCACCTGTTCGTGCCGACTCAAGGATACCGAAAGGCGAGATAAGCTTCATGAACGAGTCGATCCTGGTAGGCTTGGCAGAGAGCTCGACAATGCAGTTGTTCGTCGAGATGTCCAGCACTTTGCCGCCGAATTGATGTGTGAGGTATGTGATAGTCTCCAAGTGCTGGTGCTTGAGTCGCAGAGCTTCTGAGGGTGCGAGATTGCGTGGGTGGAAACCTGGGTCTATCACATTTTCTACATCGCCATCAAGTGGCTCAGGCTGGCCATCTGCACCAGTCCCTGCCTCGTATGGGATCATAGGTGGGTCGGCGTCCCCTGCCATTTCTCTGTGGTGTGCGAGTAGCTCTTCGAAATACTCCGGCCCAAGAATACTAATCTTGGCGAGGAGCAGTTCACGCTGCACGAGGGGTGCTGCGGTATAGTCTAGTACAGCCCAGACTGGAACAAGATCCTCCAGTTGTCTCCTAGCTTGCTCAACAACACCGTCCTGTCCTTGGAGCACAATGGTCATGCGCGAAAGATCAGCGACCTCCGTAGAACAGACTACGAGTGAGTCAATGTTGAACCCTCTTGCTGCAAGAATACCAGAGACGCGCGAAAGCACACCAGGCTCATTCTGAACCAAACAGTTGAGGACATGTCGTTTCGGCGGTGTCTTGTCGGGGATGGGGGTTTCGTAGAGGATGGAGCTCACAGCTGCGGCGGGCGAGATCGAGGATACGGCCGACTGTGTGGTAGGTAAAGGTGCGATCCGGCGGTGGAGTGCCTTGTACGCTAGGGCGCTGGTCGAGCTGGACTGATATCGGCATTGGACAGCTGCTGTTCGTGTGAAGGGCTGTGAGGCTGGAATGGCCGATTGAAGGGCCCGCAAAGCGCGTTTTGACGCCATTATTGAGTGTATGCACAGTCAATGCCTGCAAACAATGGCTGATACGGGATGTATGAGTGAGTCGGGATGAAACATGAGTTGGAAAGTAAGTTGATTCACTTATTACTTTTGGTTCCAATGCTCTAGCTGTCGGCCCGAAGAAGCATAGAGTTCCGAATGCCAAGAGCCAAGGTTGCTTTGAAGCTCGAAGTGGACTTTTGCACGAGCGCTGGTCACTTCTGCTCAGCCTTTGACACATTCATGACTTTCTCATAACCACGACCTCCACCTCTCCACTTCGCGAACAACATCCACCATCATGGCCGACAGCGAGCCGCGAAAGCGCAGTCGGTTCGACGTGACCGCAGAAGAGGCACCACGAAAGAGTCGCTTTGACAGACGTTCGCGCAGCCCTGCGACTAAGAATCGCGAGGCAGCACGGAGTCGGTCGCCAGTCAAGAGTGTCGAGTCTCCAGCAGGCGGCGACAATCACGGCAGTGCGCCAGAAGATGCTGCAGCAAAGGCGGCGGCGGCGGCTGCCCGCATCAGCGCACAATTGCAGAAGCAGAAGGGCATTCAGCATGTCGATGTGCCGCCTATCCGTACTGTACGCGACCCTTCTACTGTCGAAAGCAAACCAGTACATGAATATGCTAACATTATGACAGACCCCCAACTCAGCACCTGGCGCAGAAAAGTCGCCCTCCGCCGGACCACTCAATGCCGAAATCTACCAGCAAGATGGTGACTTTATTAAAGACATCGAGGTCAATGACCTTCGTAACCGCTACACGTTGACTAAAGGCAGCACTCAGAAGATGGTAAATACTCACTTTGTCCCGTTGCCACTGATACTCCCAGGCATAGCTCCAGCCATTTGCCCTCCCTTGTACAGCACATGTAACATCCTAAGCTCAACAGAATTGAGTTTGTTATACAAACGTTAGAGGACATCATTTGAGCTTACACTTAGCCTGACGTAGCCACCGGCGGCACAAACGATTTGCATCAGCTGACCTGAAATGTGACATCTAGATCAAAGAAGAAACTGGCGCCGGTACGCTTCCATCCGCACGAATAAACTTACTGATTAGGTTCCGAATCGATCGCTTACTTGTCTAAAGATGTCACTACCCGAGGAAACTACTATCCAGACAAGAGCATGGCAACTGCGACTGTAAGTGGGAAATGTACGAAATGGGGATACACGTTGTGCTGAGGACAAATTTAGAACCCGCCGCTCTACCTCCACGTCACGAGCACGACCAAGGATGGCCTCGAGAAAGCCGTCGCGAAGATCAACGAGCTCATGCAACAGGAACTGCCAAACCTGATCGACGAACGCCGCTTCCGACGTCGCGACCCACCAGAAAACCAGCCAGACCGGGATCATCTTGGCCGCCGCAAGTGGCCAGAGAAGCGCATCCCAATCGATCTCGAGCCAATTCCAGGCTTCAACTTGCGCGCTCAAGTCGTTGGTCACGGTGGCAGCTATGTCAAGCACATCCAGCAAGAGACGAGATGCCGCGTCCAGATCAAGGGTCGCGGAAGTGGATTCATGGAACACGATACTGGACGTGAGAGCGATGAGCAGATGTACCTCCATGTCGCGTAAGGATTGGTAAGCCTCAATGTATGTGAAACGTGCTGACATGACAACAGCGGTCCCGAACAAAGCATGGTTGATGCCGCGGAGGAGCAGTGCTTGTCGCTGCTGGAATCCGTGAAACAATCCTACCAGGAATTCAAGGAACGCGGTCCGCCAAACCGTGGCCCTCGCGACGGAGGATATGGAGGTGGTGGCGGCTACGGTGAGAATCGAGGAGGTTTCCGTAACCAAGGCGACAGGCAAAACTCTGGATCTTATGGTGGTGGTAGTGCCTACGGAGGTCAGCCAGCCGGCGGTGGAAGTGCATATGGCGGTGGCTACGATAGCAGCTATGCTGCGCAGATTGGCTATGGCACTGCGCAATCTCCAGCAGCAGCAACCGCCGCGCAAGCTCAACAGCCAGCTGCCGACCCTGCAGAGCAGCAGAGACAGTACGAAGCCTGGGCTGCATACTACCAACAGAATCCGGAAGCAGATCCTTACGCTGCATACGGAGGATATGCTGCAGTCATGGCGCAGTATATGCAGGGAGGGTATGCCAGCTACGGGCAACAATCTCAGACTCCGACCATGGACCCCAATGGCGCAGCGGCGGCCGCCCCACCACCACCGCCCCCAGCTGAGTACTCGAGTGCAGGCTACAACGCAGTTCCGCCTCCGCCAGGCGTATAAGCTGACTCAGAATAGCTTTGTACCATTGAGGCATGCTGACATTTGGCTGCTATTGACTAGGAGTTTTAGCAGGATTCAGGGCGACTCGAGAAAAGCCACTCCACAAAAGCCGGAGAGCCGTGCAGCCGTTCAGTATACCGCTACTGCAGAGTGTCTTTGATTACGGAGTTATGCGCATGCGCATGGGTGGCTCTGTTGGTTTGTACCTACGCCTCCAGGCGGAATCGTTAGCCAGCATTGAAAAAGCAAATTGAAATGCTGACTTCATAGTCTTATACATGCATGGTGGACATGGTTTCTTTGTGCTTCGTCTGGAAAGAGAATGCCAGGTATGACAGATATGCTGGGTTCGCCTGTAAGTGCAGTGATTTGCATCAAGGATTAGAGTGAGACGTCAGGTGTTGAGAATGTTTCTGTACAGGACATCGACAACGCTGGTTTCAGTTCGCCTCCGCGAACGTCTCTTTCTGCTGGTTCGACTATGGTTTCATGTTCGGCCGGAGCACCTTTGTGTGGGTGGCCCTGGTCTGCCACGCCTTGGCATTCGATGCTGTCCCAGACATTTGCAATGTAGCAATGGACGAGCACACCATATAAGCAGCAGTTGGCCACGGAATGGTTGCCTTCTCTCTTCAGCAGGTCTCAACAATACACAATCTCTTTTGTCAATTCGAGCACGATTTTCAATTCTCTTGAGCAGGTCTCAAGAACATAATTTCGGTCATTCCGTTTCTTAGTCTTGCCAGCGTTCCCATTCATCCAAGGCAAAGAGCACTCGGCAATAAGATGTTTCGGCAACTTGGTCAAGGTATGAAGTCGCTCCACAGCACGCACTTGGCCAGTCAGTCATTGCCATCTTCTGCTCAACCACAAGTAAACTCAGCAAGAAACTCCACCATCTCTTCAAACCGGTCGGATTCAAGAAGCGGTTCAGAGGTTCCAAGACAACCGCAAGTCACTAGTTCTGGTAGGTCTATTGTCTCTCGCGCATCCCCTCGCTCTAGGAGTCAACCCTTCAATGAGCCCGTGGAATGGAGACGCACAGGAAGAGAGACACGTTCTACTTCATCGGATGCCGGTCCTGATACCCCATCGGGATCCAGTCCCACTACTTCGTTTCCGTCAGAGATAGGTCCTGGCAGTCCATCAGAGGCCAGTCCTACTGATCATTCAGAGAACGATGCTATTCCTTCATCAATAACCCATCCCACCACTCCATCAGAGACCCGCACTACTTCATCAGAGGCCGCCGAGGATACCGAACGCAGAATTCTGATGGAATGGGAAATGAGAAATTTCAGGCACAATGAAGGGATTTCAGCCCAGGTGCCCCGCCATCTGCCACAGCCGTTGAAGCAGCTGCTCAGACGAGCGAGAAAGAGAGACAAGAAGGCAGCAATGAGCAAGAGTAAGAAGGAAGAGCAGTGAACATGGAGTGTGGTAGTAGTCGAAGCGAGCTTTCAAATGATGCAGCTGCAGCTGGTCTGCACGTTCGTAGGAAGTATCAACATGGCAAGGCCGTGGACTGAAGAGCCTCACGGGAGGATATTGTCTCATGTTCGGAGCGTGGTGATTGTGCTGTACAGAGCAGACCCCAAATAGGCAAGTGACGTTCGGATAGGAACCTGCAGTGCACCTACACCAAACAGGGAAGGTGGCGACAAGTCCGCCCACCCCAAGCGAAGCGAAGCAAAGCCTATCAGCCGCAAATGACCGGCTCCAATCGCTCGGTTAGCTATACACTGCGATTAAGCGAGATGGCGGACGGGGGTAATCCCCGTAAACGGCAGCTAGCTTGAAAGCGTTAGACGTGAACTTTTTAAAGGTACGGATAATTCCTTTAGGCAGTACGCTAGCTTTGACCAGTTAGATCCCGTTTTCAGGGATTACCGCCGTCCGCTATCTCGCTAAATCGCGGTATATATCAGCAACTGCAGGGGTAGCACGGGGCAGCCGGAGTTGCTAGCAACGCCGGCCCGGGGCAGCCGGAGTTGCTAGCAACGCTAGCCCTACTAAGCCCCGCTAAACCTTATACAGATCGTAGTCTTAGTACACCTATATCCTCCGCTTATCTTAAATTTTCTATATAACCTCTTCTATTAACCCCTATATTCTATAATAGACCTATCTACGCCTAACGACGTCGCTGCCCTTTAGCGGCTTCGACAACGAGTATTTAACCTTATAGAAGACATTAAAACAGACACTAATAGGTAGAGTTTAATCTAGAAACTGTATAGCAATTAATATACCCGGAAATCTACTAAGAAGCTGTCTATAATAATACCCTATATAGAGATAGGGCTATACTATAAGAAGTCCTACTTCTATTATATAGAAAAGTAGCGCCTTAATAAGCTAAATAAGGAAGCAGTAGGTATTAAGGACAGGCGTATGTTTAAGCCGCTTAAGAAGGAGTATAGAATAGGCTTTATTACTAAGGTTGAATACCGTAACAATAAGGCTACTAGAAGAGTTAGTATTCGTCGCTATACTGCTATAACTAAATATATATACACGCTCGACTATCTTAATAGCCGGAAGGTTTGCTAATATATTAAAGATAAGGTTAAAAAGCAAATCGATTACTCGCTATAAGCTAGAAGAACCTTCGACGCCTTATAGGGCTAATATAGTAACAATCTCGGTGTCTCTTATCTCGATATTAGTGCTATATACAATGCCGCTAAACAATCGCCTTATTATAACCGTAATAAGCGCTTTATAACTTAAGAAAAGAGAGGCAATACGGACCTTCAATTATAGGCTATTATACGGACTATAAAGGAGCATAACCTATACTTCTAATAGTTTAGTGTCAACACTAAAGATAGTATTAGGAGAGGCTTTATATAGGCAATAGAAGAAGGTATTTAGTTGTTAATAAAGTTCGGCAAATTAATACTACTAGACGATATATACGAAGTCAATTAACTAGATTAGAAGCTATTTAACGTCCTTATAAGCGACGACAACCTTAAATAGCGGCCTATAGCATACGCACTGCTAGAAAGCAAACATAGTGTTATCTACGCGTAAGCACTTAGCTATATAGCTTCTTAGGGTCGTTATAGTAAGCCTAGCAGCTAGCAGTTATAATAGTCTATTCTTAATAACTCGGTATCTAAATAATAGGCTATTCGAGACATATTTCTATAGGTTTATACCTACCTATGCTAACGACACTCGTTATAGACTATCCGCCGCAAATTTCCGCTTAAGAGTGCTTATAAGAAGGTCTATAAGAAGCTCGTATAGGTTATACTATACGTAGAGTCTAAGGAAGAGGTAGAGGTTAGAATATAGGCTGCTTTTAATACCCTTCCTAGCGGCAAGAACGACGAGAAGTACAGCTATATAGAGCGAGAATAGTTAGTCGAGCACGCTTAGATATAGACTACCTACTAGCGGAGGAACAATCTACTGCTTATACGTATAAGTACTATATAATAGTACCTTCCGTCCTCTTAGAGCGGGTATTTACTAACTGCTGTTGCTTAGGTACGTATAACGTCGCTAGTTAAGGGTTACTACTCCGATTTTAAGAGCGATATTAGTACTATTAAGGGCAACTTCTTACTCTCCGGCACCCTTATATACTCGCTAAAGGTGGACAGGAAGTGGCATAACAATGCTAATAAGGCTTCTGCGAAGGACAATATACTTTACCTATTTAGTCGACTATAAGGCGATTGCGAGCGGTTTAACGAGCTTCTATATTGCCTTTAAAGCCTTATTGCTAAGCAGTATCGACTCGCTTAGAAGCGCGCTAATAGCGGCCTTCCAAATTAATTACAATATTAACTATAGATCGATAACTATATCCCTAATATATGCTAGTGTTACTTCTAGAAGCAGTATTACTAACCGTGTCGCTATATCTAGTACGATTAAGAGATTAAAGGTAGTAGAATAACTGCTTAATAGGTAGATTGCTATATAGACCGTTTCTTCGACCCTAAAGGCTTTAATAGCGATATTAACTTAACTAAGATATACTTAGAATAGCTTATTAACGAGAATCTACTAGAAGAAGATAAGGAAGGTAAGATAGAGACTCTTCGTACTATTACGAAGGACCGTCACCTTCTATTGCGTAGTATACTCGAGAACATTATATACGACTATTATTAGAAGGCAAAGTAGGCAGAGGCGGTTATTCTAGCTAACTTATTATACGCCTATCGGACTAATATTGCTATACAGTATTAGTCTAAATATATGCGACTGTCGGCGGCGGTAGAGCTATTATAATAGCTCTAGTAGTATCGATAGCGATACGATAATAGCACGTTGTTTGCTATCTAATAGGCGTAGGTCGATATAGGCGTAGGCGCCTTACTATTAGTCTACTAGTAATAACAACCTCGCTAAATATAATAACCGCAATAGGCGAGGGACCTATTCGCGCTAGAGGAGGGCACTTAGCGCGCGCTAGAGTACACGGCGACTACTTTCTATACTAATTAGTATAGAAACAGTTACTACTATCCTCCGCTATCGTTCTAGGCCCCTCCGCTATCGCAATTTAAGCCTACGTAGGTAACTAACTCGGTACTATAGAATACATACGCCGTAGGCGACGGCACCTTCTAATATAGCATATCTTCTTTAAACGACGGCAGTTTAATAGACGTAATACGCTAGGTCCTTTACTAATAGCGCCTTCTATATATGCCTACTATACCGAGCGGTCTTCGCTACTCTATAGCAGCCGCCGATATACCGACGCTATAGCCGTTAAACCTATTAAGACATACGCTATAATAATAGTCGCTAATAGATATATTATAACTTAGCAATCGATAGGTAGGGGTGTTTATTAACGACCGACGATACTTATTAGAAGAATAGCAGCGGCTATTTAATAGTAGGACCTTTAGTAGTAATCTATACTATAGCGGCGGTAGCGGCAGCAGTAGCGGCAGCAGTAGCAATAGACAATAAAGTACCGTATAGGTAGGTACTGCCTAAGGTAGCCGAGCGAAGCGATAGCTAAGCGGAATAACAGTCCTAAAGTTAGGAGTGCCTACTAGTTTGCCTCTTGCCTACCTAGCTGCCCTCCTACCTACCTCCTACCTTCCTGCCCTCTATACCGGCCCCCGGCTACTATTAGGCACTTAACAGATTTATTAGGCTAATACTTCCTTTTAATTTCTTCTAATTAGAGGCCTAGCTAGATTTGTATAAGCGCATCTTTAAATTGAACCCCTAGCGAACACCTCGTATATAATTCTACTAACTTCTAACTATTATTCCGCTTAGCTCGTAAATAGATAATACCTCTATATCCTCGTCGTAAGCTTCTCGAATGCTCCGGCTTATGCCTATTTATATCGCTTCGCTCGGATAAGGCAAGAGCAAGTAGATATACCTCGAATTTAGCGTAATAGCTATACTATACGTTAACTTTGGCTTTATTAAGTTATCGCTAGCGACCTTAGTAGAAATTACTATATTTCTAAAGCCCTTTTGAATTTAAAGCACATTTTAACTAAATTCATTAGGGGAGTTGCTAGCAACTCGAGGTAAGGGGTGGGATTGGGGTAAAAGTGGGTCGAGCCAATCAGCGCGAGTTGCTGATATATAGGCCACTAATCGCTCGCAGAGCTTAGCAAACCAAGCTCCGCCAACACTTGCTTCCAGAAGTCTTCTGCAAATCTAACCAACAATAGCGTTATCGCGAGGGCTCGCGAACGCCGAAAGCGCGAGGACGTATCGAATCACAGTCTCTTCCATGATGACCTCGAGGCTTGATTGACCTGGATGATGAGACGCTGCTCCGCTCGCCATCCATCGCCCATCTCCGTCCGTTGCTTTTGGATCATCATAGACATCCCCGCAAACGCACCTGCACCTGCTACTTCGGGTGCAACGCCGCAGACGTTGCGGTCCTGCCGCGCCGGAATGCCACCCATTGTATCATCTGGCAAGAAGCGCTAATGCAAGGGCAGGTACGACCTTGTGAAATGGTGGGACCAGGTATTGGTGCAGCAGTCGCGAACGGCCAGAGAAGAAAAGAAAAGGATGGAGCTCCCCTCCAGATCGTCGTCCCACTGACATCCAGCCATTTTACCATTCAAGATGTTTCTCACCAGTTTAGTCTATGCCATTGGCACTATTTCGGCTGTCCATGCCCTTCCTAAGACCGTCCGGTCACCCTACTCCGTGAAGGAGAGGCACAATGTGCCGCGAGAATGGACCAAGATTAGCCATACCGACAAGTCGCAGACCAGTGAGTAGACACTACAGGCAGAAGTGAGCGGTCGATCAGGCGTCAACGTTTGCTAATCTGCTTCACCTTCTAGTCCACCTGGCCATCGGCTTGAAGCAGCAAAATGAGGGCGTGGTAGAGGAGCACCTTCTCCAGGTGTCAGATCCGAGCCACCACCGCTATGGCAAGCACTTGACTGCTGCCGAGATTCAAGACATCGTCCGGCCTTCACAAGAATCGCAAGATCTTGTCAAGAGCTGGCTCGAGGAACATGGCATTTCTGGCTTCCACAACCCAGCAAACGACTTCATCCATGTTGTGATTCCAGTCGAAAAGGCAGAGGCTTTGCTTGACACCACATACTCCAAGTTTCAGCATAAGGATGGTACTGTGCTCGACCGCGCTCCAGAATGGAGCCTTCCACTCCACCTTCACGACCACATCGACGTTGTGCAGCCTACGACCTCATTCTTCCGCACGAAGCGATCTGCAGTCGGCAGCAAGCTCCCAATGCTTGACGCTCCTCACTATTCCGACTCATGGTTCAAGACCAAAGGCCCAGGACGTTACGGAGCACCTCCAGGCTATGGTCATGGTGGTAATGGTGGGAACATTGGATCTGGAAACGGTGCTGGGCCAATCTCACAAATTTGCAATATTTCCTTCACCACACCAGACTGCATCAGAACTCTCTACGGCACCTACGACTATAAGCCTCAAGTTCCAGGGAAGAACAAGAGTGAGTCCAATCCCAGAAGTTACTGTTCTGCACTGAAGCTAGACTCGCTAACATGAGCAACTACCAGTCGGCCACACGAACTATCTGAACGAGAGCAGCTACCGACCCGACATCCGCAAAGCACTCCAGGCCTACAGACCTGAGGCTGTAGAGGCTGCGGACACCTTTACGGTCATTAACATTGCCGGCGCACGCGAGCAAACGGGCCCGTACACTGCCGAAGAGCTCGCCGATGGTGCAAATATCGAAGCAGTTCTGGACAGCGAGAACATCCTTACCGTTGCATGGCCAACACCGTTGATTGTCTTCTCGACCGGTGGAAGCCCGCCATTCATCCCAGATATCCAGACTCCCACTAATACCAACGAGCCATACCTAGTCTGGCTGGACTACGTCCTCAACCAGCAGGACCTCCCACAGGTCATTAGCACTTCATACGGCGACGATGAGCAGACAGTGCCTGAGTCTTACGCCAAGCGCGTCTGTGCCGGCATGGCACAGCTAGGCGCTCGCGGTATCTCTATTCTATTCTCTTCTGGCGACGCCGGTGTTGGTGCTGATGGCACTTGCTACTCGAACGATGGCAAGAACACTTCCATGTTCTTACCTGCATTCCCTGCCGGATGCCCATGGGTAACTGCTGTCGGTGGAACCGAGAACTTCGCACCTGAAGTTGCCGTCAATAGATTTGCCTCGGGTGCTGGTTTCAGCAACTACTTCCCGGCACCCAAATACGGACAGAGCACATGGAACGCCTACGTAAAGGGCTTGAATGGTCTTCACGATGGCCTCTACAACAAGGAAGGACGTGCATACCCAGACGTCGCAGCTCAAGGTAACCACGATGCCATTGCCTGGAACAACACTCTCAGAACAGTTGGTGGCACTTCAGCGTCCAGCCCAACCTTCGCTGCTGTCATTTCTCTCGTCAATGATGCTCTTCTTGCAAAGGGCAAGGCACCCCTCGGTTTCCTCAACCCATGGATCTACAGTGGAGGATACAAGGCTCTCACTGATGTGACCAACGGCACCAGCTACGGCTGTAACACCACCGGTTTTCCCGCTAAGGCTGGCTGGGACGCCGTCACTGGCTTCGGTACTCCTAACTTCCCTAAGCTCGTTGAGGCTGCGTTTGAGGAGTATGGTAGTAAGCCATACTAATCACTGGATACCGGCTCAAAGCCAATGACCTATTACGAGTAATGTCTGTATTTATATAGCGGCACGCAGAAAGTCTAATCAAGCCTGATACGAACCATAAGGTATCTGATCGCGCACATCTCTGACACGAAGCAACAGCTGCCACCACTCAATGTCTCTCTCATCAAGGAAACGCCAGAGAGCCTGTGAAACGCGCGAACCACAATCCCACACATCAACCAACCACACACCCCTCTCTTTCTCCCCTACATGTACTCCTCACTCACTCTTCCCCCAACCTCTCAAACCTACTCCCAATCCCCACCGCAAATCTATACTCCCCCCTCTTCTCCACCCCTTTCACACCATCCATACCCCTCCCCAACACCTCCTCCAACCCCCAAACAATCCTCTCAGCACCCACCCTCGCCCCCTCCAAATTCCCCGCCCCGGGCCCCAACCTCAACCCCGCAAACCTCCCCGTCACAAATAACGGAATATCTTCCCTCCACATTAAATCTTCGGTTATAGCGGGCAGACCATCGTGAATTTTAATTGGGTACTTTGCGTGGAGGTGTGTGAGGTAGGGGAGGGTGAGGATGTTTGATTGGATGCCTGTGGCGAAGTAGATGTGGTGGAATTCTGGGAGGGGCTCGGAGATGGGGGGAGAGGTGAGGATTTTCCAGGTTTGGGTGAGGGGGGAGAATTTTGCGGTTGTTATGGTTGTGTGGGTGTGGAGGGTTAGTTTTTTGGAGGTTGTGAGGTGGTGGTGGAGACGTTTGGAGAAGTGAGGGGTTATGCTGCCGCCGTTTCGGGCGGTGGTTATCAGTTGGGAGCGTTCTAGGGGGAGGGTTGGTTAGTTGGAGGGAGAGGGGTGGATGTGGGTAGGTACCTTCGTCTGTATCTGCGGACCAGAAGGAGGCTTTTTCGTGATTGCGGAATTTTCCCATCCAGCTTAGGTCGACGTCGAAGGGTTTTACTGTTGGGAAGGGAGGTAGGTCGTCAGTGGCAGCTATGGGTTGGGTAGTGAGTAGACTTGCCTTTCATCGGCCCTCTCATGATATGATGCACTTTCGTAGCGCCTCTTCTAATGGCTCGATCGGAAATTTGAGCACTCGTCAAACCTCCACCTATCACTAGAACATTCGTATCTTTTTTCGCTCGCATTCTCGCTTGTAAAGCTTCGTCGAGAGGTTGGAATGCATGGCATGCAGATGGACAGCCATTTCGCGGAAATGGTGCAGGGATTGAAGGGGCGTTGCCAGCTCCGACTGCTAGGACGACACTTTTTGCGAAATACGTCTTCCCGTCGGTGTGGAGGGTGAAGAATTTCTCTTCTGAGGAGAGTTGTGGAATGTAATCGTACTCGATGTTCGAGACTGAGGCTTTTTGGATCAAGTCTGGAGATTGGAGGTCGTAGCGTTTTGCGATGAAGGAGCAGTAGGATTCGAAGAGGTCGGATGGGGGGACGAAGTAATCCTTTCGATCTCGTTCGTCGATTGCGATTGTTGGTCGAGCTCTTTTTTTTTGACATTAGCAATTTAACATATTTTTACTTGCTACATCGATGAGTGCTTAGGTACTTACTGTTCACCGGGTTTCCGCTTATTCCGTCTTTTCTTCATTTGGTGTTTACTCAACTCTTTCCCAACACAACCAGCGATTTCCAGACACTCGGATTCTCTGCCGACAGCATGAGCGTATGCTAATAGCCCGTCACGGTCGTGTGGATCAGGATGGAAAAACATTGGACTTCGTAAGTGAGAGATTTCTAGGAGTGAGAAGAGTCGTTTCCATTTCGATAGCCATTCTTTGCCTGAGTTGTCGAGGACTAGCATCGATGGCTCGGATCTTGAAGAAGGTGGCTTCTGCTGTCCCAACGACCTGGTGTGGCCTGTCTTGGAGCTCTTGATCGCAGCATTGGCGGCATGTTTCTTGATCCAGTGGTAGCGGTGGTGTTCTTCGTCAGTGAACAATGCTGATGGTGTGTGTTCTCGTAGTCGAGCGGCTGTGGCCAATCCACAAGGTCCAGCTCCGACGATGATTACGTCGTAGATGTATGGCAATGTGTCTTCCCTCTCGGGCGACAAGCTATCCTTTCGTGATGTTGGCATTTTTCTGACTTAAGACTTCGTTCGAATATCAAATGACTTGCTCCGATCAATGAATGCATAGCTCCCAGTAATATCAGAGGTTGCGGCTTTGTGCCATCAAGGTGCTCGGTCATCATGGTACCTGGAATGGGTCCATGTCAGTCTAGCGGCATCCAACAGCTTACCGAAGATCTGTCGAGCAAGTCGAAGAGCGCCGAGGCGAGTAGTGTTCGAAAGAGAGACTGCATGTGCAATATTGGCGCAGGATTGTTCTACACGTCTAAGCTTCTAAAGATCAGATACTTTTACCAGTCTCCAGCAACCACTTGAAGCCTTCAAGAGTGTCTTTGACAAATTCCTTACTGCGTTCCAGAGTTGGCCAGTTGGTCCAGAACATATGCCCATGTCCATCATAAACGTCGATCTTCGTTTTGACGCCGTTTTCTTCCCTCAACACACGTTCGTACAGGATGGCCTCGTCGCGGAGTGGATCAAGACCTGACACCTGCTGATAGCAAGCAGGCAGACCTTTGAGGTTCGGGTGTAGAAGAGGATTGAAGAGAGGGTTAGTGGAGCCTTTTCCAGCGAGGTTGTTTGGCGGGGCCTTCTTCATGCCGTCGCGGAATAATGGGTCATCGAACGATTCATGGCGACTTCGATATTCCGATTGCCACTTCTCAGGTACGACGTCGTGCCAAAGAAGCGAAGGGCAGCAGAGATATTGCCCTGTCAGAGGCGGACTGAGCCCATTGTCACGACCAAGCTGGGCCATCACGGCAGCCAGATTGCCTCCTGCGCTTGCGCCGCCAACTATGAAGCCCGCTTTCGGGTCACCTGGGAGCTCTGGATTTGATGGCGATGCAGTCTTCGCAACCCAAGATATGACGTCGTAGCAGTCTTCCACGCATTTCGGCCAGGCGTGTTCTGGTGCAAGGCGATAGTCTACATTGACACAGACAGCACCAAGATCGCGAGCGAACATGCGGCAGTTGAGATGCTCTAATGAACGTCAGTACCTATATCAACCTATTCGAGGTCATATTCGTAGGCATTCTTACCATCTGTCAGATCTCCCATGGTCCATCCCCCCTCATGTCTGCGGAGAGTCAGCTTTCAAGAAATCACAGCAAAGGAGATAGTGCAGCGTACAGCATCACTATGACGGGAGATGGCTCCGAGGACTTGTGTACTGGCTTGTAGATGATTATCGGGATCTTGAAGCCATCTCTGGCCTCAACGACGTGATCTGTCTCCTGTACATGCTCTGGTATCGGTCCAGGGATTGGGTAGAGGTGTCGCAATTTGGCGAGGTGATCAGCACGACTCTTCCGTCTTGCGGAAATCTCGCCCTCCCCGTTCGGTGCAGGCAATTGCTTGGCCGCCTAGGGATGGGAGTCAACCGTGAGGTATGTATGCGGGAATTAGGTAGCCTACTTCAGCAAGAAGCGGATCCACTGTGCCCATACGGACACGGTCGGCCTCTGCAATCATTTTCAACACTGGTATATCCCGGAATTAAGCTTGGGTAGAGAAGAGGAGGTAGTTGGATGAAATTGAAAGGGGAGAATCTAGGTCGAATGCTGAGGTCGTGCAGACGGAGGATGCTAAGCACTGGGATGATCGGATCGAGATGTTCGGTGCGAAATCTTGCATACAACATATCCGCCGGCCTATAGTTCTATAAGCTGGACGATTTACACGAGGACCGGTGGCATTTGCCAGACACGACGTTGGTGAGAAGATACGCGTACACGTCGCGGGTGTGAACTTGCCAAGTTGTCGTGGTGAAGAAACGAAGAGAAGGCGCGCTCGACAATGCCGATGTCGGCTGAGGCCTGTGCTTGCCTCCAGCCTCCTTGGACATCAGGGTATACTGGCTGGTAAAGTACAATTCATCGCTGCTTTCACACTTATCCGCGTAGATTGAGAAGAGTCGGAGCGCAGGAGACACCATATCAAACGCATAGGAGCTGGCGGCGGCCGCGGCAATTCAGAGGAAGAGAATGAGACGATTTGGACACGAATCTATGCTACTGAGCATTTCGTTTGGACAAAATCAGGCCTTCAGGACGAGAGTTTGGTGCTCGGTTCATACTTGGGCAGAGATTGGGTAGCTCAGCCGCCCTTGCACCATCATACAGTATGCGGCGCTGTAAGCTTCCAAGAATCGCTTACTCGCCATAAAGCAATCGACCACGAACTCCTTGGACTGGAATTATCATTGCAATGATTGTGGCAAGAACCTCGCTGGCCTAGTGGGTAAGTGTATGAGATGTTGGTACTGCGATAGCCCTTATTGAGGGCTCTACGAAGATGAAACGAATGGTATTGAAGCTTAGCCTGAACGCTTCGCTTTGTTTATTGATGAGGTCGACAATGCCGCATCAGATTGAACATAGATAAGGGTACAGTCAACTCCTGCTCTTGCACCTGGACGCGGACACGCTGTGAAGGTATCATAGCTCAAGCATCTGGACGATGTAAGAGGCGAAGAGATGGAGCACAAGATGACTTCGTACCACAGGCATTTCAGCTCTGTAGAACCTTCAAATACAAGGCTTTGCACATACCACGATCCTCTCCCTCTCCCTCTCATCCTACCCAATCCCAAAATACCCCCACAACCTCCTCCCCACTCCCCTCCAACGCCAAAGAGAGGAAAGAGGTCGGGAATAGGTTAGATCCCAGATTCAAGTCTGAATGCAACGTGAATTCTCAGTGTTGGCGAGTTCTTTGTGACACCATTCGACCAAGTGATCGCCAGCTGAGTTACCTAAGGCCCGCAAGTTGTCGCAGGCTGACGTCGAACAGCAGGATGGCGTTGCCGGATTTACATGCACGTAAGATGCGGAATCGGAATCGGCGTTGGCATTGAGAGGTGAGTTGAACATCGCCCTATCTCCGCCCATGCGCCGCTATGGAAAGAGTATGAGCATGAAAGATGGAAAACGTCAACGTCAATGAAATTGTGTGGTATTCTGCTCGCTATCTGTGCAAGCCTGTCCGTAATGCAAAATGCTCATGCTGTCTGTGCTGTGCTGTGCTGGAAACGCTTCGCACTGTGGGTATCTTCGCTCAAATCACAATTGCCAGACCCTTGGAATATCCCAAACAAAACGCCTTGCCCAGCCTTTCACCCATATGCCATCCATCTCTCGTATGTCAAAGAGTCAATGTTGTGATGATGCATCTCAAGCAACCTTACGAGAATGATGCAGAGTCTTGTCGGTATGTCCTCCGATCGATGTTAAGAGTAGTGTGTAGTTGAGTCAATGCTGTGATGCTGCATCTCAGACAGCCATAATGAAGTGATGCTGCATCTCAGACAGCCATAGTGAAATGATGATGCATCTCAAGCTGCCATGATGCTGATTCTTGGATGCTGTTTCTTGTCGGTATGTTCTCCGACTGATGTTAAGAGTTGTGTGTAGTTGGGCCAATGCTGTGATGCTGATTCTTGGATGCTGACTCTTGTCGGCATGTTCTTCGACTGATGTTAAAAGTTGTGTGTAGTTGAGCCAATGCTGTGATGCTGCATCTCAAGTAGCCATAGTGACATGATGCTGATTCTTGGATGCTGACTCTTATTGAAAAGTTCGTCGATCAATGTTGAATGTAGTGTGACTGCTCAACCCAGCAATGTAGTATCGAGGCCGATGAGCTTCTCAAAACGAGATCTCAGGCCATATACAACCGCTTTGGAGTTGCTGTATTGAATGTCGTGGTAGCCACCGAGATTGGCGTTGCGCCATCCCTGAAGTTGGCCGTAATGACCTATCCAGGTCATAAAGCAGAAGATGAGGAAGATGATGAAAATGAGACCGCGCAGACTGGGTGCGTTGCCCTGCTTCTCCTGCTGATGAACCACGTGCCTAACGCGGACTTCGTTGGAGATTGGCGTGTCTGGTGTCAGAGGTGCTGTTTGTGTCGCGGCTGTCACTTGGACTGGCTTCTTGCTGTCAGTGAACTCGACGATTGGTTTGAGACCAGGCTTGGACCGCTCGAGTTTGGTGAATGTGTTGACTTCCTCAAGCAGCACTCGAATGCGCCGCTGTTGCTTTTCGATGGTGTCGTCCTTCTCCTTCTGCTCTTTTTGAGCCTTGGCCAAGTCATCGACGTAGTCTTGTTGCTGTTTCTCGAGATCTTTGATCTTCTGTTCAAGCTGGTCGTAGTCGCGGGTGTCCGGCTTGACTGTGCTGTTATCTGGACTCTCCTGTTCTCCCTCGACAGTTCGAGCAAGATCTTCTGAGAGTGACGTCTGTCTGTTGCGCTGAGCTTTGCTGGTTGTCTCGAGTTTGGCGTCGTTGTTGAACTTCTCGTTCAGACTGACTTGCGACGACTGTTGATTGATCTCGGCTTGCTCTGTAAGACGCTTGAGGTGATTGCCAAAGCTGTCTGGATTGAGGTCCTTGCCCTGGTCTTTGAATACCTGCTCGAGGTTGTCGCTGACGACTTTCAGATACTCGGCGGCCTTGTCGTTCTCGGTGGCTTGCTGAGACAGGACTTCGTTGGCTCTAGTGAGCGAGTCGATTGTAGTTTGTGCGGCAGTAAGATCGGCTTGGAGATCATCGGCTATGTTGATCTGCTTCCTGCGCGCCTCTTTCTCCTCGTTGAGTTCTGATTGCAGCGAGTCTGCCCAGCGCTGCAGCTCCTCTGACTGTTTCTTGAAATCGGCACGCTGTTTGCTGAACCATTCTCTCTCCTTTTTGATGTCCTCGTCAGTCTTTCTGCGCTCTCTCTCCTTGCGATCCAGGTCAGCGTTAACGCTGTCGACGAATGCCTTGTTGGATCTCTCCTGGCGCAGCTCGTCTCGCAGGCGCTCGTTCTGCTTTGTTGCGCTGTTTTCGTCGCTGTCGCGCTTCTCCAGCTGAACGTAGAGGTCGTCGTTTGCGGCTTTGACTTCGAGGTAGAGCTTCTTGTAATCTGGTGGTGCCTCGGAGTTGGCTGGCATGGTGTCAGCACATTCTCGCGAAGCGCATTGGTGATGTTCAGTGATCAGTTTGGATGCAAAGTGAACTTACCTTGTGGTGCCGGCGCCGGGCGAGCCGAGGGCTCCGCCGCGTACGGCAGGACCGTGGTTGGCAGGAGCATGCTGCGGCCCGCACCGCCCGCCGGAGAGCTCGCGCTCTCGTTGCTGCTGCTGCTTCCAGCCATTGGCACTGGCTGGCTGCCGCCAGTTTGTACCTGGACGGCAGGGAGAGTTGGTGGCCGTGGAGCGGCCGTGGTGGTGCTTGGCCGCTTTCTCGCGGCGAAGAAGAGAGAGGGTGCCGGTCTTGCCGGCCGGCGAGCCGGTGGTGGCGGCGGCGGTGGTGCGGTGGTGGTGGTGGTGGTGGTGGTGGCGGCGGCGGTGCCGTCCAGCTCTGCCAGCTGCTCTGGCGTGATTGCGCCTTTTGGAAAGGCGGGAGGCATGGTGGTGGTGGTGATGGCGAAGCAGCAGGGAGAAAAGTGTGTGGGTGACTGGAATGTAAAAGTTTGGAATGTGACTGCAAGCAGATATAGGTACGAAGACGACGAGCATGGGCCTCCTTCACCGCTCCATTGTTTACTCACAATAGGACAGTAGAACAATAGACGCGCGTGCGTTGCCGGGGTGCTACAACAACATCGTGCTTCACTTCACGACGACGATCTTCAACATCTCCATTGAAGCTGGATGAACAATAGCACGAAGGATAGGCCCTACGCGATCAAACGGACGAGGAGCTCCGACGGTGAGGATGCTGGAGACTTACCTATTCTCAACAATAGCAGAGCCTTCGAGTCGTTCGAAAAGTGTACCGACGTTGCAAGTGAAGCTGCAGGAGCGCAACGGCAACGACGTCATTCACTGCACGCGTTGCATTGACGCTGAAGCTCGCCTGGAGGAGAACAGGATCTGGGAATCTGAAGAGGCGTGGATATCTTGGACCAACTCGTGAGTGATTGCTGGCAAAAACTCGTTGGAGATCAGGCGTTAGATCTCACATGAATGGCGCTTCCTTAGATATGAGTCGTTTTTCACCTGGATCCCTACCATATCATCCCCAATGCCACTCGAGGATCGAGTTCTTGACAGCGAAATGAGAGAGATTGCAGTAAATCGGAGCTCTTTGACTCTCCCTTCACATGGAGCTGGAGACTTCCACAGTGTTACAGGGTCTACCAAGCCTGGTCCCTCAGAATGAGGCCAGAGAGTTTCCTGCCAGGGCATCTGCCATTCTTTGCCTCCGCAGGAAGCACCATTGAAACTGTGAACTTTCGCGTTGGTATCCGTCAAAGACCGTTTTGAAAGCCTGAAGAACACTTTGATCAGCGAACTGTGACTTCATCATCGCGCTCTCCGTACGTTTTGTCTAGGGGTGGTTGGCTCTACCCATTTAGACATACATGTTGACATTTCTTTCCACGGAAGCAACCGAGCCTCAAGTCGCTACGGAGTCAGCCGCTGCTTGTGAAGACCACAAAAAGGTCACAAGATCTGTTCGCAGCTACTGTGGACGAGACGAGCCTGGGACCTTGCAGCTGCTCGTCTGCTATGATACTGTGACCAGCAACCTTCCTCGCTCCAGTAAGACGCCATTGTAAAGCGGTCGACATTGAATCTGTACATGTTAGCTAGGAGAAGGTGCCAGCCGTGAGCACGACGCAGTCTCACCGTTGTCAATCAATAGCCTCGATCTGACGCCAATTGGACGACACACTGCGAAACGGAAGCGAGTGTTGGTGAGTGTGTGCATACAATGTCTTGCAGAGGAGGCACTGCAATTTGCCCGAGTCGCCATCTCCATCAATGTCTTGTCCGAAACTCGAACATTTCAGCCACCACCTCGGACCCCCGGGCTCGAATGATAGAAGATTGGATCTAGAGTCGAGGATGAAGAAGACAATGTTTAATTTGATGAACAGTGTTAGAAAAGCATATGAGCGGGCAAAGTAGCAGCGACAAATGGGTATCTCCCAACAAATTCGCAGGATTCATCCAGACCTCCAGAAAAGATTCTCCAAAGTCAGAACGGAAGCCATACGGCGTATACACCTACTAAACATCATCCATCCTCAGGCCACAATGCTCATCCCAACGCGAATCCTCACGCCGAGAAGCAGCACCGATGTAGCACCAGACCATCATTCCACAATCATCTCCGCAAACAACATGGCGATGGACACCGCGCCAAACAATCGAGTCGTAGGCATCGTGGCCGCGGGCATCGTGGTCTTCCTCCTCATCGCCGCCTTGGTCGGATGGTACATCTACTTTCAGCGCAGACAACACCGAGCCGTTCGAGAATCCCTGGTCGAGCTCAGAGCGCCAGTTTGGAGCCCGCGACCAGACAGCTCAATTCGTCCTCCCTACCAGGTGAGCTGCGAATCGCCAAAGACAAAGTTGTCGAGTCCGCCAGCAGCCAAGATAGAACTTTCGGATCGGCATTTCAGACTTGCTAGGAAAGAGCTCCACTAATACCACCAACACCACCACTAAGGATGCTGTGGTTGTGGAGCTCTCGGGTTTGGAGGCGGGACCATGGACTCCAGACCTCCTGGATTCCGCTGAAGATTCGGTTTGATGCCGCGAACGATATATCTTCCATCCGGTGAACGGTCAGCTAGGACGGCTACCGTAGTGAAGGCTTGTGGTAGCACATCCCGGATGAGTTCTGTCGCGCCGATGTTAAAAGGGTTGTGGAGATAGCCGAAAATGTGTCGGAATGCCTCCCAAAGAGCGATTTGGTTGACGAACGCGTTGGGGTCGGCTGTGAAGTTCCTGCGAAGCCACTCGATCGGTGCTGAGTAACGACTGTGTCGTGGCGGTAGAACGATGATCGGCACATGATTGACTTGACCACGACCAAGTGGTAATGAGGCTGCAGGTGCTTGATGCGCATGCAGTAGAGGGTTTTGGTACACAGCTGGTGGCCGAAACTGTGGAGGCTGAGTATTCAGAGGGTTCGGCGGATATTGACCAACATATGGCGACGGGTACGGCATCTGTGGGACCGCTGGATATGGCGGAGGTCGTGATGAATGTGGTTCCGTTGTTTGTAGATGCCGCTGCGCTTGCGATGGGGGTGCACGAGGGTGTGTGGTCGGCCCAGTAGGTGTCGGTGTATTTGACATATTCCGTTTCGAAGCATTTTTTGGATCCTTTTGATTCACCGCTTCCATCTCGTTTTCCTCACCCGACTCCCCATTGAAGTCGAGATCCAGCCAGTCTGGCAATTCAACGATAGTCTGCTTGAGCCAGCAATCTTTACAACCATCTTTGTGCAACTGCTCAGCATATGCTTCCAGATACCTGGCAGCTTGTGGTGAGGTCCTCTCAATCTTATCGAGCAGGCTGTAGAAGTCCTGCAGGGTCTGAAAGCTGCATTTTACGGGCTTTGAATCTACATGGCGATCTTCATCATCCGTCGAGGAAGGTGGCGTTGGCAGAGACGAAGACTGACTAGCTGGGCTCTTGCCCTTCTTGCTTTGCGAGCTTCGTTCGGGTGGTGTATCCGGGCTGAGGTCACTAAGTGCTCTACGATTCGGTGAAATGGATCCAGTTTTCTGGCGATAGACTTCGGCTCCGGACTTGTTCTTCGGCAGCTCTTGCAGCTTCGCGTTAATTGTTTGCATCCAGACTCGCCAGCTTCCCTCGCTCAGGAGATCAGCTTTCTCTACTATCATCATAGCTGCATCTGCCTCCTCTTGGGTATTGTACGGGTAGCACGTTTTCTCTCTACTGCAACGCCCTCCAACGATAACCTCGTCCTCATCCACTACCGGGTCAAATATGCTCAACTCAGCATTGACGGCCCATGTCGCGACCTCATTCTGTTCGCGCTGCTTCCTGCTCGTCGTCCCTACCTCCCAGCTAAGCCGTTCCGCAACCAGGAATAGCTTCCTTTGATGCACGCTCGCGACTCGCTCTTTTCCGCATTGCGAGCAGAAGATCTTAGCATCGGTGTCGCCATCATTCAAAGCCTGCCACGACCTCTTAGGAAGCAGAGACAACGGATACGGGACCGAATGGAACTCCTTGCCAACTCCAGACTCGGCATGCTGTTTGTAACGCACGTGTGGCTTCGATGCTACAGGATTTGGTTTTGCTCGGAATGCACTGCTGCTGGCGGAAACGCGTGGTCTTTTCGGGCTTGATGGCAACGATGTGAGGTCAATGCTTTCATAGTCAGCGTATCGACGTTTTGGCGCCATCAGCGCGTGGTCTGTGTATGATCTCTATGCTGTCTTCGTCAAACATGCATATTTCCTAGAGAGTCGCGTCAAGAAAAAGACCGAGGGAAACGCGTTGTGAGAGCTGTGCAGCAGGGAAGGTCAAGCGAGCGATCCCGGAAAACATCCCACAATGGACCATTCCCTCACTCCACTTCACTTTGATGAGGAGAAGTCTCACTTGTTGGCAATACCGACTACGAAATCCGATATCTACCCATGTCGCAACTGACAAGAGCACCGACGGTCACACCGATGGGATACATCCTACTGCTCGCACTCGCGCCGACATACGCCAAACTCCATCAGGAACATCACCGCCAACACCGTCAGACCCCGCGCTTCCTTGTACAGCTGTACGAAGCAGATGGAGCTCGGGATAACATAGCTGCGAGCTCGCAAGTCAGATAAAAAGATACGCAGGTCCGCTCTCTGGAATACCCATTTGATATTTTTCATCCTCTCTCTGTATCCCATCCCATCCTACTTTCCTCAAATGGCAGCAGCATCTGCAGACGTCGCTTTCTCAGTCGACGGCAAAACTGCCGTTGTGACAGGAGCTGGCAGTGGTGAGTCTTCTAGGCTTGTGAAAGATCGAGAAGAACTTATCTTTCCCAGGAATCAACTTTTGCTTCGCCAAACTCCTCCTGTCCAAGAACTGCAATGTAGTGATAGCGGATCTCGGATTGCGCCCAGAAGCCGAGAAGCTCGTCGGAGAATACTCTTCCAAAGATGGACCCAAGGCTGTATTCGTCAAGACCGACGTCACTGTATGGGATCAGCTGGAGAACGCCTTCAAGACCGCAGACCAGGAATTTGGTGGTGTTGACATCGTGTGCCCTGGCGCTGGCGTATACGAACCTCACTGGAGCAACTTCTGGCTACCACCCGGCTCGGCCATCTCAAAGGATAAAGTTCACGGGACAGAGGTCGAAGGCATCGGTCACTATACCCTTCTAGATATCAACCTGACGCATCCAATTCGCGCAACTCAAATGGCTATATCCAGATGGCTGAACCCGCCTGAGGGAAGCAAAGCCGGGAAGGTGTCCGCCACAAACCCGAAGCGTGTTGTACACATCTCTTCCATCGCAGGCCAGTTACCAGGCTTTCTCTGCCCTTTGTACACAGCCTCGAAGCATGGTATATCAGGCTTCATCCGCTCGATGGCACCACTCGAAAGCACGCTTGGAATTCGTGTCAATGGCGTTGCTCCAGGTATCATCAGGACTCCACTTTGGACCGAACATCCTGAGAAGATGACTTTCCTTGACACCGAGCAAGACGAATGGGTGGAGCCGGAAGATGTGGCTGAAGCTATGCTTCGCTGTGTGGAAAGCGATGACGTTGTGGGTGGTTGGGTGTTGGAAGTGCTCAAGGGAAGGACAAGGAATGTTGACTGGAGGAACGACCCTGGTCCAGAAGGTCCTGGCGGTACAGCGAGCAACAGAGATAATGCAGCTGCTGAGGTGTATCAATGGTTGGGTGAGCCTGGATGGGGTGTTGCAAAGTGATGGTGCCTTGGCATGGGCTCAAAGTAGCAGCAGTAAAGCTAGACTATTCTTCATTCAAGGCTTCTGTCAATCATCACTACCGACCACAGTCGCAAGTGACAATACGAGATGCACTAGCCAGTTTAGATGCATTCGATCTAGCTCCAAGCAACCAAATTTATTTCCCATTGCTGAGGTCAAAAATGGCTCACAGTCAAGTAGTCGATACTTCGATCTCCGAACAGGTGTAGCCCAAAGAAATGGCTTTCAGCTCTTGGTCACACCACGTTGGCACCAACCACAGCTCGGGCTTTGTCGAATTGCAAGGGAATCCGCTGAGAGCTTTGCCTAAACGAGGCCCAAGCCCATCGAATCCCTGAAATCTACTTGTCCATCGATCGTAGAGAAGGCGATTACATCGCTGCGGCTCGCTCCATCCTGTCGCCAGATGTCACGTTCAAATCGAATCCTCAAGCTCTCTTTATCAGCGCCTTGTAGCAGACTTCAATGCCACGAACTGGGACAACTTCGAGGAGTTCGCTGAGGAAGCTACGAGTGACGCTCCGGCTAGGAGAGTTGTGAGGACTGTCTTCTCGTTCTGGACGTGTGATGTTCTACTGCAGTACCTTGAGTACTTGATGAAGAAGCCAGGGACTGACGAAGAATACCCGGTTAGAGCCATGAGGTGGCTGGATGTTGGTCGAGATGGCGAAGGTGGGTGGAGAACGTGCACTTTGAACAGAATAGTGGCGCTTTCCAGTGGGCAACAGGGCAGTTGGAGTTTGAAGATAGAGATTTTGACGTCGAGGTTGGAGAAGGCGTGGTGGATGACGCTCCGCAGACCGCTGGTTGTTCCTAGAAGTCTTGAATTCCAGTCTCTCCTTTCGGCGTTCCTGCTCCGAGAAACTCGGGCGTCTGATTGTCGATGTACTCTTCCAGACGCTTCCTCTCCTCCTCTTCGCGATCATCGAATTCTTCATTGTCGTCCACAGTGCTGTAATCGAAGTCCTTGTCGTCGCCACGTAGGAAGCGTTGAGTCATGAGATCGACCCATCTATCCCAGGCATCCTCTCGATTCGAAGCTTCTTCATCCTGCTCAACAGATAAGATATGGCCATCCGGAGCACGCTTGTATAGCATCGCAATGTTTGGATCCGGATGCTGGAGAGCCTCGATCTTGGCTTCTGAACGGACCAGATCTGCTTCCAGAATTCCAGTGTAGCCACGTTCGCGGCCTTCCTTTTCTCGCTCGCCAGATGTGAGGAAGCGACGAACTAGTCTGTCGTAAAGTAAAGGATCTGTACAGTCCGATGAAGTTTGTGAGATAAGAGAGCATATAGAGGAGCTGAGAAATGAGGAAGCATGTGGCAACCTACCTGCAAGTTCAAGGTCGGGAGACTTGAAGTAGTCAGGATGTAAGTCTAGATATCGCTTTCTGCGATTCTTGATCTGGATACGATCTGGCCTCCTCAGATGTGTGAGGCTTTCTGATATGCTTGATGCCTGCTCGGAGGATGTCTCTTGGCTGGTTGTTGTTTGTACATTTTGGTTGGCCGGTCGGATCGTTAACGTTTGCTTTGGGCTGTGTTCCTCTGTGGAGTGCGGCATGATGTTCAGTATACCTATGCTACTAGAATGTGCAGCAATGCGCAACGACGTTCGAAGTCGTCCCTGCCGATGAAGATGGGGTTTCTGCACGTGGCGACCGAGGGACGCTGTGGCAGGGATCTCTGTGTCGGCTGAGTTTGATTGGTCGAGATCAGTCAGCATGGCTGCCGAGTTCCGACAGCCCGTGCCCAAGTCGTATCCGCTACAACATATCATTTCAATGGCCCGTCGTCCTCAACGTAGGGCTAAGTGCAATGCCTGGGAACAGATCTAGGAATGTGCAATGTCGCGTCGCAGTTCAACCACGGCATGATGGACGTGAATTTGGCTTCGCCGTGCAGTGTGGTACTGTATGACACCATTGCAAGCTGTCGAAGCTGGAACTGCGCGAGGTCCAGAGACTCTTGGTCCTCAAGCCTCTCTCTCTGGCCAGCTGAAAGAGGGCCACGATGCCGACTTCATCGCCGTGAGCCACAGTCCGCTGGACGACATTGCGGTTCTTGCTAAGCCCAAGGAGATCACATATGTTTGGAAAGGCGGCAAGCTGTTTAAGGCACCAGGCAAGCCTGTAAGCTTTGTGTGAACGATACACCAGAATCAACAATCCCGCCCCTCCTTTTCCGCTCGTGTACGACGTGAAGCTTGCATTGTGCGGACACGCTCGGCGAAGACCTGAAACAAATCCTGAGTCGGCTTGAGACTTGAGTGACCGCATTTTCGTGAACGGCTTATGATTTATCTGAGACTTTCGAACGCATCACTATTGTGCGATCAAGATGCCCCGCCGTGGACATGATACGCCATTGTGTATGTTGTGTTCTCTCGCTTCGACGACACGCTCCTCTAGCTCTTCCAATGCTCTGGGGCATTCGAATGCTCGGCCCTCTCTCCCGTCCAAGGTTCGTATGCGATATATCATTGAGGCGCGCAATGTCTAATGAGACACGTCCATAATCCCTCATCATTCACGAGGGGCCGCAGGTTTGTGCGAAGACTGTGGACAACTTCAAGAGAAGCGGTCTAGGACTCCAGGCGGTTCTACAACCCGGTTCCTATCCCGGCCGCGATCCCGATCCCGTCGATCCTCCCGCATTTTGAGCACAGGGCATCTCATTTCACCATCGACAATGCATTACAGTACTTCTGGCGGTGAAGCTGCATTTTATGGCGACAAGAAAGCTGCCATATTGGTATCTATGACATTTCCCGTTGCAGCCAGCACCGTGAGCCTCTTTAACCAAGTTTCAACTAACGCTTTCGTTGACTCGTCTGCTGCGGGACAATGGACCTACGACGTTGCACCAGCGTGGAACAGAGACTGCACGTCCCTCCTTGCCTCCGATCTGCAGAGAAACGATTCTCACATGCGTCGGCGTCTGAGCACAACCTTTCCCGAGCCCTCGGTAGGTGCCTGTCTATCCATTATGTGCTACAGTCGACACCCACGCAGGAATCTCCGTGATGGCGCGACCTGTCGAAACTCTTCAGCGAATCCATCCCAGCGAGTTCGCCTCAAGCTTTTGGATGCGTGGTCGTTATACAGAATGCTCCTACATCCACATCGCTTGCAGCCAATCGAACAAGCACTCCTCTACCGGAATACCGAACACACTACTGTAGCTAAGGTTTCTAAGGGAATTTGCCTGGAGATTCAGGTTGTAGATTGCTTTTTAGCCGGAAGTGGATACAAGCAGTCTCCAATTCTAGTCATCAAGTCGGGTCGACAGCAAGGATCAGGTGGATCTCTGAGGAAGTCTGACAGTTGACTGTACCACAACGAGTCAGCACCGACCAGCAGGATGGGGCAGCTTTGGCTGGCTGGACCTGACTGATCACTACAGTACTTGGTCGTCTGGCATCTGCTATACCGAAGTCGATCTCATCAACCGTTGCTTTTTCTGCGAAGCCACCTCAGACCAATACTGATCCAGCGCTCCACTCGCTAGATACGACATCGATGCGCAAGCAATGCCCGGCAATATTATCAATCTGACCCCAGCGGATATCGCTAAATGGCCAAAGGCGAACTATGTCGACCCAGAGAGGAGAGCATGGATGCCTGCTTATGCAAGTATTCTCTACGGTGTTGGTAAGAATAGATGCCATTTGCTTTCTTAGATACCTAACCTGATCAAACAAAGCATCAATCATGGTGATTTCCCGTCTTTGGCTACGGGCGAAGAAGTACGCTGGTGGACTTGGCTTAGATGATGTGAGTCTGAATCGGTAAGGTGCAGAAGCGCTGCTAATGGTGATAGTTCTTCCTTATTTGTGCATGGCTTTCGGTGGCCTGGTTCACCTCGTTATCAATCGTTGGCAGCGAAAACTTTATGACCTCTCGGCATATATGGGACGTTCCATTCGATGTGAGTTGTCTTGGAATTTGAAAGCGTGTTGCTCATCATGATTTGTACCAGAAGTTCGAAAATATGGCATTGATTACTTGGCTGGCTGAATTAGCGGTCTTGATCGCAGGATGCTGCCTTAAGATATCGGTGCTGCTTTTCTACCGTAGAATTGTTGAGCATACCAGTTCAAAGTACTGGATTTGGGCCGTCATCGCCGCCATCTGCTTCACCGTCGCCTACAGCCTGGCATTCATCTTGACACTGGTCTTCAATTGCTCACCGACGGAGGCATACTGGAAGGCCTTCGATCCCTCATATACCCATCCTCACTCTTGTGTCAACACGACGATCGTAAATCTCCTCGCAGGTAAGCAAAGATGAAGCACCGACACCCTTGTGATTGTTGGTCGTATACGAGCTTATTGTGCGATCATGTAGGAATTATGGCAGCAATCAGCGATCTCTATTCTGTGGTGCTACCATGCATGATGACAAGGCATATTCAGCTTCCGCGACCACAGAAGATTGCTCTGTATGTCATCTTCTCATTGGGTCTTTTGGTGGTGGCATGCAGTGGGTGAGTAGACCAAAGGGCAGAAGCCCTTATCCTGCACCTTGCCGCCTTGTAGCCCTCTTGTCTCACTCTCAATCGCCAATCGAGTCACCTGGTCGCAAAAGGCTCTTTCTCGCTTAGGACATCTGCTAATGCTTCTACCCTTCACTTTTAGGATCAGGACTTACTACTTGTAAGACCTTGCACGTGAACCCAATCACAATCCTCGCTGACCTTTGACTTTAGATACCAGGTCGGTCACAAAGGTGACGTGAGCACCATCATATATTATGTCTTCGTCTGGTCTGAAGTCGAGCTATGCCTTGGACTTATGTGCGCCTCGCTTCCTTCTTTACGGGTCTTGTTCCGGGAATACTTGAGTGAGCCTTTATCGAAACTCAAGCGCTCCGTCACATCGAGCAGCAGCAAGATGCGGCGGGATTCGGAAGCTTTGCATGGCATCGTGCGACGTGTCGAAGTCCATCTGCATCGAAGCAGTCTAGCGGACATGGGAAAGTCCTGGCCTTCTGTCGCAAGCGAACCAACAGTCTGTCCGGCGATTGATCACGACAATCCTGCAATCACCAATTCCATGGCAAAGTCACCTTGTTAAGAGCGCGGCAGATTATGAGGCGTATAATCTACAGAACATGGAGAAGTACGGACAGTCTCCAGACAGGACGAGGAATTCGAGCTGAAGCAGGAGCGCGTACAAACAATCTTGTTCACCAGTGGGACTTCGACCGGCAGGCTACAAGGCTGTCCTCTCGCCATCAGGAGCTCTCTACACACTGCTGTCTCTCTTGGTGTCTGGCGAGACTTTGGGAGGCCTCGGTCTGAACAGCTTCCCAATCAATCTGACCGGGAAAAATGATGAATGTCAAGTTTAAGGAAGCTGTCATGATTGTGAGAGCTCGTGGAGAGTCCGCGTGGAATGGGAAGTGGTGGAGGACAATGACGGAGTGTAATTCAGGCTAGAGCGGCGGATGACGGGTAAACTGCGGAATGATATGTTCATCGTGTGTACAGAAGTGCTGCACTGAGAGTTGGCCTCGCAAAGTCTTTTCGACGTTAGCGATCGAGTATTTGCGCATGTGTTGGGAAGAGAGCTGCGTCCGAGATCGACGTACGTCACCTGTTTCACAACCCTCAAGTTGCAATCCTGCTTTCCCTCATATAAACCTTGGATTATACTATGTCATTTCTGTAACATTTGGGCAACACCTCACAATGGCACTTCTCAAATTTCCGGGAGCTGGCAGGATGCAATGCTTCTGCAGCAGGAGTGCATGTTGTTCTCCGGCCCCATCCAACGCCAGCTCCCTACACAGTATTCTAGCCAAGTCTGGCCGGGATCAACGACGCAATTTATCGGATCCGCGGAATGTCAGAGAAACATCAACAACGACTTTTTGTGACTTACCAGAGGCTCAAGATGAGGTCGAGCGTTTCCTCGGCCGCATCTGGCAACGGCGCACTTGGCCAACTACACATTCGAGCTGTTCTCGACAATCCGAAGAAAGTGCATCATGGACCCGATGATCCGGTGCGAGGCAACGTCCACGTCAAATACGCCTCGTCTTCAAGAGCCGGCAGCTCTCAACTATTCGGTCCCTTGAAACTGGAAGTCGTGCTGAGAGGGCAAGCACGAGTCAATGCTGAGGATGAACCATCACAGATCACGACTCTATTTACCGAGGCCAGAACCCTATACGATGGCGCATTCAGGGCTGATGGCGAGAACGAACATGCATTACCCTTCGCTCTGGATTTTGCGGAGAATGTCGACCCGACTACCCATACCACAATGACCCAGAGCGGTAATGGGACCTGGAATTTCAGGCAAACAGTCGGATCAGAGCTCCATGCTCTCCCGCCATCTCTAGAGTCACAAGCCCCGGAGAACTCTGGTGTGACGAGATTGAAAGCTGTGTCGAAGGTGTTGGTTGCAGTAAGGTATTCTATCTTGGTTCGCGCCAAGATGCCCGGAATCGACGTCGACGTCGTGGTGGCCAATCCTGCAGATGGCGAAACAGTGCTGTACGATCAGCCAAGGGTGCCGATTATGATTGCGAGCAATCTCGCAGACAATGGCGAGTTCTACCGGCAGATTACTGTCCAGAACGAGCATTTACGCCCTGCTGAACAGAAACCCCGCGGCTTCGTGGGCAAGACCAAGGCATTTCTCAAATCATCGGACTTGCCAAAGTTCGTCTTTACCGCAACCTGCTCAAATGTGCCGCAGCATGCTTTTGTTGATCAGCCCGTGGCTTTTGACATGTCGATGGCTCCTCACTACTCGAGTACGGTGCATGAGAACCCGGAAGTCTTCTTGGACAGCTGCACGACGTCTCTCATTGCTCGCACAACTGGTGTAAAGCCGATCAACATTGAGACACTCTGGAGTAGAACAACTGAATTTGAACGGAAACCATTCTCTGACGAACATGGCTGGGCCAGGACTGTCGACATTGGCAACCTTGAATGGATACCGAGCACATTCTCGTTAGGAGATCTCGAACGCACTTATAAGTTGCGGATAGCTCCTCAGTTCTCTGTTGGGAAGCAGAAGCTGAGTATCAGGCAGGACATGCCGGTCATGGTTCATCCTCCGATAGACCCAGAAAATGACACGACACTGGCGAGGATTCATTCTGGAGGAAGTGCTTTGCCTGCTTATGAAGAGGCAGCAGCGAGTGCTCCAACCCCCCCATATGAAGCTGTCACTGGGCTGTCTCAGCCATCGTACGAGCAAGCTATCGGTGCCATGGAAGCGGAGCACATTCCGACACCCAACCTTGTGGAGCACCGGCCAGAAACGCTCGCGGCTGTCTAAATGTGATCCACGCGAGGGGCGAAGAGGGTGCGGTGAAAGCGGTGAAGCTACGCAACGAAGCAGTAAATATGGCAACATCTTCAGGAACCCGAAGGAAGCAGCTCCGAGGCAAGCTAATGCGAGGCGAGCTGCATGACATAAGGTGCATGTAGCTTCAGGAATCGCTGGCACTGGTTCCAAGAGAGCATGCGACACTTGCGTTTGTGCCAAGAATAGTTTGATGCTCATAACAAACTATTACCATACCTTCACTACTCCACTGGTCGGTCTTTGGCTCCATCACCAACTCTATGATGGTAATTTGAAATCTATGCTGGCAACATGCATCAATTCGACACAAGATGTGGGCCACCAGCGCAAAGGAAGCACCTGACACCGGCTGGCTACATGTAATGCCTATGAGGGAGGAGTCAACTATAGATGATCGAATGCCGTCCACGACGTTGACGGGCAGTTCAACACCGAGCAGCACAGTGCTCTATCCTGGCAACCTCTTTCTCTAGCCTTCCCATCGTGGACTTGGCCGTGCTTTCAGTGAAGGGGCCTTTTTCAGAGGATCTTCTGCGATTGGGCCAGGAACTTCACAATGTCTTTTGCATCGACAGGCTTTGCATACCTCATCAGTGGTCCTTTATCTTTCACTCACGATGAAGTCTTTGCCCTCGCCAAAGCCTTCTTGCCCGAAATAAGTGGTGGAAGGTTCGTTGCTACTATGCATCGTGTTCGAGCGAGCGATATCGGCTCTAATGACTGAGTGTGCCATTCTTCTTTGAGCCTGGCGAGTCTTGTGTTGTGAAAGGTGTTGATGGAGGTGAAGGGACCTTTTATGTCGAGCATGCAAGGAAGAAGACGGGGACATAGGTTGAGTTTCAGGATGTCCAGGATAGTTCTAGCCAGTCGGCTTCGGAGTCAAAGTCAGAAACGTATCAAGTCGGACATCAAATGTCGAATATGATGATTCTAGTTGTGATGCCCTTTGACTTCTACCATCAATCCAGACGTATCTGAAGGTCAAGTACCTTGATCTTGATGTCGTAGCACGAGCCAAGCATGCTAGTGCAAGTCTGGACCTACACAATATATAGATCTATCTTCACCGCCTTCGTCAAGTAGCGCACAAGTTCCGCTCCTACAACCAGCATTCGTGGTTTAGTGGTAAAATTAGCCGTTGCCAGTTCATTGAAAGTCTCGGCTAGCCCCGGGTGCGTATCTATAACTCCTAGAGATTCTGAAATGCTTCTAATATGTAAAAAGGTTCGATTCCCGGCGAATGCAACAAATCTGAATTTTTGTTTAGCTCTATATCGAGCGGTTTCTTTAATTATTAGTACTGTCTACGTTCTAGTAGGCAGGACTATAGAACCTATAAGGACATTACCTATTGTGAATTTTTGCTAAATTTATAGACTAGATATTATGTTTATAGTATGTTTTAAACGCCAAGACTTTTTATATATAAAGTAGAATTTATTCTAAAAGCTTAGCTAGTTAGCTAGATCGACGTTAGCTTTATATTATTAGAAAGTAGTGCTTATATAGCTATATTAGAAGCCTAAGGCGACGAGTAGCTAAAGTCTTATCTAGGACGCCTATAGTAGGCTAAATCTAAAATATATATATAGTAAGTTATATCTAAAACGCTAATAGTAAAGTTAATCCGGAACGCGTTATAGGTATTAGAAAGCACTATTTAGAAACGATTATAGCGAGCACTATTAGAAACGCTTATAGCAAAATAGTCTAAAATATCTATAGTAACTACTTCTAGAATCCGGAATACGCCTATAGTAATTATAATCCGGAATACCTATAGCGAGTACTATTCGAAATTTCTATAGTAAGTCGTTCTTTCCGAGTCCGAACGCTTATAGTAAGTACTACCTATATAGCGTATAGTAAGTCTAATCTAAAACGCTTATAGTAATTTCAATCTAAAACACTTATAGGAATTCTTATTTCGAACGCTTATAATACTAAGTACTATTCGGAACGCGTATAGCAAGTCTAATCCGGAGCGCTAATAGTTAGTACTACTACTATCTATAACGCCTATACTAAGTTTTATTTAGAACGCGCTATATACTAGTAATTCTAATCCGAAACGCTTATACTAAGTCTTATTCGAAACGCGTATAGTAAGTCTAATTCGGAACGCTAATAGTAAGTACTACTAAGAACGCTTAGAGTAAGTAGTACTATCTAAAATACCTATAGTAAGTACTATTAAGAATACTTATAGTAAGTCTAATCTAAAACGCCTATAGTAAATACTACTAAAAACGCCTAGCGAGTAGTAATATTCGAAACGGTTATAGCAATATTAGCTAGTAACTAGCGCTATACCTATAGGCTAGGTACTAAGCCTACAAAAGAGGCCTTCTTCTATAGAGTAGATAGATTATTAACCTCGTATAGTATACTATTTATATTATACTTCGATAGTGCCTATATTATAGGGCTCTAGTTACTAGCCTAAGCGACAAGTTTAGTATTCTATCTTACTAAATATAGCTACCTATTTTGCTATAGGTTATATTACTCTCGGTAACTTATACTATTACTAGTAGTAGTAGTAGTAGTAGTAGTAGTAGTAGTAGTAGTAGTAGTAGTAGTAGTAGTAGTAGTAGTAGTAGTAGTAGTAGTAGTAGTAGTAGTAGTAGTAACGAGCGCTATTACATTACCGATGTTCCCGCCTTTTCGTTAAACCCTGTATTTAGTCAAATAGGGCTTATTCTATGCCTCGAGTCTAGTTGATTAAAAGCGCGATATTTCGTTAAATAAGACCTTTAAGTAAGTAACTTCTATAGTAGATTAGACTAGTCGATTAAGGTATAGATTAAGGTGTAGAAAGTAGACTAAGACGGCTATATAGAAAGCTATAAATACAGCATATAGACTAAGAGCGGTATACTAAGAATAACACGTCTATATCTATGTCTAAGAGCGCTCGCTTATTGTTGTTGCAGTCAATAAATAATCTAACTCTTCCGTAGCTGTCTGCCTAATAACTTCTTCGCTGTCCGCCTCTTCTAAACGCCTGCTAGTACCTGTTCTATTGCCGCCTTCTTAGTAGGCTTCTTAACGCGCCTTCCGCGGCCCTTCGGTAACGAAGACGGTAGTGTTAGTTGCGGTAGCGCCTCTTCGACTATTAGAGCGACTAGAGGTACGCGAGGTTATTAAGTCGGCGTATCGTCTTCGGCAGGTAGACTACTACTACAAGGCGCGCCTTTAGTCTCGGTAAGGTTATTGTCGAAGTTAAAGTCGCTAAAGTCGCCGAAGTCGTTATCGTCGCTATTACTATTACTGCCGCCTAAGAAGCTGTTAAACTCGTCCGAATACTAGCTATTACCGTCTAATTGCTCGTCGTTAGAATAGCCGTAGTCTAGGTCTTCTATATTGCTATAGGTGTTAGCAACACCGTAGCAAAGGTTAGAGTATAGATTTCCGGCCTTTCTATAGGCATAGGTCTTGTTATTGCAGCCCTTAATATAGCGACAACTCGTACGGCTATAGAGAGGTATATGTGCTTGCCTCTTTAAAGCATACGAGAGCGTAACTTCGCTGTTCTTAGAGCCTTAATAGCAAGACTAATTTGTATAGCTATATTCTATTAGAAAGAGGTTGCGCGTATAATAATAGCCTAGCAAATAACCCTATAGTATAAGCACTTTATAGAGGTTAGTTAGGTTACTATCGTCGTCTTCTCGTCGCTTAGTAATCTAGCAAACGATAGACCGAGGGCTACTAACAATACGATAACGCTTCGGAATAGCGACTCTAACGAGGTTACTAACGTTAAAGACTCGAGGCTAAGCCCTTCTACTATAGTAGCGATCGGCCTTATTATTCGTAGAAGCCTAGTTTATAGAGATTAAGTCGTCTAGAATGCGCCTATTCTCGTTAATCTTAATAGACCTGCTAGCGCTAGAAATATAGACTATACGGCGCGCCTTAGCCTCTTAATAGGCGATACTATTATACTATAAGGTAGTCGCGTTGTCTAGTCCTATAGAAGGCGCGCGAGTGTCGTTCTCGAAGTTAGCGATATAGCTATTAAATTTAACGTTGTATACGTCCGCTAAGGCCGTAGAAATAGTAGCAATTAAAGCCGTATCGTCGTCGTCTATATTGCTAACCTAATTAACTAGTTTAAGCTCGTTCTCGTTAAATAGAAGATCTACGTTTCCTTTATTAGCGGCCTACTAACACTCGTCGCTAATAGTAGGCTAGTTAGTAGGAGGGTTACGATTAAAGAAGGCCTTAAAGGGTATTATCTTAATCGCTAAGTGCTACGTCAAATTGTAGATCCGTATAGCCTTAATAGATGCGGCAACCTAGCCTTTAAGACCTAGCTGTATCTTTATAGCGGCAATTCGCTTCTTAAGGACCCTATTCGCCTATTCTATAAGGCCTTACGACTATAGATAGTATAGAGCGCCGTAAGCTATCTTAATACTATAGGACTCGATTAGCTTCTTAATAACCCCCTTAAATTCTTTGCCGTTGTCTATTTAGTAGAGCTCTACCTAGCTAACGAAGGAGGCTAAGTCCTATATATAGAATGCAATCTCCGAAGACTCCTTTGTTACTAAGGCATACGTCTTCGAGAACTTAGTAAAGGACGGAAACCAATACTACTACTACTACTCGTAGCAATAGTATAGGCTACCGAGGGTAACATAACCTATAGCAATATAGGCAGCTATGTTTAGCAAGATAGGATAACGAGACTGTCGCTTAGGCTAATAACTAGAGCTCTGCAACATAGGCATTGTAGAAGTGTAACATAAACAATATGCTATACGAGGTTGATGATCTGTCTACTCTATAGAAGGAGGCCTCTTATATAGGCTTAAAACTAGCCTATAGGTGTAGGGCCGGTTACTAGCTAATATCCCTCCCTTTCTTCGTATCTAACTAGACACGCTTTACATTACGCGCTTAAAACAAACATATATACATCCTTAGCGCTCTTAGCTAAGGCTATTTTTTATAACTCC